TCCCCTTCTCGGGGCTTGTAAGCCATTGCCGACCGAATGTTGTCCTCGTGGAAGAAATTGCTCACGTGAAGGCCTTCCACGATTTGGTAAGCGTGGGCGGACATGATGACCCGATGCGATCTTTCGGAAAACTGAGTACTCGATCTCGTGATTTAAGTGAACGTTGGGTACGTGTGGTTAGAGTCCCTCCATCCGGTGGTAATTTGCGCGAGTGGAACGGATGTGTGTTCCTGCCGTGAGAGCGTCGTTTGCGAGAGATCGGAAACACAGAAGGTCGGTGGCTGCTGCAGCTGTGTACTGTGTCACGCAGTGTTTGAAGCAAAGCGGGGAAAGACTTCACCGGATGTTCGCGTATTTGATTGGATCATGGGACCGTCTCATTATATAGTCAGAAACTTTACAAACGCAGTGTATGGCTTATTATGTTCACGATTCTTGCTTACTGATTATGTCTTCATTCATTTATTCATTCGTTTTTTTTTTCTTTAGGCACAAGAAAGAATATTAATTTTGAACATTGGCATGCAAGCAAAACATTAAAAAAATTCAGGATATCAGTGCATGCGAAGACATTGGCATACACAAAAACGTAAACAATAAAGCGAGAGTAAAAGAAATACTCAGAGTATTTTACAACGTCTTGAGTATGATTAATTCTACGTTTAGGAATGGAGATAAGGTGAACGTCAGACTGTCAACTTTGGTGCTGAAGGACGCGATGACTCCAAACTTCCACCAAATTGACGCTTGCAATTGCTAATTCTGGTCGTGACGTCACAGATAGGAAACATAAGAGAGGGGGCCACCGAAACATCTCGTTGCCAATACGCGGGTGGCTAACTATTTGACGCTAAATTTCACCGCACCAACCGTTACTGCCGGGTGGGGGCGAAACGCGCATCGAAAAAGAAGGGAGGTATGTATCTTATCGATGGTCACATTTTTAAAAGTTACGAAGATGGTAGCATCATTCCATATTCAACTCATTCAACGAAAGATTCAGACCGTGCGTGCATGGACTTTATATTTGCCTATTTTTTTGGGATGTGGTTGCTGTTGCTTTGTCGGTATCTAATGGTGCTCTCTCGTTCTATGCTGACCCACGGAGAAAAGACTACTCCGACCAATAGTACGCGTTCGTTTTTTGGCGCGCTGCTGGCATCAAGCAATCGCTCGGTACACGTATAGTTTTTTTTAGTTTAAAGGCGCAACTGCAGCAAAAGCTATAATACTGCTACATAGATTTGATGTCACGCCACCTGCTACTCTCGATAACAAAAAAAAAAAGGGGGAAACACTATATTTTTTTGTTAATTGTTTTTAATTCCTTTGATTCTCAGCGTTGCTCAGGAGCAACAACTCAAGAATTATTTGTTTTCTCCGGTGCCACGTGCGCCTGAACAAATGTATCGCCCTCCGTCGCAAGAGCGAGGATAACTGCACTTAGCAGTGGACGATCGAAATGCATCTTAAAACAGAGCAGTCCTTCTAAACCAAAGCTAACAGTGGATGCGAGGTATGATGGCGTGCACCACTGGCCTCAGAGCTGCTAGAACACTGGCACGAATATTACGAATTCGGTTATACCTTTCTTTACTGCGCGAAATTTGAAATGCACCTGGGCCTTCTCCCGTGCCGTAACTAAAGTTCAATAGGGAATTAATTAAACTTTTTTTTTTGGCGCATCAGCAACAAAGGCTATAGTGCGCCAGAACTAAGTGAATTCAATATGGGAGTTTTCTACAAGTAGCGACATTGTTTAAAGCGCCGACTGCGTGACGGTGCAGATTTTAAGAAGCGAATGGCGGCGCAAAGCAGAAGAGTCAACTGAATGACGCCATTTTGTTGCCACGGATTGTGCTTCGTCATTCGTATTATTTGTCGTTACTTGTAAAAAGAATCATCGAGCGACTTTAGTCGTAACTGCATTCATTAGTTCGACGCGTAGTATAGTGCCGCAAATGCTTAATGTTGCTCACGAGCAACATTTCGAAAACATGTTTACAAAAAAAAAAATGAATTTTTTTTTTTCCCGAGACCAGATTTTAGTATTTTGTGTGTTCTAAAACCATTTCAGGATTTGTAGATCTCCAGTATATATATCAAGTAAAGTTTTGCGCATGAGCGAGCGCCCCAATTCTTCATTTCGAGAAGCGACTTCCACTGTGCCCGATACGGGTGCATCCAAGGGCGCCGCACAGGGGTTTTCGCAAAACCAGAGTCCACCATTTCCATAGGATCTGGCATCACGTGTTGAAAAACGGCTTCAGAAACACGGGTTTCGGATTATTATGTTCACGGTCCATGCTCCGTGATCGCATGTCTTGGCGTTCTTATCGAAAAAATGTCGCAATTTTACAATAACCGCATAGCCACCGAAGATGATGTAACAGAATTTTATTAACTCGTTTTCAGTAATAATAACATCGATTTGTTTTCCTACTGATGTGTATTTTACTTATTCTAGCTTGTTTCTGTATAAATGATTGTTTTTGTGTCATGTTTATATTTTTGTTGTTTAACATATTTTCTGTATTTGGTCTACCGGGTGCAAAGCGCCGTGGACCTGCAGAGTAGCTGTCTTCTGCGAAATATATCAGACGCCGCACATGCGTCCTCAGCCCGATGACTCGGCACATTTCGCTCGTGATAACCGCCTAAGCTTTACTCCTTGTCACAATATTCATACGTCGCGCGAAGTAGTGCTATAGAAGATTTGAGTGTCGGGGGAAGAAGCGATATGCTTTTAAGCGTATCGCTTAAGAGCGATATGAAGGTGAACAGCCCTCTTCTTGTTTTTGACGCTCCTGCAAGTTTTGGAACAAGCTCTGTTCCAGAAGTGTGCTAGAACGCAAAGTTTAGACCCCCCAAGCCACGTACCATTTGAGACGTTGAGAGTTAATATAGCTTTCGGGATCCGTAAAACAGGCAAGAAACCAGGTAAAGTGTTCACCTTCATATTGCCGGCGGGTGTACGTCTTGATAAGATAAGGTTAAGATAATCTAAGATGCACGTACATAAATATATTAATCCAACACACATGAAAGGGTAACTAAATAACTCTCCGCAAAGGGCCTTTTTTTTATTATTTGCGGTTTTTGAGGTGAACACCTCCGTCGATAGTGCGTGGTCTTTTTTTCTCTAACGTTCGTTAGTAAAAACAAAAATAGAAAATATTATATTCTAGTACGTCATTAACCGCATGTGGTTCTACGTCGCAATACGAACACAACCGGACGTCAAAAAAAAAAAAGTTGTTTTTACATTACACACAAAAAAAAATTGTAACATAAAATTTAAAAATAAACAAAAAGATTTATATTACATTTTGTTTACCGAATATCTGGCGGATTGTACTTAGAACAGAAGCTGGAACGTAGGAATCAATATTTTTTATTGATTTTGAATTTAGTGTACCAAGCCGCAAGCGTCCGAAACTGCTTCATTAACTTGAGCTAGCCGTGGTGAGAAAACTTCTCCGCATGCCAGCTTTTGTCTGTAGTTCGCTTCGCTATTCGCTCTTTCCCGTGTGAGTTGAAATGTGGTGGCGCCCTTGCGCAAATAGCCCTCAAACACTACCGGTTCTAAACTAGACGGCTGATTTTGCATTGTTTGTGAGATGGTCGCTTATAGCACTGCCAGCCGTAACTCACTCTTATGGTGGAAGGATGATGCGTAAAAAAATTCGAAAATATACGCGGAGGGGAAGTGAGCCAGTCCTAGCCGATAGATGGCACCGCTGAGTTTGTTGCCAAACAAAACAGGGAGCGAATAGATAAAAGCGCCGTCAAAGTCTGACAGCTTCAAAGATCATATTAGGGAGTTATCGTAGATCGTTTCCGTTGTCCCGCAAACTTCTCCGCAACCAGCTACGACATCCGGGACTCTGCAGACGAGTCTAGCGCAGCGCATGCGCAGTAGTGGCGTCTTCCTTCTGGAAAGCGTTGCGGAGGTAGGAAAACGGTCTACGAAAACTTCCTATTGTCGCTCCAGCAAGACTGGGCCATGGGTAGATAAGAACGCCTAACAGCCAATCAAGAAGAAGAGGGGACGTAATAAGCCTGCGTTTGTGTTAATGAGTATGGAAACACCAATACCCAGAATAAGAGGTGCAAGGTCATGGCGCAATCGCTGCGTTTGATTGGTCCGATGATACCACGTGCACAGAAAGACGACAAACTCCGTGGCGACTCGCTTCTGGCACTCCTTGATTGGCCCTCAAGAAGGTAGAGCGAGGGTAAGACGGACCGGGAAGGAGGAAGCAGACGGAACGCTGGAGAGGAGAGGGGAAACCTCCTCCTATCTCCAGCGTTCCGTCTGCTTCCTCCTCTCCGGACTTCCTTTCCCTCACCCGACCTTCTTGAGTTCATTGCCTTTATTTAATATCGTGTTGCTGTTCTTTTTTTCTTTCTGTCTTGTTTTTGTATTTTACTCAAGCAATGCTCACCCTTGCCTTGGCCACCTTGTAGGTGGCTGGCAGTATTATCAAATAAATAAAATAAATATAGCTCCGCCGCAATTTCGATGGTCACCGACCTGCCTCAAAATTGGTTAAAAGCATTAACAGACAAAGTCACGAAAATTTGTTTTCGCGGAAGTTGGTGAATTGTCAAATTTGGTCCGAGAGGCTGTGAGGTTCTGCTGGCAACTCTAAGAACGTGACGTCGGATGTTGTAATATGAGGGGGGGAGGGGGTTACAACAGTTGACGTCACGTGACTGGAGAGTGCGGAAGTATTGAAATGTTGGTTTTGGCATTCCCTCCACTTGTCGTTCTTTTCATGGCATTGTGAAAATAGAGATAATGAATTGCGTGCCGGGAAGAGCAAAACCCGCGTATTCCGAAAATGTTAGTTAGGTTAAACTTGAGGAAGAAAACGAGAAAGGACGGACAAACACAAACCATACCAACCCGCTCGTTCTGTCCCTGTTAGTTAGGGTAGCTCAAAAGACCGCTGGAGGTCACGTGATGAAGGTCCCCGCGCTGCTCGCGTGCACAGGATTCCGTGGACTCCCTTCGGCATCGGGGATCGGCCACGGACGCGGGCGAGGAAGACGGCGTCGCCCTCAGAGGTCCCCAGGTGCCGAGGGTGGTCAACTGCTGCCTGCGCTACCTCGAGGACTTCGGTGCGTGCTCCCCTTGCGACGCCGCAACACTGCATGCATGGCTACGACGGTAGGAAGAACTGGTCCGCCGTTTGAGGTCCAACGTGACCTGCCTAGCTTATTGTGGATTTGTCGAGAAACGCTTACTCCAGCCTCAGTAAATATGATGGTGATGATGATGATGCTAGCGTTAAGGTGCATGGTGTCACAATTATGAGACTGGTTAAGGTTAATGAAGATAACTTTTCCATGATAACATGCGAGGCGAAAAGCATCACTGGAGCTGCGTTCATTCGATGAATGAACGCAGCTCCAGTGCGTTCATTCATTGGTCGTTCGTTCAACGACCGCAAAGTGAATTTTGAGCTCCCCTAAAATGCATGAAAGATCGTACACCTGCATACATCGATCGCCGACCCGTTTTGCGGAACTCGGTTCTAAACTGTTTCTATTCTGCCATTTCCACGAAGGTCTCAACACCGTCGGCATATTCAGGGTCAGCAGTTCCAAACGAAGAGTGAGACAGGTAAGCCCGAAATTTCTCTTTTTTTTTTTAATATTGTTCATATTAGTTTAATCAAAGTTAGATGAATTTGGTCAAACGGCCGGGCTCGTTTGAGAAGAATACGAATCAGATGAATACGGTCCTTAGCCATCTCCCTGTTTTCGAGCTATGAGTCAAAATGGCATCTCCCTCGAGCTTTGGCATCGTGTGTATGGCACGTATCATTATTGTGTGCCCTGAACCACATGAATGATCTTATAGTGACGGAATACTAACAGCTGATGGTCCGGCAAAGGCGCACCTCTTCTGCCCTGTCGAAAAAGCAAGAACGTGTTTAATTGCTTACTAAGGATGCGCTGATGAGGACTCGGCTATACACCGGTGTCACAACAAAAAACAATACGCGGACCCTTCAAATTCAGGTTTATTCTATTTGCTCGGCTAGCTTTGCGACATTATACTAACTTCCACGGTGGCGCCTTGTTTGTTTGCATCATACGTTTGCCAGAGACGTAGATAGGCCCACTATGGTTTCTCAAAACACACAGAAAAAGAGAAGGCAGGTTGTCTTACTGAATACTCTTTTAGATCCACGTACGCGGTCACACGGCAGAGAACATGGTAAGATGTGGTGAAGACCATTGATGGGAGGGGGCCGACTGTTTCCATCGATGGCCCTCACCACTGATCGGCCTAAACGAATTCGGCCAAAAATCTTACTGATAAAACAGATTCGCGCGCCTGACAAAAAAAAAATATTTCAGGCAGTCTATACAAATTCTATCTACATTTTAACGACTCTCAACTTCCTACCCAGAATCGTCGTATCGACAATTTCCATGGACTTGCTATAGACTTTCTTTCAATCGAAGTCTCGATGGAAATACAACAGAATTTCTATCACCACGTTTCGATAGACTCTCTGTCAGCATATTTTTATAGAATTTCTATAGACTGGAATCGATGGACTAATAAGATGCAGCGCGGAGAAGCGACAGCACACTCAGTTGGAGCCTCCTTGAGGAGGCTGCTTTTTTCGACTGTGTCAAATAATGATCGCCTCTTGCAATGCTTTATAGTTGGAGATGCAGTTCACCAACCCTTATAAACCATATTTTGTATGAATTATGTCGGAAAAAAACATACTTGTGATCTTGTGATGCGGTGTGACGTGTACTCTGTAGAAGGTGCGCGCTCAGCAGCATGGCCACCACAATGGCCGCTGTATGACGTCAGCGCAAGCCACGAATATACAGTTCGATCTTCTCGCCGATGGCCCGAGCCCAGCGCGCGCATCAGATCGGTGTGCTCACTCCGCGCAGCTCCGCGAGGAGTTCGACAGCGGCCGCGAGGTGCACCTGGACCAGGAGCGCCAGCAGCCCCACGACGTGGCTCAGCTGCTCAAGGAGTACCTCCGGGACCTGCCGCAGCCGTTGCTTACCAGGGACCTCTACGTGCCCTTCCTCTACACCCAGCGTGAGTCTCCCGCTCACAGCGCTTCCTCCCGAGTTTCATTTTTCTATACACCTTTGCAAGTACAGCCTCTGGGCGTCGCCATCTTACCGCTGGCGTCTGTGTGGATTGCAAGGGGGTTGATCGTCTGATAGTCAAGCCCTGCCAAATACCTCGAGCGCCGGTCCAGTTGTTTGTTTTACAATAGATATTTCCCCACTCTCTTTCTCTCTTCCATATAGTGCTCACTGTTGCCAGACTTGTGCCCCAACAAAGCGGTTTTCACCCTCGGCCACCAGACTTGCTTGCAAACCCGATGATTTCGACAAAAACCAATAACTTCCAAGATCCTATAGCGGAGAAAGCACGACATATGTACAACTCTTCCGACACCGCTAAAACGATCAAATTCGCGAATCAGTAGTATAGCTCCTTCACGCCCATATGGAGGCTTTTGTTGACGGCGATATAAAGGCAGAAAATGGCGGAGAGTCAATCGTGTACTCGCGACTCTCCATATGGCGGTGGAGGCTACGTGCCCGTTGGGCCGGTCGTCCATTGTTCACCACCTGATCAGCCTCCCGCCCATAGCCACGTGCGGAGAGCATGATCATCAGATGGAAGGCTGATTGGTATAGTGAGCACTCTGGTATAGTGAGCACTGCCATTTTTGCCTATTGGGCTGTGAAACGTGTTACGAGCATGCGCAGTTGATCGCCGCTGCGAAATATATCCGTCGCGCATGCGTCCACAGGCCGCTAACGATCAGTACTCTTGGTGTGGGTAATAAGCGCTGAAAATGTCGTATACAGGAAGCGTAGGAATCGAAGCCCGGAAAGAGCTGCGTCTTTGGTTCTCTTTCATTCCGCGGTGGCTCGCGGAGTGCCTCGACACCCTTCGGCGACATCTCTGCAGGCGTGCCCGACCGGAGCAAGCAGCTGGAGCTGCTGCGGCAACTGGTACGGCTGCTGCCCACCTACAGCCGGGATACCCTGTGGGCTTTGCTCCGGTTCCTCCGGAAGGTGGCCGACACCGCCGTGGACAGAAAGTCTCCCGCGGGACAGTCGGTAAGAGGCTGAGGCCCACTGGCCATACCGCCTAGAAGACACGACGTGCCCATGACGTCAGCGTCAGTAGATCCCCGACCCGCCCTAAGCAGCAAACACGCCGAAGGTTGACGAGAGCGTCTGCAAAGCGGAAGACGCGTCCTTCTTGGCGTCGCCACGTGCTAACGTCGCGCTCGTTCTGAGACGCGCTGCAGGGCGGGCTGCCAACAGTGCTGAAGCGATGTAGACGCAGGCTTTGCTTTCCAGCTGGTTGGCGCCAGAAAGTCGTCGCCGCTCTCTGCCTGGACAAATAGATGGATGCATACTACTGAATCCATTTAATCGGGCGGCGGCTTGCGCCATCTGTAGTTACCGACAGAGTGAGAACGACAGGGCTCGTCTTTCGAGCATTCGACCTCCGGAACGCGCTCCATGCCTTTCCACCGTGCTTTGGCTGCGCGCGTTGAACGTGCACGAGACTCCGAAGCGTTGTCGAAGGTAAGGAGCTCGTGCTGCAGGAGGTGCGCTTACCTTGGGCATAAAGAAAATATTTCAGAAAGGGCGACGACAGAGGCCAGATAGCGTATCGCGAAAACCGGGTGAAGTAGCTAAATGATGCTATGGCATTAAAATGCCATCACATTAAAACGAGGCATCTACTCCCGTTCACCGTGTACCTACGCAAGCAGGGAAGATGTGTGCGAAGGCATACGTAACCATACATGGTTTGCATTGACGCCACACCATCATCCAGTGTGGTGGCCTTGCTGTTGAGCCTTTTTGTAACATGCATTTGGCTACACCGAATTTGTTTCCCTCGGCAATAGCAAGTTGGGCTGAACACCGACATGGCGCGATGACGTTACGTGCAAGCCATGTATACAGGCCTGCGGCCACACGACGTCTCCTGTATAAGAAGGCCGTAGAGATAGATTTATTACGTCACCTCCTGGAGGCCAGCGTGAGGCACGGATTAGACACGAGCTCGTGGCCCTCACTGATCAAACACGAGTTCCTGCCGAGTACTGACGCAGCACTCGTTTCCAATTTGTACCCGCGCAGGCCTCCGTGGAAGGGGACCTAGAGAGTCTAGCGCATGTAGCCTTGTTTTTGCTAGGACTAGGAGGTGTTGATTGGCCCCGCAAAGAAAGCAGCTGGTTACGTTTCGATGCGCAGCTGCCCGGGAACAAGATGGACGCGCACAACCTGGCCACCATGCTGGGTCCCAACATCCTCCGGCTGAGCAAGACCGAGAAGGACAAATTCATTGTGGAGAACCTCGAGCGGGCAGAAGAGCGCTGTGATGTCATTCTGGTCGTGCGACAACTCATCGAGAACTACGAACACATCTTTCAGGTGAGAGGGCCGCCTTTCCCTAAGACAACCCTACAAACAAACAAAGAAAAAAAGAGGCCGCATGTATTGATGATATCTGGCACATTCTCTGTGCGTCACCACACGTGACGTTAGGTTGTCACGTGACGCCCTGACATGTCCATATGGGGCCAATGGGCTTATATATGGTTTAAATGTATGTGATTTTGTGTAAAATGTAAGGCTGAAATTTGACGCTGGAACTTAACGGTTTGTAGCATGAAAATGAGCCATAAAACATATTTTGTGTTTAATTAAAAAAAAAAGGCAGTAAACGTGTTTCGAATATTCGTGAGCTCTCAAACTGAATGTACGCCCCGTACCAGCTTAGCCGCATGGTTCGTTGCAGTGTATTTTGGCAATGTGTGTGCAGGTTCCCGCCGAAGACCTGGACAGCCTGTACAGAAGACTTTTAATCGAGCGGCCGGAAGACCTGGAAATCCTACTGCGACGGCACTACTACAACTCGCCAGGGTAACAGCTGCGGCCTGCCTTCAGTATCCGCCATTTTCTAATCTGTTTCTTTTTTTTAGATCTCAAGACGACGATGACAGCAACGACCAGGTGTTTGATGACGACGGCAACGCGGAGGATCCCGAGGCCGATCTGCGGGCCGTTCTGATGCGGCCTCCCGTGCATAGGAGCCGCGAGCGCAAGACCCAGGAAGGCGCGCTGCCCTTCATCCTCATCACCCCAGAAGCGAGGGCGGCCCGCGCCCTGGCATCGTCCACGCCGGCCAAAGAGGACGACAAGGACGTGACCGTATCGTTCACGATGAAGATGCCCTCGTCGCCGGACGTGCCCGCCTACCTGGAAAGCGACGACGTCACGCGCTCGGCGACACGGCCTCTGCAGAAGACGTCGCCGCCGGCGGAGCAGCAAGAGGTGACCATCACCATCGAGATACCGCCGCGCAAGAAGGTGCCCTCGTCGTCCAGGAGGTTCTTGACCAGCAAAGAGAAGGAGGACAAGGCCTACAAGATCAACAAGAGCAAGTCGACGTCTTCGATACTTAACTTCTTTGGCGGGTCCTCGGATTCCAGGAGGGACTCTGGGGACGGTGCTGAAGAGGGACGGCACGGCGGTGCGGGGACCACGGGGTCCGCCACGGGGCCGCGCAGGAACAGTCGGGAGGTCAGGTTCCAGACGGAGAAGTGGCGTCGCTGCGAGATCATCTCGTCCGAGCACACGGACAAGCGTCACAAATGACGCGCATGTTCGCGTCATCGTGTGCTCCTCATTCTCTCTTTGTCGTCTGACACCGAAAGCTGAAGCGTGTGCCATAGACTTGTGAACTGTGCCCATTGGTTTCTCACCTCGGAGCCTGGGCTATGGAGTGCGACCAGTTCCTTTGTTTCATAACGATGTATGAAGCTCATTTCAGAATATACTCATATTATATGTAAATATCACACATGGAACGACAATGAGACGTATTGGAATCTTTCGAGGCACGAGATGCATGTACGAAATGCCATCCACTATGGGTGGTACCACACACGCTCTGATCTACTTTCGGGTATTTATCTCAAAGGAGCTTTCGCATTTGCGTTTCAGGTTGCGCCATCTTTGAGTAGCAGCAGCGCCAACCAGAAGGTTTGTTACCGTGTCCCTGTGCATAGAATTAACAAAACTTCTTTGGCTTGAATTTTTCTTTTTCCATAAAAGCGCTTATACAATTTGGGTATAAATAATACACCTTTGTGCCAAAGTTTCATTGCTCTCCGTTTATTGGCATATTTATACGATTCCTTTAACGCCTAAATAGCACTATATCCTGTACCATAGCCTCCTCTATACTCACGAAGCCTGACAGTTCGATGACGGAACATGGAGGGCCCGGTCGCAGATTTGGAGCGCGGGGATCTGGTAGCACAGAGCATTTCTCGGGGAGTCTGGTATTCAGCGCACAGCTTTTGCAGCGGCGAGGACCCGAAAAATGGTTTTCAAACCCGACGAGAAAAGAAGCGGTAGCCCGAGGAACGCAAGAGGCACGAGCGGACATTCCATCGCTCGGGACAAGTGTGTTTCGGCGTCTCGCCACAGCAGGGCGTCCGTTACATGCCTCTTGTCTGCCGTTCTACCTTTTCACTTTCGGCGGCCGAGTCTCATGGCGATCTGCCAGGCATTGTCAGTATAGAGGAGACTATGCCTGTACTTTTCACCAAGAGCGGGGCATTGACGAGTGCACGCAAGCTTGCCCAGTGTTCATCTGTTTTAATTTCGTGCGACATGCTCTTTATATACCAGGTGCGCAGGGGGCGCCACCTGGCTGTCTATCACATTCCTCCCCCCCTAACAAAAATGAGCCAAGGTCCCACCGATTTTCACGGTGAAAAGCGCACAGGAAGCTTTCGTGCTCGATTACTTCCCCTCGGTAGTGGAGTACCAGCAGGACTCCTCGGTAGCGGAATGCCAGGAACAGGCTGAGTATCTTCATGCTGGTATTCAGCTGTTACGGTTTGAGGCACCGCTTGGGCAGAATCCTCTAGTGGTAGAGACATAGTCTCATTAGGAGGAGCGGCCTGATCCACCGGCTCTGGGGTGCTATGTTGCGCTTTTTGGACTTCCAGGAGACTAGGGAGAGGGAAGTGACGTCAACGACAGAGCAAACGCAGATTGGACGTTGATTTCGTTTTCTTCTGTCAACACCCAATCTGCGTTTGCTGTGTCGTTGACGTCACTTCCCTCTCCCTAGTCTCCTGGGAGTGCAAAAAGCGCAACATAGCCCCCCTGGTCGCGGACCCGATGGTGCCCTAGCTTGGGCTGGGTCAGGACGCAGATGTCCTTCATGACGTCTCCAACACCGACCATCTGGGAGTGCGACATCTGTGATGTGGTCCCTTGGAGTGTCGGTCACAGTTGCCGGTACCCATGGTGGACCTTGTCGAAAATTTCTCGCATAAACGGCATCACCCGGTTGGACAGTTGGTATCAGTCGAGCACCCCTGTCGTGCGCCATCTTCTGGATGAGTTGTTTTTTCGATACGCTTGACCTCAGGTCCGGGTGAAGTAGAGCCAAAGCAGTCTTCAACTTGCGGCCCATCAGTAACTCCGCCGGAGTGTACCCTGTGGTTTCATGAGGTGTAGTTCTGTAGTTGAGCAGGATTCGGGCCAGCTGACACTGGAAACTTCCATCAGCTGTCTTCTTCAGCTTCAACTTTATGGTTTGAACCGCTCGCTCAGCGGCTCCATTTGACGCTGGGTGATACGGTGGCGTTAGAATCTGCCTTATTCCATTTTGTTGAAGGAAGTTCTTAAAGCTACTGCTTACAAATGCCGGGACGTTATCGGATACGACGAGATCTGCATGGTAGTCCGTGACAGGCAAACATCACCCGCAGGCAAGGGATCGTGGCTTCTGCCGACGGCGTGGACACAGGAACGACCTCAATCCATTTTGAGTAGGCGTTGACCACGATGAGTAGATATCGGTTCTTCATTGGTCCAGCAAAGTCGATATGAAGACGAGACCATGGCTTTTCTGAGAATGGCCATGGCATCATTGGTGCTGGTCGTGCGAGTCGCTGGTTTTCTTGACACACACGACATCCCCGCACTGCAGCCGCAATGTCTTCATCTAATGATGTCCACCATATACAACAATAATCGAAGTCGTGGGTCATCGAAGGCACACACTCAATATTAAAAATAGAACAGAAGTGTGAAACTTTTGTTGTCCCCCTTGTTCCCCTTCTCCAGGAATTATTTTCGGCATATGAAATCCATTTTTTTTTGTGACTTAAAAAAAAAATGCAAATACGTTGATTTAAAAAAAAAAAAAAAAAAAAAAGTTGCATAGGGTACCCCATGCAGTCCGCTTCCACCTGGATTATGGAACTGGAAATGAGGCAGCCCAGCTGGATTCCAGCTGGACTGCCTCATTTCCAGTTCCATAATCCAGCTGGAAGCGGACTGATTTACGCAGTGTATTTCCGATACGTACCGGAAATACACTGCGTACTTCTCAACACGGGCTGGACTGCCGAAAGAAGCAAAGTACAATGGGTCTAGCCAGTCTAGCCCATGTACTATGGCAAAGGACGAAGGGCCTAGGATCTTTACTTGAGAACTGTCGTTCGCGGTACCGGTGAATCTGCCTAGCTTCGAAAGAAAAATATTTTTACCGATCAAAACAATTAGGATTTCTCCATCCACAATATGGGCGAAAAAGTTCCCCTAGGGGTGCTTTTCCTAAACCATTTCTTGCAGACTACCGCAAAAGCCGGCGATATTTTTTTACGCATTTTTTTTTTTCTGATGTATACACAGCGGTTTGCCGGTTTTTTGTTAGAAGTGCGAACCCGTCCCGTCGTTTTCCTTCTTTTTCAACTTTGGCACATGGATTTGTTCACTGTTGCTTGCCATTTTAACTTTTCTGTCCTTTTCGATACGCGGGTTTAGTCGCAAATAAGGAAAATCGTTTTTTGAATTTTTTCACTTTTTTTTTGCTTTTTTTCACTTTTTTTTTATTTCAGCAGAGCCAACGCTGAAAAGGAGGTCGCCTCCTCTCCACCGTTCGCTCTGCCAAAAGGGGAGAGAGGTGGGAGGAGCTTCCATTTGTCGGACCTTAGTCAGTTACAGGTGAAGAAAAAAAGATCGAGGTACACCTAAGCATTCCTTATGAGCTGTGAATGCGAAAGCATGCAAGCCACTCGTCCGCTCTCTTTTTCGTCTGCTGCGTACTTTTCGTCGCCGGTTGGCGCGTGTGCTCCTCTGGTGACCTTGGACGCTCCGCGGATGGATGGATGGATGAATACGGCTGAGCCCTTTGGATCGGGCGGTAGCTTACGCCACCTAGCCATTTTGTTTTACCATTTAAGCTTAGAATATTTAAATGTGAAATCTATATTCACTCCGCAGTGCAAAGAAAGTGAGGCTATGAAACCCCCTTGCCGCGCTGATGGACACGCAGCGCCATGGGGTGAGCGGTCGTGGAAACTGACGAGCGCAGCGGCTAATGGGAGCCCCGTCGACGCACGCCAGCCAACGGAACCGAAGGAAACTATCTGCCGTTTTCGCGCTTCAGACTGATGACGTCAGCTCGCTCCATGAGACAGTTAATGCTTTCGCATTAAAAATTAAGGGAAAGGGGGCTGGGGAGGAGGACGGAAACAGAGGAGGAAACCTCCTCTTCTCTCCAGCGTTCCGACTGCTTCCTCCTCCCCAGCCTTCCTTTCCCTCGAAAACTTTTCTTACCCTGTAACTGACTATAATAATAGTATCACGGGTGCTGATCAAAAGAACAATAAATAAACAGGAAGAAATAAACGTTTAATGGGGCGAACTTGTACCCAAAACAAACAAAAAAACTTTCAGCCTTTCCACTCTGGTGAAGAAGGAAGAGCAGCGGAGCTGTGCTATGTGCCGCCATCTATGAGCGACGGCGGTAACCAGACAACCGACAAACCGGTTGTCTGGTTGCCGCCGTCGCTCATAGATGGCGGTAGCTGTCCGGAGGGTTTTGTCGAGATTTATTTGTCCACAGACACGAAACTGGGGAAACTAACCTTCAACGGCTCTGCTGTAAAAGGAAATCGAAGATAACAACAGAGCGTCGCCGCGTCGAAGTCGGCGATTGAACGCTGGGGCGAGACTGCACCGGCACGCCACGCGAAGTCCCTTACGTCTTATGTACGCGAGCGGGCTCCTGGAACATTGGCGTAGAACCTTCGGCGCGTAGAACATTCGGAACTCGGTCAGACAACAATGTTCTCGAACTTACGAGAACGCCAAGTTGAAAGAATAAATAAAAGAACATCCCGCTGACTGGAATCGAACCTAGACCTTCCGCGCTGCAGTCAAGTGCTGTAACCATTCGGCAGCGCACCCGCCCGCTCGGAGCAAAGAAAAGAGAGAAAAAAAAGGACGTACCGTAGTCAACACGTGTAGCAGGGGCAAGCGAGCTGCCATGGCGAAAATAGAGCGGGCCTCAATTGGGCCCGTGAAAATTGGCGTCGCGCCCGGGCTTCTAAATGTCGGCCCGTGCAAACCCCTAGCTGTCGGTCTTTTTGAAACATCTAGCGTCCGATAGCTTTACGCGAACCGCCAAATTGCTTTGGCAATCCCCGCACCTCGCTGTCCCCTCAACGAATTTCAAGAATTGAAATCCTCATCGAATATATAGGTGCTCGTGCGGTCGAGCATTGCATTTGTGCCTGCCTCTTTTATATAGTGCTTTTTTTTTAATTGCCTGTCATGTTCAAAGAGGGGCAAGGGGAGTAGGAATACATGCAAGCTGTAGATGACTCCCGACGAAAAATAAGAACGGAGATGAGAGGTGACTTTTATCAGGAGATATACGAATCCTAGAACTCCTTATTGGGTTAACTTCTATCTAAACAAAGTTTTCAATTATTTAATAAAACGAAAATACTTGTCACTTTCACCGGACCCGCTTCTTTGTCCCCGCAACATTTATTAATATAACATTTGAGAAATCCCTCACTTGTTCCAGATTAGCAGGTCTCAAATGTTTATTCGTTAGATAAACATTTATTGAATAAAAATGAAGCACATGAAATATACAGGGAGAATCTGAAGGCGGCCAGACTCTTAAATTGAGCGCCAAATCGACTTTTTAAACAAAGTTCGGTGTAAATAGGTACATAGGCATAATAAGGTGGAGCATTTGTTTAGTAAAAGTATGGAATGATTGGTTCACTTAGTAAAGGAGCATAGAAGCAATAATCTACACTTTCTATAACTTCGCGTGTAAATAACAAATTATTTTTAGGTCACTGCCGTCTTTATTTTGACTAACTGAAGATGATATCTTGCAATCATGTCCAAGCTAAACAGGCACAATCAGTCCAACACTTCCTAGATAAGAAAGGCTAAGTGCTTTCCTGCGTCACTAAAGAAAACCACCGTAGGCTAGAGATTGGACGCGACCTCAGCCTCAGCGTTCGTCTAGGTGTCTCCCTGCTTGGACACGAGCTCCAGCCGAACGCTGACACAGCACTCGGGTCCAATCTGTGGCCCTCGGTCAGTGGCGTCACGAGGGACAGCGGTACCCGGGGCGGTGGCTTGCTGCGAGCACCCCCTAATGACGCTACTGCCTACGGTGGCCTGCTTTAGTGACGCAGGAAAGCACTTAGGATTTCTTATCTAGGAGGTGTTGATCGTTGGTTGATCGGTCAGACAGGTGGCAAACTCCTTGCCCTATCACCCTTATACCACGTGCAAGTTGGTCTGCTCCTATGCACCTCGTGCATCTGTTTACCCCCGACCTCAAGCAATGACGGCTGCCTCGTCATCGCACGTTCCCTGAGCCTTCTCTATGTTGCCCTTCGATTGGCGTGCTCCTTTTTGCATTTCGATGCGCCAAAGACGGATTTCGGAACGCTTGCTCGCCGTATAGCCGTCACATCACCACGTATCCGCCTCTCACTCTCGCGCGCAAAAATTAAATTTATTTTTCTTACGCACTGGTCTGACAATGTGAGAGGCCTCGAGCTCTTCTCTCGTTATTTTTTAATTGTAACGTCACCAAAAGACGGTTTACACTTGCATATAGTTGTCAGTGTAACGGGAAGTGCCCTCCTACCTAAGTTTCCAGATAAGGGATTCCCTACAAGTAGCGACATTCTTTGAAGCGCCGACTGCGGGATGGACTGAACTGAATGACGCCATTTTGTTCCAGCGGAATGTGCTTTGTCATGTGTATTGGTTGCCGTTACCTGTAAAAAGAACTACCAAGGGACTTTACTCCGACCGTGGCAGCAAGAGAGTAGTTATATGTTCTCTGAGCCTATCGTTTAAACATCTTTCAGTCTGCCACAATCGGAGGGCACTCCCCGTCACACTGCTACATGTGCAAGTGTGCTTTGGTGACGCTACAATTTTAGGAAAAAATAAAGATAGAATGACGAGAAAAGTGCTCGAGGCTTTTCACATTGTCACTCTGGAAGACCAGTGCGGGCGAGAGTGAGAGGTGGCCACGTGGTGATGTGATGGCTAGGCAAGGTTGATGGGGCAAGGGGTTTGACACATACGTCGAACTGATTGTGCTTGTTTGGATTCGTCCGTTCTGACTTCAGTTGCGAGTCAGCGTCCGTCCTGTTTGCGTGTTTCCCCTGCTCCGTCTGTGTTTTTTTCTTCTTTTTTTTTTTTGGCGGTGTTTTACGTTATGATTTTAACGGACACACACCCTCTTCCAGGAGGAAGTTCTGCATTAGAAGACTGCAAACCGGGACAGACATGGTTCCTACCAAAAGAGCACTCTTCGCCTCCCGCAAAAGAGAGCGACCACGAAAAGGAGAAAAACAACACCGGACGGGCCACCAGAGAACCCGGACGAGAACTGCAAACGCTGCAAAGTCCCCGCGTCCGCGAAATACATCTTCTGGGAATGCCAACAGACCGCACCGAGGCACGAGGATCTCCACAGACAGCGGTCCGACAGCGATTCGACTGGATAGCTCACCTCACCCCAACACAGTAAAGCATTATCTGTTTCCCTTCTACGTGAAGGAAGCCAACCGCCAACACAACTACCTCAGTAACTTCATCATCATCAACACCTCTTTTGCCTCTTTCTCCACAAAAATTTGAAGGTGAAACTGGCATTGAATAGATGGCGCTGCCTACCGTCCAAATACAATTTATTTATGGATGCTGAACTATAGCAATACATTGCCACAGTGACTGCAGCAGCAGCAGCGGAGTTGGCGTCGCGTCGACTACGCATTTTTATTTTCTTGTTTTCAGCTAGTCTTCGGTAAAATTTCTCTTCCCACCTGCACACAACAGTAATAGGTAAGTGTCTGGCCTTCCAGTCGTTCTTGAATCAAACGCGAGGTAGTACCGAGAAACTCAAACACTTCGATTTACAGTGATCGCGCAGGCCGGAACATCTCGTGGGTTAGGGTTAATGGGGCCAGAGCTTGGGTCTGCGACGCTAGGCTCTGATCACACCAGCATCATTGTATAAGATCGCAGCTGAGCTCCGGCCGGTCTGGATCCTTTTCATCTCTTGATCGGTTAACTGCAGGCACCAGATCGGACTGTAGCTGCCTGTGCCGTTGGCCTAGCGTCGACCCCCTCTTTTTAGGCTCATTTGATGCGCACGCCTCTGCTTTGGGTTCGAGACTAATGACGACATACTAATGCTTGGCATTGTGCATGTTGACGACGATGGACTGGATCAACTCGGTTTCAAGTTGTAGCTGCGTTCCGTTCGGATATCAAAGCCCTTAGAAATCCGGACGTCTGGCTCGGACGCAGACGAACGTTCAGACGTTTGCGTCCGAGCGTTCTTTTGTAACCGCTTGCTGCGAAAGAACACTTGCATTCGGATCTACGTACTACCTATGACAGGGGTCTCAAACTCATTCGAGTGTGGGGGCCAGATGGCCTACCCCCGAACGGACCAGGGCCAACGGAGGGGGGAAAGGGGGGGTAGACCAGGCTAGGCCAGGCAGGCAGGCAATATGTTGCTATTTTGGGACAAAAATACAAACAAAAAACACCAGTGGTGTTTTGCGTTGGAAAGCAGCAGACTGTCCCAGTGGCACCCCAGATATTTCCTAGGCAAGTATTATTGTGCTGTCTGCTTTTCATAAGCTCACCGTTTTGCCATATTTAGCTCTCATTGGCATATACGACTACTTTGGGCCTACACCTGTTCTTTTATGAAGATTTAAAACGTCGCCGCACCACAGTACTCGCAGTTTACAATAGAACGAGAGCAAGCAAACCGTCCTTGCCCTGTCACACTATTCACTAGGCTCAACAGGCACATAAAACATTCTCTCATATGGCAGTTTCTACTTTTCTGACGGTTTTTATTGCACCGGTATAAAAACATTCATTTTAAAGGTATTGCCTGAAAGCTAGAAACCCGAGCTCATAGCTTTATTTTTGGAAGTTGCTCTTGCTGAGCAAGAGTTTGTGCAGCCAAGGTGCCTCCTTGGGCAAAGAGCTTGCACTTGTAGCCTAGTAGTGGTATTGCCATTCCGTTTGATTTACATGAGAAAATAATGAGAAGGAAATATTTAGACAACGCAATTCTCCGTCATAAAGATAAGCAGAATAGTGCAAAATGCGTGAACACGTTAAATGAGCAGAGTTCCCGTTTGAGCGGAAATAAATTGACGATGTGCATGTGGTGCTCGAGGCATGGGAACAGGGGCTTGCAGCCGCGTAATGCTTGCGGGCCGCTTCCCAAAGCATCGCGGGCCACGAGTTTGAGACTCCTGACCTATGAGAACTGGTCACTTCTAACTTTGTCAGAATGGTTTCAACACAATTAATGAATAATCCGAAAAAAGAAAAAAAAAATGTATTGGTTTATTGAGGGTTCCTGGGCTCCTGATAGGTGGCACCAGTGCCTTCCTTCGTCCTAACTTTTGCAGGAGAGCCCAATACATTCAAGCACAGTCAAACACAGACGTGTGAACAATCCTTTGGGTACTATAAACCTAGGCACTTTCCATTAGTGCTTCTTGGCTAACGCAGGAGCTAAATCTCAACGGAAAACGGATGAAAATATCTTGGCATTCCTTGTAATCGTTCCATTCTAAGGTATTGCTAGGCACCAGCCACACGGTAATTCTCAAACTATTGTACACATGGCTGTTGAGGGCATGCTGAGAGCGAGCTTTGGTGGGATTCAGTTTGCACCATGAAAGGGATACTTCAACGAAATTTGGAATATACCCGTCGTGTTCAGAAATGGGCTGGATATGATCCACAATATCCGTAAATGACAATCGTACGTTTGTATTTTGAGCTTGATGGCTGTATTTTTTTGTTATTAACTGCCCAATCTGGTAAGCACCCGGAGAGCAGCCAGCGGAGAGCATGTCGCATCCGGCGCAGTCGTGGCATAGATTGTCTCAGGATGAGCAAACCTGCAGCAAGGCTGACGTCGTCAGGATGCCCTAGCTGTTCCAGCCACTGAAGGAGTTGAAGCATGCCAGCGATCAGGCCACCACAACTAACCGTAAAGCTACTTTTGTATGAATTTTGAGTGACTGGTTAATCTTCTATAATCTCGTAAAGGGGGAATAGCGACCTCTGGGACACACAGAAGAGAGTCCCTTTGAGTGGGGACTTCTCCTTTTCTCTTGTGCTGGCCGGAGAGCTGTCTGGATAACGTCAGGTTCAAGGCATGTATAGTTCTAGGCGAAACAGTCATCGTCTTTACCTGTCAAGGTTCCTAGATGCACATTACAAGTGAGGCTTTAGCGACATCCACCAGGTGCCCCGTGCTAATCGTTTAATTAGTTTTAAATTTCCTTTTCGTGTCTTTTTTAGAGCGCAGCTCTTAGGCGCCTGTTCCAGGCTTGAGCGGCGTCGGCGTAACCGCGCGGTGCATTATGGTTAAATTTCCCCGCTAAATCTAGCGGAAAAATTTCCCCGCTAAATCTAGCCCCCGCTAGATCTAGCGGAAATATTTCCCCGCTAAATCTAGCGGAAAAAATTTCCCCGCTAAATCTAGCGGAAAAATTTCCCCGCTAAATCTAGCGGAAATATTTCCCCGCTAAATTTAGTGGAAAAAATTTCCCCGCTAAATCTAGCGGAAAAACTTCCCCGCTAAATCTAGCGGAAAAACTTCCCCGCTAAACCTAGCGGAAAAATTTCCCTGCTAAATGTAGCGGAAAAATTTCCCCGCTATATCTAGCTAAAAACTTCCCCGCTAGATCTAGCGGAAAAATTTCCCGCTAAATCTAGCGGGGAAATATTGGTCACGTGACCTCGGGGGGGGGGGGGGGGGGGGGCACGTGACTCCCCCTCCACGTGGACCCCCTCCCCTTAGGTCACGTGACCCCAACAAGGTCACGTGCCCTGGGGGGGGGGGGGGGGGGGGGGTCATGTGTGACCCTTTTCCCTATGTCAAGTGACCCCCGAGAAACCGTGGCCCTCAGTACCCTTCCCTCCTCCTCAAGAGCTGCGCTCCAATTCGGCGTTACAGGGAGTGGTAAACGGCTTTCGCTTTTTTTAACAAGCTATTGGTATGTCCGATGGGATACTGATCCTTTGGACTTGTATAGACCAAAAAATAATTGCCGAAATTTTGTTGTAGGATCCCTTTAAAACTTCAATTCATATAATGCTGTTGAGGGCATGTTGAGAGCGAGCTTTGATGAGTTTCAACTTGCCCCGTTAAAACTGACATTTTTGGCAGCCGGTAAGTTACTTTACACATGGATGGTGCTGATGACCATATATGAATGCCGACTATTGGTGATGAAACATACCATTTGAATACACTCTTTAAAAAAATTGTTGTTGTCTACCGTAAAATACCGGTCAAGCGCCCACTCAAAATTTTGAGATAATCATGAAAAAATGGGGGATGGGCGCTTGTCCGGTTATCAATTCTACATATCAATGCACTGTGCATATTTTCTCAGATTTTACAAATTTGGGAATGGGCGCTTAATGTGGTATGGGTGGATCCACGGTATTCTGCGGTGGGTTGGAATGTTGATGCCACGTCATACAGTGCCAAAGAGAGGTGTTTGTGTGAATGACGGGTCTGATATTTCTTTGTGTCAACTGACCGTGCAGTCGTGCCAATCAATTACAAACGTTCCACCTGAAGAGAATGCTCCCGTCGAACGTATGTTCATGTGGTGGAAACAGTTGGTACGAAAAATTATTGAACCGCACATGAGAAACAGGCTTATGCGGTTGCACTACATGTTTCAGCATGGTTATGCATGATTTCTTCCCCTGCTGTTTCTCAACAACATGCAGAAGTGAGGAACTGAGTAACCTTGGGACATGTTTAGCTTGACAGAGTGATCCGTGGTTCTTGTTTTTCCTCTTGGAATTGAAATTTTCTTATCATGACTAGTCGCTGTCAAGATGAGAATGACATGGTGGAGCACCTTCTTTTGTTTCGTCTTCAGCAGAAGTTTTCTAGCTTTTATAACACTTCAGCATCATATAGGCCTCATGCATGCAGATGCCACCAGAGCCTGACGAAAGGCAACTTACGCTTGCTGGAGGCCTGGCATTCGAAAAGGACACCCTGCTGTTCATGTCCTGTCAGTAACCGGTAGCGTGACGGATTGTGCTCATCTCATCTGGGGCGACAAAATTTGTCATTCGTCAAAACCCCTTCTAATAAAAAAAAACGAAAAAAACTGTTCGGTATTGCATTTGCACGGTATACATCGCAGCTTTTTTGAACATTTTATTGGATAGCATTATTTTATAGATTGTTTGACTTCCGCATAACTTTCTCGAAATAGTCGCACCTGATGGCCAACATCTTCCCTGCTGGTATCTGAATTGAAAACGGCAGCCATTGTGCAGTCTGCATTGGAGTGCACTGGAGGCTTCAACAATGGTTGCCACGTTGCGAGGAACACCCGTCGCTTATATGGCCGTCTCTTTGTGTTCCCACGGCAGGGCTGAAGTGGCACGGGGACTCCGAGAGCGGCGAGATGGCGTCCACGGCAGCGGCATTTCAAAGTAAGTCAGGGAGATTTTAAGAGCTCGGAGTGCACTGCACAAGGACAGTATTGCAAGATATCGTAAACAACATCATTTTTGCAAAGATCTAATTTTCGTGAATTTTGTGACTGCAAAAACATTGCAAAACATTTATCCAGCGATCGAAGTGCTGCGCCATTTGCACCAAATTGTGCCACTAATGAAAGTCCGCTACAGCTTGCGCTAAAATGCAATTTTTGCTTAGAATTGCACCACGCCTGTACCGAGGTAGGCTTAAGAAAAACAAACACTACATATATTTTATTATTGGTTGGCTTTTATATCGAGAGAAGTAGGAGGAAAGGAAAATGGTACAAATACTATTTTACGGCGTCTCTACTCACCATGTAGTTCCTTTCATCTTGGGTCATAGCACAGTCAAAGGATCGAACATATTTAACCACAAACACACATACTAAAAGCAGAAGTCACGACACATTCGCTGTACTTAATTTGTTTAGTTGATGAAAGAACGCATACATGAAGACGGACGAATGACATGATGTCGCACTTTGACACTCTTTGGTTGGTCCCATTGGCTGGTGGCGTCGGCTGCACTTTAAATTAAGGTGAAGCGATGTCTAGAGATTGCTCATCAGCCGTGCTGACCAGTTGATTGCCGACTTTGTCTAAATTTCCAGGCAATGTCGGCGATGCTGGGAGCTAAAAGTCGCGAGAAAACATTGCAAGATATGGGATGGTGGCCACTGTGATAGGTCTTGTACTCCCGATGAGATCACTTGATTGTCATGTCCGCCACATGCCTCCATGCCGCCTCTCACCAGCGCTCACGCATCTAGCTTCACCGCTTTGCACCGGAGTCCTAGGAGCAGCGGCTGACAAGGGTGACCGCCTGGGTTAGAGCTGTCAATCGGAAGAGCAGCGAACTTTGATTTTACTTTGGTTCCAATGCCGCTAAAGAGCAGTGTCACTTTTAAAGCACAAGTGTAGGTTTTCGTAATACTTGTGGGTGGTTGTTTTTTTTTCAGTTCATAATATTAGTCTTGAGTTTGGTAGGTTCGTGAAGGGGGTGGGTGGGCGAGGCTGTTGAGTTTGGTAGGTTCAGAAAACTTGAAGGGGGTGGGTGGGTGAGGCACATTTTTATTGATAGACATACTTCAGTGGATATGCTGGTGTTTGCAGAAATTTTACAGATTATATTTACACGCTAATTAAACTACCAGGTATGAAAGTGGGAGGGAAAAGGCTTTACACCAATTGAAAAGTTGCTCTATGATTAATTTTTCAACCATTTTGTGAGTATCCATTCTAACTGGAACCTTCTCTCACCAGAGAATTTGTTTTGAAAAAAATGTGCCCCAGGTTCGTTTTGCACCCTATCTACTATTACTTAAGGTAGTAAGTAATATGGTCCAGTATCAAAAAGAAACTGTCAATCGTTATCAAGGATGAACTCCCTTTAGCGACACAATCACTTTTTCAATTTCTAGTGATGTGCTAACAACAGATGCTGGAATCTGCTCCAAAAGCGTCAGTGGCTGCTCCAAACCTATTATATCTTGCCTGCTACCGAACCTGCTACAAGAGGTCAAATTCCGCTTCCATCACTGCTGATCCCTCGAATATATCGCCAAGTGGTAACAAAGACATAGCATATCACTCCGAATAGTGGAGTTTGTTGCCCGCAAAAAAGTCCCGAAACCCACCCTTCGCAATTTGCTAAATATATAGAGCCCACGAAAAGTAAGCCGTTTGCAGTATACAGTATACTCTCATCATTGGAATGCAGCAGATGTTTTCGCTTGTGCACAATTGGCCCGGTGCCAGGGACAGAGAGAGCAACACCTTGCAACTTAACTACTAAAACTAGAGGTTCACAATAAACTAACATAGAAAGGGTGACCTCCACACTCCAAGAGGCACTCCGAACAACGCTTGTCCGAGCTTTCCCTGAGCCATTCAGTGGTTTGCTCTCAACAAGTAGTGCTATACTAATCATGTAATTATCCATAACGAGAATTATCGGATGTATCGCGATAAGCTGCAATTGTCGTGCACGTATGGTTCATGGTGTGCAAAAAAAATATGGAACACAATCATCGTGCTTAGTGGGCACTTATCAATTTCCCTTTCAGCTAGTAAGTTCTTCTATCAGTTGCGCCATTAGGGTCCAGGTATTTTTTTATTGCGCTTCATTGTTCCAACATACCTAACAGAACGCTTTCTCTACACATTCGTATTCCATGCGTGCTCGGTACCTAGTGGTATTGCCCGTCGGAACTGCGTGCATTTGCTTCGGGCCATAACCATACTGCCGAAAAGACGAGCAAACTCGAAGACGGGCTTGGTATGGGACCGTGTCGACGACGTGGGGTCAACCGGTGTCTGAACGGCACGCCGCTTGCAGGCCTCGCCGAACTGGCCCACCGGGAATACCAGGCGGGCGACTACGAGAATGCGGAGCGGCACTGCATGCAGCTCTGGCGACAGGACCCTTCCAACACGGGGGTGCTGCTGCTGCTCAGCTCCATCCACTTCCAGTGCAGGCGCCTCGACAAGTGAGCCCATCTTGGCCACGCTGCCTGGAGCGCCTCTGCAAACATTGTGTTTACCGCGACCTCAGAAGTGCTCGCTCGATTTTCGCCCCACGACGTTGTACGAGTGTCACGCCGTCGCTGGCTGCAATCTTGGCAGTGTCCAAGTGGCAGTGGTGGACGCGTCAGATGTATGTTCTGCTGCCGATTGCTCTCCAGCTCGACACAAAAGTCGGGATACCGCGATGACAGCGACACTTGCATCTGCTGTTACTTTCTGCCAAAACTTGTATGACATCCAACGGCACGACAGGCCACTTCGGGACCACTTTCGATGCATGGACCATGCGCATCGAATTGGGTTCACGCACAGTAACTCTTGTTTTAGGAATTGATATAGATAAGGTTAATACGGTAATCTCGCATCAGTTGAATCCTGATATTACGCAACGACGGCTTATTTTTTTTAGATAAGCCGGTGAAGGCGCATGCCACCCCTTAACTCTTCTCGGGGGGTTGGGTGGTTGAGCATTTGGCATTTTGGCACATTTAAGCTCGGAGTATGTGGAGTGAAAGGTGCCCCAGGTTCAATCACCACCCCCACCCATTTCGATTTGGAGGAGCGTCGTACCGGCATGCGGTCATGTATCGCTTCCGAGTCATACTGCACCGGCTAAATTCCTCGTTTATGGCGTAAACCAGCGCCGCCATACCTCAAAGGCAGACCGAGCTTACGCTGTCTAAACACAAAATTTGGTTCTTAACTCCGTTTAGGTCTGCCAACTTCTCCACACTGGCCATCAAGCAGAACCCACTGCTGGCGGAGGCCTACTCGAACCTGGGCAACGTGTACAAGGAGCGGGGCCAGCTTTCGGACGCCCTGGAGAACTACAGGCACGCCGTGCGGCTCAAGCCGGACTTCATCGATGGCTACATCAACCTGGCCGCCGCCCTGGTGGCAGCGGGGGACATGGAGCAGGCCGTGCAGGCCTACGTGTCCGCCCTACAGTACAACCCCGTGAGTGGAAGGGGTTTCCGCACAGCCCAAGGCCCCCGCAACCTCGTTCCGCTCATTCTCTTAAAGGCCGACCTGCAGAGCCGTCTTCTCTCAAAAGGAAAACCGTTTACTTAATAATTTATTTATTTACATTATCCTGAGGGCCATTAGGCATTAGAGAGGGCCTTGGGCATTAAATCCCAATGTTGAAAATGGCTTTACGAAATCTGATGGGGTCCTTGATAGTAGCAATGTCTTCAGCAAGGTCATTCCAGTCTACAATTGTGTCAGGGAGAAGAGCGTTTCGATGTGCTGGGAAAAAACATTGCGACCGGGCTATTTTGTTACAATGATCTAGTCTTGCCGAAGGAAGGATAGGTTGGTGGATAGAGAAGATACTTCATGTCACGTGGCTTATACACAAAGTCGGTCTCCTTGCAACGTTTAGCGGGAAACTGACTCCACATGACCCCACCACCAATTCAATTTACCGCTAAAGTTAGCGGGGAAACTGAGTTGGTGCTGAGGTCATCTTGCCGCTAAATTTAGCGGGGAAACTCAATGCACAGTGTTGCATTATGGGACATCAACACCAATTCAGTTTTGTCGCTATATTTAGCGGGGAATTGAGTGGGTGTGTAGGTCCATGAGGTATCATAATGCAACGCGCGCGGTTATTTTGACGCCGACCCCACTGTACACGGAAACGGGCGCCTGGGAGCTGCTCTCTAAAAAGGTACCCACAAACGACTCCCTAAACACGAGGGATTGGTTGTCTTGACACGGGACCCCTCACTTTTAAAGATTAGGTGGTGTTTATTTTCTTTTACTATATGATAAATGGTAGGGTTGGTCGCAGCATGAGGACTAGCTTAGTTCTAGACAAAAGAAGTAAAATGCCGCATGGAGTGCTCCTGGCATGCTGAGGTACGAAAACGACTGCTACACTCTGACACTTGGAAATGTGGTGGGTTATGCAAAACTCTTTTTAACGACTTGAAGTACTCGAGGCTCCCTGCATGGCTTTTCTTGCGTCCCGGTCAGGGCGCCGCAGGGCCTGCTCGTACTGCCTCACCCCGTACATGGTGTGTCGGTATTGCACTCAGCCCCACCTTTGATTGACCTGCCACATGGCATTTTCCATCTAATTAAAATCTACGAGTAAAGCAGTTAGATTAGGAGAGACGAGACGAGGACCAGATAAAAGAAGCGGGCGAAAGGAGCGTAGAAACGACTCGGGCACCCATGAATAAGTTGCGTTCCTTCGACGAAAAAGAAGACTGATCGCGCTTCTCTCCGCAAAACGTGCTTTGTGCGAGACCGGACGTCTGCGCCCACAAACCTGCCCTCTTTCTGTCTCGTTTCAGGATCTGTACTGCGTACGCAGTGATCTGGGGAACCTGCTGAAAGCCTTAGGTAGGCTAGACGAAGCCAAGGTACGCCACCCCCGTCGACGTCTCCTCGGGCCTGCGCGATCTGGAGTTCTTCTTCCCTCGCCCTCCTCCCCCCACTTGCATTTTGGTTCCTCGACGGTAAAGCGGGGTATAGTCGCTGACGGAGTGAGAACTGCGGGGTGTCTTTTTCCGCCGCCCAGCCTCCAGCACCCGCTTGTTGCCTCTTTTCCTGCGCATGTACGTTGTTTTACTGACACCCAGGCATTATCCGAGGTGGGAAGCTCGCGCTGGAGGCGACAGAACTCCCACCTGCCGTTCTCATTCTGTCAGCGACCATAGCGGGGCCACTCCTCTTGCCGGGGCCAAGGGACAGAGCGGGCCAGGCTCGAAGCGCCAAGGCGGCGGCAGCGGCGCATCGTATCGTGGCTGGGTAACAGACTGCTCCTTAGTTTTCAGTACCGCCTTTGAACCCCAGCGCCCCTCCCCCCACCTTGGTTGGCCACTTTTTGGGCCTCCCCGACACTCCTGCCAGCGAGCAAAGTGCGAGATCGACGACGTCTTCCAGAACCACGACGACGACGTGGCCGGGGCGCAGCGGCGGCGGCGGCGGCGCAAACCCCGGGCTCTGCTGCCTGCACCGCGTGGCCGGAGACTCTGCTCGAACCTCTGGGATTCTTGCGGCGACATGAGGAGGGTCTCTGCGGGGATTGCTGGCGGCCCGAGCAGAGCTCTGCGATGGTGGCGGCGGCGGCGGCGGCAATGCGCAGCCAAGGCGTGCAACTGCAGTAGTTTGCGGTGGCGGTGGCATAAGCGATGGCAGTGCGTGCGGCGTAAGGCGATGCAGCGTAAAGCGATGGCGGCATAGGCGGAAGGCGATGGCGGCGCAGAGCGATGGCGGCGAAAAGCGGCGGCAGTGCAAAGCGGCGGCATGCGTGCATTTGTTTTTGGTAGTTCGAGTTTGGCCCGCACATTTTATCGGAGCCCTTCCCCGCGAGAGGAGTGGCTACTGGTGAAGGATGTGTCTGGGATCGTGACCCGCACCCGCCCGGGACGCAGTACCCCGGCGCGGGTGCAGGCCACAGTCTCTCAGGGGAGAGAGAGTTTGCAGGTGTCCCAGAGAGTGCCGTGGCGCCCCACCGACTAATGCTCCTTCTTCTTTCTTCTCTCCCGAAGCCTCGGTTTGGGTGTAGTGTTTGGTAAGGCGGCCAGGGTAAGAAAGGCTCAGCGGCGTCTACTGCGACGGGGGATCTCGGCTGGCGGCGCTCCTCAGGCTGCGGTAACCTGGTCAGTCCGCCCCTGACGCTGGGCTAGACCCCTTTTTCTCTCTCTTCTCTGTGGCTCTTCCCCCCCGCGGCCACGTGGGACCGCCCCCGGGAGGCGGGGCACGGCCACCCGCCCGCTTGGGGCACTTCCGGGGGCGGTCCTGGGAGGCGCGCTGGCGACTTCGCCCGGCACGGAGCGGCAGCACGAGCGCGTCCCCTCCCCCGCGCGACGCCGTTTCTTTTGCGAGGCCTGCGCGCGCGCATAGTCGGCTGCGAGGTGCGTCCCTGCGCGGCGCGGCGGCGAGCGGCGGTGATTTTGGTGGCCGCCGGCCTGACGTTTGTCCTCCCCACGGGGCGTGCGGGCGCACAGGCGTGCTACCTAAAGGCCATCGAGACGTGCCCCACCTTTGCGGTAGCCTGGAGTAACCTGGGCTGCGTGTTCAACGCCCAGGGCGAGATCTGGCTGGCCATCCACCACTTTGAGAAGGCAAGTAGCGTCGGCAGATGCCGCGCACGGCGCCTTAAAACGCGGCTTCCACCGGTGCGTTTACCGCGTCCCAAAAGTGGTCCCATTATTTCTGCCCAAAACCGTTGCAACGGTGTTAACCTTGCCGCGATCCTGGTGGTGGCACTGCAGCGTGGCCGGACAGGGCTTACGCCCGTTCTACCGTACGTCGCTCCCCAACTCGAAAGTCTGTGGAAGTTGTGGCAGTCACGAGTTGGGACTTTGCGACGACGGCGACAGGCTTATACGGCCGCCTGCCAGGGTCGTGACGACACAACAATCTGGCTCCCACGACATAATTTGTTGCCACTTCGGGACCACTTCCGATGCGAGAGCAGTGTCGGGCGCAAAATCGGTACTACCTAGAGGGCGGCCTGTGTGTGATGTCGTTAGTGGATCTTGCCTTAAGCGGTAAACACACTGAAGCTTGATGAGAGTGGGCTAACATCGCGAGATGCCCTATCAACGATGCGAGGTAGGCGGTGCTGTGGGGATCTACTAGCGACAATGTTTTGGGCGAGGGGAAAGGTTCGGGCCTTGTAGGCGGTATTGGCTAAACGCATTGGTAGAAGACTCGTTCCATAGAGCCATCGTCTCTTCGGAGCCGCTTATAAAGGCGCCTCTCTGACTTAGGCAGTGGCGCTGGACCCCAACTTTCTGGACGCCTACATCAATCTGGGCAACGTGCTGAAAGAGGCACGCATCTTCGACCGGGCGGTGGCGGCCTACCTGCGCGCCCTCAACCTGAGCCCGAACAACGCGGTGGTGCACGGCAACCTGGCCTGTGTCTACTACGAGCAGGGCCTCATCGACCTGGCAGTGGACACCTACCGGTAAGCCCCTTCCGAGCACTGGGAGTCTCTCGGTGGCGCCGAGGCAAGACGCCGGCTGACGGGTCCGAGGTGCTTGCAGTTTGTTGGAGGCTCGTTGCGGAGAAGGCGTCGCGTGACCGAGATTCCGGTTGAACATGAAACAATCCCCAGTGGTCGAAATGAATCCCCAGTCTTCGGCTGGAGCGTGCCAGATGCCCTTCGTCGGTTTGGCACGTGAAACCCCCCAATTTGACTTTGATTTGAGGTTGCACTCTTGGGACTCCAGAACGTGCTGCAGACCTGAATTTGAGACAGTGATCGAGAAGATCCGTTTAAATTAATGTTGATGTACTTAATTAAAGGGACCACACTGGCTAAAGGTTGAACTTCTGAACTACTAAAGTGATCAGAATGAAATTTGCAGGGGAGATTTAACTTCAGATATAGGTGGATTGTGCAGACTTTCAGTTCTCTAGGACAACTTTACACACATGCATAAAAAGATGTGTCACTCTTCGTCAAGAAATCTATATGGAAATGGAGCTATTAAGCATCATTTTGACTGCTTGAATATAAAGTGGGGGCTGTGGGACATCGGGCTATCTAGTTTTTATAACTCATATGTAAATATTTTTGGATGAGTGATTACCTCAAAATATGCGATGCATATCTGTCCTATGTCAATGTTTGTAAACATAGTTTTTTCTCAATGAGGTCTTTAGCTTAAAACAAAATAAGGCAGATAGCCCGATTCCTCAGTAAATTTCACTTCAGAAACATCTCGATTGTGGTATCAGAATAATTTTACCTTCAAACAGAAGATTCCTTGGTATGAAATTTGGAGCAAAAAGCGGAACTGAGAAAAATGCCTTCAAACATTGAACATCTTTACTTTGTTAGTGCCTCACAATGTGTTGAAAATATTTTATATCAACATACCTATTTGGCACAGGGTTATGAAATTTAGTGTAAGGGTGTAGGATTAGTTCCTAAAACCAAAAACCTCAAAATTGAAAAATTAATTTTTTCAAAAAATTTGGAAACTTAGGCCAATGTCCCCCCTTAAAGGGACCATGAAACAATTTTGAAATCGAATTTCATCCACTGCACGTCGTAAAATGTGTGAAAAAAAAAAACCAAAACAGAAATAGCCAAAATAAATTTCGTCATAGAACTTTTAAAAGAAAAACGGACTCTTTCATGTCTTCTTTCCTTCGAAAGCTCTCTGCCTTCTCATTGCGATGCATCCACGGTGCCAAAGCATGTCAGCCGAATCCACATCGCCTATTGGACAAGAGCCTACCTCACCAGCACCACAATCATAAACGATAAATAGCCGGCGAATGTTTTTTTTTTTTTAATTTTTATTAAAGAATATTCTTATCCCCATTTTGTAGCATAATTAGCCATGTGATAGAAATAGCCAAATTTTATAATGCTCGGAGCCATGCGCCATCTATCATGTGGTAAACGAAGCAAATGAAAGATCAGACTGCGCCTGCGCCGTCAACCCACGCGCGTCGTCTGCTGAGGAGAGCTCAACCGTGCGTGTTGCATGCCGGTCGCCGTTCCTGCTATCTGCTGAAAAACATGGCGTCAGTGTTGATCAACGATGCGGTCGGCGTGGTGGAAGCTCATCGTTCCGCGTAGAGCGCTATCCTTGACTGAATTCTCGTCGTGTGTCGCAATGATAACTTAGCACATCCTAGAAGGGAAGATCCATCTACCCATGCAGCAATGTTGTGGCGGCACTCTCGAGACAACAGTATTGCTTGTGCCATTGTGTTTGTTTACTCCAACTACAGTGATGCTTCCTTAGCATTTGTGTCCTTGAACATCTCCCGGATTTCTTATTTTGCACATTTCATGTGTGTGCTTAAAGGCCGCCGTACAGTTCGCGCTTTCCACTTTTTCTGCGTTTCCTCCTCTCCTGCCCTCCTTTCCTTCCTTCACCGCCCTCCCCCGAGGGGACAACATGGAGAATGGATTAGGAGACGCCTCCGTTAATCCGGCTTAACCCGCCGAAAAGGGGGCCTGCTGCTTGACTAAAAACTATTTAATGCTCAAAAAAAAAAAAAAAAAAAAAACCGCCGCGGGCAGCGATTGTATGCGCTTTGCCGGATGCGCAACGCTCCGTCCGCATTGAACAAGCTTGTATGCCTTGGACTAACATTTTTTGAAGTGCGGCAGGTTTAGTGTAGGTCCTATCATATGGTCCTGCAAGACTTCCCTGTCCGCCACAAGCTAGCCAATAATTCAAGAACATAACGACGGCAGCGTAGTCAAACAGTGTAAAATAAAATGTACATAATATTTCTAAGAACACCGTTGTCTTCACTGCTTGGCTTTCAAATTCTTAGCGCTGCCAATAATCGTAATCAAACTATTTTCATGATTGAAGACAACTCGTCGTGCATCGACCCCAAGATTACGCTTACGTGAAACATGATTCGGCGCGGGAGCGGCTCGAGTCACCGTAAACATTTTTTTTTTTCAACGTGGATTTTGCTTTTTTAATTTAGCTGAGGCACCACTGGCAGAACACGAATCGCATACTTGGAAGGTATATACCGTCTGAAAACTCATATAGCTGGTTCAGTGAATGCAATACTATCGCATTCGTTGAAGCTTGATTTGTTGATTCGAACTTCAACAAATCACACGCACCCATTCTCCCTATTCCTGTTTACCCAGTCATAGTCGTTCCCTCACGATGCAATACGAGTACAAGTAACCAGTTTATGCATTGTTGACGTTAATTGGACAGCCGTGATCACACGGTTTTTAGAAGCGCTATAGAACGAGCACAAGCGTCGAATTCCGGTACACTGATTCATTTCTGTCTCACCGCCGTGACGCCACACGAGAAAAGCGATTTCGTTCTGTCTGTGAAATTAGGAACACAGAAATCAAGCCATAATCCCGGTAATAAAACAAAGCGAAATGGATCTCTGCAGCCAATACCCAACCGTTTGCGAGGTGACTAGGCGAAAGCATATATTACCTCCGTACCTTTACCCTCTGCACACTGCCAGAGAGAGTCATACAAACTCCTTGGAGCTATTGTCAACACGATTGCGTTTGCAAGCCTCTAGTTTGACTCGGCTGGGATTCGTCCCTTTCATAGCTCTCTATGAAACGAGAAAGGTAGATACTTTTCTACATTGGGTGGGTTTGCCCGGGGCCTCCAGTTATTTACGGCCAAAATCACACTGGAGGCGCTTCAGCAATGTTCACTCTGGTCGACACACGTGCACACTAAAAATGCTAGTCGTCTGCCTTCCCAAAAGATACTTGAAGAGCCAATCATAGACACCGACGGATAACGAGGCCGAAATTATGCTTATACCTCAAAACAATTATAACACAAATTTGGCCTCGTCATTCCCAAGCTGGTTGCCGGACGAAATTCTCTATGCGTATTGCAAGCCAGGGTTGGTAATAGTCACATAAGATACGTACGGCAGAATTCCCTGCCATAAATAAAATGATTTGGCTAACGCTAATGTTACGCGAAATAGGTGCAAAGAGTTTTGCAAAAGGGAGCGTAAACCGAGAAAAAGGAAAAAAAAAAAAAAGACAGAAGAAAAGGAGAAGTAAGAATAATAAAAAAAATCTCTGGCGACGTGGCAAAAAAAAAAAAAAAAATTCTGTTCATGTGATTTTTATTGTCACGTCACCGAACAAAAAAAAATAAACGAAATAAAAAAAGAACACGAGAAAAAATCATCCCCTGCCCGGTTTCGAAGCTAGGCCCTCTTGATCGTGAAACTAGCGCGCTATTCGTCGCGCCTAGTTGCGCCGACATAACTTTTTTTTTTTTCTTTCTTTATTGCAAGTTGCGCCAACATAACTCTGCCTGTAATGCTCGCGCATTTTCACATCATAGGAGAAAGCTTAGGTGCCTTCGTAGTTTTTCATGTATGTGTTGTTTTTATTTGTGGCAAGAGTTCACGTTCCAGAATGCTTTTAGAGTTTTGGAGCAAAACGAGTTTTTTTCATCCGAGTCACCTTCTAGAGCCAGTAGTCCGCACTGGGTCGTCCAGCTAATCAAGCAGCTATTTTCAAATTCTCTGACGTGCCCGTCCTCGCATCCGAGGTCGCCGTTTGACAAGCTTATCTTCCACCTGGTAGCCGGAACCCCAGCGGCAGCTTTGTTCCGTCCCCACTCCCTCTCGAGAGGACGGCTCGCCCCGGGGCTAATCCCCATTCTCTAGACGCCCTTTCCACCCAACGCTGGCCCTTTCCCTCCCCGTCTCCAGCTTCGGGAGAGAAGGTTCTTCCCTGCAGAACGTCCCGTTTGTACAGCGGCCTTTAAGTTCAAGGTATTGTACTGGTATGTACTGTACTTAAAGGCATGTATGAAGGATGCAAATTTTGACGCGTTTTCATCACCCAAGAAAAGTGATTAGTGTTAACATTCCTTGAACGATCGCAATGTCTATGTGATCACGAAATCATATTTGTATGTTGCTATATCGCTGCTAAGATTACATCATCTTTTGCAATCATAGAAAAGGCATGTGGCAAGATTTGTACTATTGCTAAAATTGTGTGTTAAAGCCGTGATCGTCCAAGACGGCATACTGCGTCTTTTTTTCTTTTTCATCCACTTTGCCCTGCGAGCCTATCGTGACAAAATAAAAATTAATAAAGCTTGAGCCCATAGAAAACTGTCCATTTTCTGCTTCGCCAAAGAGTGGCAGCGCGTCGCCCCCTTTTAAAAGGCACTGTGGAAATAGCTGAAGGCGGCAAAGAAGCGGCCATCATGCTGACGACCTGCTGCGCTTGTTGCAGTGGTTGCAGGAGTGTGTATGCGTGGCGCAGAGCGGTTGTTGCAGTCGTTCTGGTTACAGTGGGCGCAGTCGTAGCTAATGCGCTCGTTGCAAGTGCCCGAATTACAGTTTGTGCAGTCCCAAGCTTAAAAAGAAACAGTTGCGGTTTCTTCGCTTGCCACCCGAGGAACCACGTCTAAACACTTGGTGCAGGCTCATCGGTTTGAGGGACCCCGGGTCTACAGTCGTCCGTGTACGCTTGGAACATTTCGTATGTCGGAGTCGCCACTCCTTGTCCGATTCCGATGAGGAATTGGAGTCTTTGTCGGACGACTCGCCGCACTTTCCAACAGGCGTACCGGCCTATGGCACCAGTCCCATGCTGTCGCTGTAGCGCAACATATCTAATTGAATTTCATTCAGCTGCGATGTGTCGTGGCTATCGCGGTGATGAGAGGCACCAATTCAGAAAATATGTCGGTGCCATCGGTGCCATCAGTGCACTAAAACCCCGTGGTAAAAGCTACCGGCACACCGCCAGCTCACCGCTAACGCTCCCATTCCCTTACTGCCGAGAGAACTTCTGTTTCCGATGTCGGAGTATGTCACAACCATCAAAATTATGCTGCGGCTTGTTTTGTGGTGAGTTGGAGAGGAAGAAAACTTTAGATTTCATTAATTCGTTGTGTAGAAGTTGATAAACGAAAACGTATGCCTGTTTGGCATTCAGTAAACATTTAATGTAAAAGTTATTTGGCAAAAGTAAAAAAAAGTCATTTCACGGTCCCTCTAAGTAAAGGTCAGAGTTTTTCATTCGAGTTTTAGTGCAGACAAACGGAAGGTTTCTGCGGCCAGTGCCACACCTCATTGGGGACTTCTCTAGAAGTTCTCTGCTCTGTTCAGGAAGCTTTGGCTGGATGAAGTCATCCAAAAGGAAACGGACATTTCAGGTTTTTAATTATCAAATCATTCATAGGAATCCAGGTCTAAGGGTGGCTCATTTCGGTTTTAATGTGGAAGAACAAAGGGTCTCTACTGTCACTGCTGTGCTTCACTGGCGACATTCCTTCCTTTTGCTGGGTTCACCTTGGGCCACTTGCATCCTTTCTCCCAGCATATTCTACGCCTTTCGTCCGGCAAGGAGGCACATAGGGCGTGGCGAGCCCAGCTTCCAATCCCGCTTGCCTCGCCCTCCGGTCTGCCACTCACCGCCGTGCTTTCCGAGCACTCTGTTTGCTCGTACGCTCTTGCGACCGCAGCTGTCAATGGTCTCTACCTCATTGCTCCGCGGAACTCGTCGCGAGAAATTTCTGGAAGTGTGGGCAGACGCCGTTCGTCCCTGACGGAGGCCGTGTATTCTTGCGCGTGTGTGCAGGCGGGCGATAGAGCTGCAGCCCAACTTCCCGGACGCCTACTGCAACCTGGCCAATGCCCTGAAGGAGAAGAGCCTGGTGACCGAGGCAGAGGACTGTTACCAGACGGCCCTGCGGCTGTGCCCGACCCATGCAGACTCTCTCAACAACCTGGCCAACATCAAGCGGGAGCAGGGCTTTGTCGAGGAGGCCACCCGCCTCTACCTCAAGGCCCTTGAGGTGGGTGGCCGGTAGACGAGCTTGCTCGATTCGACATCTACTCTCGAAGCGCTCGTGGGGATTTTTGTAAGGGGATGAAGATGAACGAATCGGAGCGTTGAAACCTGCTACATCAAACAATTATACAGACACGATCATGCTGACAAATACAGCGTGCTCAGGATGTGTCCCACATCCTGAGCCATACTGCGTTTATGGTTTGTGTTAGATTCTTCATTCTTTTTCTTAAGGCAAAAGCCTTACTCGTCCCATTGCGCGAAAAAGCGGCGTCGTAGTGCCAGAAAGAGGGCCATAAAATCCGTCATCAAGCACGCGTTGCCCAGTCTTATGTTCAAGTACGATGGCATCCTTGGCGTCGTCCTTGAGGTCGTGCTCTAGGCGTAGTCCTTGAGGTCGTCCTAGACGTTGTACTCTAAGTGTCGTTCTCAGCGTCATCCTCTAGGCGTCATCCTCAACGCCGTCCTCTAGGCATTGTTCACGATATTGTCGTAGACATCATCCTTAAGGTCGTCCTAGAAGTCTTCCTAGATGTTGTCCGAGAGGTCGTCCTCGGCGTCGTCTTAGAGGTCATTCTAGACGCCGAACTTGACGTCCATCTCTAGGACGTTGTTCTATACGTCGTCTTATACTTTAATAAATGTAGAAACATCACTCGAAAACATTTCTCCTGCGGGACAATAATGCTTTTGCCTTCCCACACGTATGCAATCTTCAGTGTCCTCCCATAATTTTTTTTTATTTTCACCTATTTTTTTATTATTTGCTTATTTATACAGTTAAACCTCGATGTAACGAAGTCGGTAAAATTCGCAATTTACTTCGTTACATTGAAATTTCGCTAAATCGAAATTTGGCTTTAGCATGCGAACAAAAATTCCGAAACATTTTACGGGTATGAAAACTCACCGAAAATGACATTTATTTTGGGGCAAAGTAGTCCGCGAGTTTTGGACATTCATATTAAAAATAGCGCAAAAGAGATGGGACAAAAAGACGAAGGAGCACACAGGACAAACGCTTTGCGAGTTTTGCTTGCGCCTTGTCCGACAGTAGCAGCGGCGTCATACGGCGTTCGAGCGCCCAGAGCGCTTGCACGGCATCTTGCTGCCCATGCGACGCCGTGTACCTCCTCAGTAGGTCCATTGCGTCGAGCACTTCCCGAGTGCTCGTGATCTCGGCAGTTTCTTCAGGAAGGCGTCCAAAACGTTTGCTTTCTCATCCAAAGAAAGAACTTTACGTTTTCTTATGGCAGCAAGCACGTGAGTGAACCGCCCGGTTGAAAAATAAAGCTGTTTAGTTTAGGCGGTGCCAATGTTTCCAACCTACACAGCACTTTTGACCGCACAGTTTACTCAAGTTTACTTGCCCTCTTGCGCCCCTTGCGCCCACAGTGTGCTTGCGCAAGACGATAATCGGTCTTCTCCTAGATGGCAAGACGATAATCGGTCTTCTCCTAGATGGCACTGCCCGTGTGGTCGCGCGGTCGCGCCATCACGTCGCTCCCCCGCTGAAGTCGGCTCCCGCGCTACCCGCGGTACAGTGGACTATGATGATCAGTAAATGTCAGTGGTGATGCTGTTATGCCGTGTTAACTTTTTGCTCGGCATTTTCTGGCCAGCCCCGCGGAATCCGCTTTGCCGCATGCCTCGCCGGCGCTACCGGCGCCGCATCCTCGGGCAACCTATAGGAACGTTGGAAGGCCTGTCCCCGTGAAGTAACCTATCAAGCGCTCGCGTTTGCGCATAATTTTTTTTTTTAACCACAATTTTTTTGCGAAGTTGTTTTTTAGAGTTGATTTATTTATTGCCTTCTATGGCAATGGCGCTTCGTTATATTGAAATAGCAGCAAAATAGACTTCGTTATATAGAGACTAAAAATACATGGGGTCTATGGGCAAGAAATTATGAAAAATAAAATACTTCGTTAAATCGAGGATTTCGTTACATTGAAGTTCGTTATATCGAGGTTCGACTGTATTTTGTATTATTTTATTAATTTTACTTTCATTTTCGGTCCCATTGGCTGGTGCACGTCGTAGTTTCAAGGAACGAGGCTCCCATTGGCCGTTGCGCGTCAGTTTCAACGACCGCCACACCATGGCACTGTGTGTCCGTCAGCGCGCCGGTTACACAAAGCGTCTAAGGTCAGAGCGGCGAGGAGAGGGCGCGCTATGCCATCAGTGCAAATACGCCGCAGACAAAATAACGGAGCGGAAGAATGACGTTCATGCTTTTGCATTCACAACTCGTAAGGCTTAGGTGTACCTCAAGCCTTTTTCGTTGTCACTCAATATATATAGATACCGGTGCCAACAAAACCAAACGAGAAAAATCCTTTGAAGTTTGTTTAAGTGGTAGTTTACACTATAGTCAGTGACAGGTTAAGAATATGGTGGAAACTCTGCCTCCAAGCCTTTAATATTCAATGGCACTTTAATGCCTTGCGAGCACGCGCGACCAAATAATGGTAGGCAACTCTATACAGGTATTTAGGAAGGCAGCAAGTGCAGCTCTCAAGACTGGAGATTCCTGGACGATGGCGGTGTTAGCTACGCTCAAAAAATAAAAATCTGAAGCAGAGAGCGCTTAAAGCTGAGCAGTACAATTCTCTCTTTGATGGGCGGCGGTAATATGGAGCGTGTAGGGGAAACGAGTCCCATGTTCCTTCGCTCTGCAAGTAGCGGAAGATGCCATTCTTACTTGAATATCAAGCGCTGCGACCAGTGAAGTGCGAGTATGGTGCCTAGAATGCGTCTGCAACTGGTGTATTTACCGCTTTCAAGAAGTTCTCCCTCCATTTCCGCCCAATGACGTCTTATAAGTGTCACGCTGTCGTTGGCCGCAATCCTGGCAGTGTTGCAGCAGTGGCGGCGGATGTGGCACACGCGACGTTCTGCAACGTGTCGCTTTCCGGCTCGACAGTCCATGGCAGCTTCGGCAGCCGATATTGGGACGCTGCAACGACGGCGAAGCTTGCATTTGCTCGTGCTTTTCGCCGGAACTTCTACGACCAACCTATGGGATTGCGACGTCTGACAGCGACACACTCCGACTTTTCTGACGTCATTTGTTGCCGCTTCGAAACTGCTTTGGATGCATGAGTGGAACAGGACACCAAACACACCGGTCGGAGACGCGACCCAGGTGCCATAGTTGCGTGCACCGAAGTGGTAGCACGTAGCCTTACTCGGCGTCCACCGTTGCGCAGGTGTTCCCGGAGTTTGCGGCGGCCCACTCGAACCTGGCGAGCGTGCTGCAGCAGCAGGGCAAGCTGGCCGAGGCCCTGCTCCACTACCGGGAGGCCATCCGCATCTCCCCCACCTTCGCCGACGCCTACTCCAACATGGGCAACACCCTGAAGGAGATGGGGGACGTCCAGGGGGCGCTCCAGTGCTACTCCCGGGCCATCCAGATCAACCCGGCCTTTGCAGACGCCCACTCCAACCTGGCCTCCATCCACAAGGACTCTGGGAACATCCCCGAAGCCATTGCGTCCTACCGCACAGCCCTCAAGCTCAAGCCGGAGTTCCCGGACGCCTACTGCAACCTGGCCCACTGCCTGCAGATCGTGTGCGACTGGACGGACTACGAGGGGCGCATGAAGCGCCTGGTGGCCATCGTGGCCGAGCAGCTCGAGAAGAACCGGCTGCCCTCGGTGCACCCACACCACTCGATGCTCTACCCGCTGTCGCACGAGTTCCGCAAGGCCATTGCGGCCCGCCACGCCAACCTGTGCCTGGAGAAGGTGCAGGTGCTGCACAGGTAGAGAGCCTTAAGACTCAACGCGCCGTTTCCAAACAAGCCCACGTTTGCCCACACCCAATTCGCGCGAGGCGTACCACACTGCCAATGGCGGAGCCACCGCTGTGCCGCGACGCCGGAAAGTATATTTTGGAGAGTTTCCAACTGCCCGACATGGGTCACAGTTTATGGGCCGCATTTGCGATATGAGTTGCGAGGAGGTGACGAAAGCGACTATTGTCCGCAAGCGTCTCCGCCTTTCCGCCCGCTTTCCTCCTCTCCACCCAACAACGCGGTGCATGTGCACTTGCAATCGATTGTCGCGGGGGGAGGTGTCCGCCATTACATTACAAACGCACCCCACAGTTTAAGTTCCTCTCCTAAATCTGGGCTCTTTGTGCACAGGCAGCCCTACCAGCACCCTCGGCGGAGGCCGCCGGGCTGCCGGCTGCGGGTGGGCTACGTGAGCTCGGATTTCGGGAACCACCCCACGTCGCACCTGATGCAGAGCGTGCCGGGGTTCCACGACCGGTCGGCCGTCGAGGTGTTCTGCTACGCCCTCAGTCCCGACGACGGCACCAGCTTCAGAGCCAAGATCGCCGCCGAGGCGGAGCACTTCGTCGACCTGTCCCAGGTGCGCTCCCTAAGCGGGTGCTTGCATGACGTCCCCGCTCGGCATCGAGTCTCTATTGTGCGCCGTCGTTGAGGCCAGTGTAGTTTCTGCAAAGTCTTGCATCTCCTTCGCGAGTGCTCTTGTGCGGTTAGAGACTCCGAACGAAGCCGCATGCTTGCGGTGGTAGCTTCGACGGCGCTGGAGTGCTTTGGAAACTATGCTAGCCTCGACGACGTCGCGGAAGAAAGTCGACGCCGAGCGTAGCTGGAGGGTTTCATTACATTGTACAACAGTGGTAGACTTGCCTGCAGTCCCCGAAAAATTTTAGCAAGTTTTGAAGCCCCGTATTTATGGGAAATATCTTTTTTTGCCTAGCCTAACCAAACATCTATACTTCGTTTCAGCTTCGGTCCAGACGCAGTCGATGCTACAAGCGCGAGCATGTGGCCCAGAACAGTGCTTGCACTGCACGAGCGCGCGTGCTTGGCGGGGATGCTGAAAGCCCGGAGCTCGCGCTTGCAGCTTTGGCTGCGTCTGGACCGAAGCTGAAACGAAGTATAGGAGTATTGGAACTCTTAAAGATGCAGGTTCTGGCTAATGGATTGCTGGCAATGTTTCCTAAAAAATGCAAGCGGCAGTGTTCTTGTTTGGAGAACTTTTTGCATTCAGTGTGATTACTTCTATCATCGATAATCCAAGTGTTTTAAGTGCAAAGTCAAGATATGACTGATGAAAGACAGGTAGAGATGCCCACTAATTGAGAACTTTCGGGCAAGGCAAAAGAACTGCAGCCTATGAGGCAGTCTCCTGAATATCTTGATTTGTAGTCCTTGAAGAATTTCACACCCTCGACGTGGTCAGCGTAATGATGTCGTCTACCGTGACGTGCACACGTTGGGTGTCCTCAAAAGTGCATCCTCGACGCGTCGTGCGCGAGGCCGAGACTTGCCACGAGGAGTGCCCGTGAGAAAAGTCCGTTGCCCTCCCTCGGTCCAGGTGCCGTGCAACGGAAAGGCGGCGGACCGCATCCACGCGGACGGCATCCACATCCTGGTGAACATGAACGGGTACACGAAGGGCGCCCGCAACGAGGTGTTTGCCCTGCGGCCGGCCCCCGTGCAGGCCATGTGGCTGGGCTACCCGGGCACCAGCGGGGCCCCCTTCATGGACTACCTGGTGACGGACCGGGTGACCTCCCCGCCCCAGCTGGCCGGCCAGTACTCGGAGAAGCTGGCCTACATGCCCCACACCTTCTTTGTGGGCGACCACCTGCACATGTTCCCCCACCTCATCGAGCGAGCCATCATAGACGCCCGGGACGCCCGGCTCAAGGCTGCCTCTGGGGCCGCCGAACTGCCCGACAACGTGTCCATCGTCAACGCCACCGACCTGTCGCCCATCATCGAGAAGGCCGAGGTCAAGGTGCGTGGCCACATCTAAACCCCCCCCCCCCCCCCCCAAACACGAATTTTGTTATGGACAACATTCACCATACTTTCTTTAAGAAAAAACGTTGTTTTAGGTGAAACGAAAATATATTGGGTCTTTAAAATAGATTTGGGTAATGCTCTGCCTGTTTCATCACATCCGTCCATGACAACAGATTTCTCTGCAGTCCCCCATCAACCGATATTCCCAGCTCCTCATTCCTAGCCCGACACATGACAGGTTCAGATGGGAAGGGGGAGGGGAAACCCATTCACCCGTCTACACTTGCACTACGGTGTCTGGAGCACGTCTTTGAACGGTGTGTCTACACTGTTTTCAAAAGTGGTTCTTCGATTTTCGCCCAATCACTTAGAAGCGTTACGCTATCACCTGCCGCAGACCTGGTGATGGCGGCGTGCAGATGGATATGGCAGACGTCTCTTCCGCTGTATGTTGCTTTCTTGCGAGGAAGTGAACAGAAACCAAAGCAGATGGGACGCCTCCACAACGGCGACTTTTGAGTCTTTTTAGCCGGCATTTCAGCGACGCGGATCGCGACATCCGATATCGTGTTGCGTCGAGTGTTGTGGCAAAATCTGGAGCAGTATGGGCAGAATAGGACACTAAACAAATCAATCGGAGACGCACTCGAGGTATCGTGCCCGCCCGTGATACGTTTGTCTTACAAGTAGCATCGTATGTGCCAGTGCACGAGGCCCGTGCTTCATGAAACCTTTGGAAGCAAATGACGACGCAGCACTCGCTTTTGGCACGTGGTAATTGGTGCTTGTAAAAAACGCTAAGAGTGAATTTTATCGACGATCTTTAGCCCGAAGGCCTCCCCCAGTTTTTGGACGGGACTTGTCATGGGACGCGAGAAAGCTCGTTCGTTGAAAACCACTTTGCGAGAGCTCACCGGTGTCGACTTTGGGCTCGTAGCCGACATAGCCTCAGGGTAGGATGTGCCTCGGTCGGCCGCTACGTAGCGCGGCTGGTGGCCAGAAGGGGGCAACCTCGGGTGGGGCACGTTGGCGAACGATTAGGCGCTAGCGTGGTGTCGTAGTTAGGTTGGGCACTCGAATGTACGAGCTTGAGTTTACCGATAGCGGCTGTGGGCCCAGTCAAAGTTGCGGGGATTCCGCATAAGGTTGCACTATCGGTCAGACCAAACTTTGTCGCCCGTGCCCTGTTAATATCGACGGATAAATGCTGTCTCGCAGATATGTGCCGTGCCTTGGAACACCACAAATAGAAGCTGGGGACTCAAACGTGGCGAAAAGTACTCGACACTGGGGTCTCCTTGAGAGAAGACACCAACCCATGGACACCTTTAGTACTTAATCGAGGCTAGCATAGCTTCCTCGTTTCGTGCACACACTCTGGCAGCTAACGAAGCCACACGGTCGCGCAAATAGCCTGACGACGTAGCGTGAAACGGCGTGGAGCATAGGGAGCGTAGTGCCGAGGCTCTCGACCGGGTCGAGTTTCGGGTAGCGTCGAACGCCTTCGTGCCAGCTCTACGTCACTTGCAGTGGTTTGATTGCGACCCTCGTGCACTTCAGAAAATCCGGGAGGTGGCGGTGGCGACGTCCAACTCTTCGGAGGAAGGAGAGCGTGTGGAGGTGGTGAAGACGGTGATCGAGCTGCCCACGACAGTGCAGGCCATGATCAGCGGCGGACAGGTGCAGGCCCAGGTCAACGGGGTGGTGGTACACAACGGACTCGCCAGCACGCAGGTGGGTGATGCGCCCTCAAGGGCTGCCTGCGGCACCTAGCGTAGAAACGGGGAGGCGTCGAGAGGCACTGCCGTAAAATTCGGTGTGCAGCTCATTTCCTAGTTGTAGTGCAAGTTTCTGAGCCGTGAGAGTCGCGCCTCTTTTTTCCCAACTGCGCGTACTGTAGATAAAAGTATGAAGCATGCGCGGCCGAGATTTACGTTTGGTCGGCATATTCGCGAGGCTTTCTCGTGCCCCCCACATTTGCTGGACTTCTCAAGCACGTAAAAAAAGTCCTTTGAATCAACCGGTTCCAAGGGTATGTTTTTTCATGTGGACTCGTATGTGCGATTGCTAGGACTGCACCCCTGCTTCGAACTTACCAAAAATTCGAAATACCGAGAGGGAGACGCACATTGCAGTTGGTGCGAACGGTTAGGCGCACGCCTCGTCCAAGAGCCCTTGCGGCGTCCTCCCCTCCAGGTGAACACGCGTGCGGCCACCGGGGAAGAGGCCCCTCGATCGATCCTGGTGACGAGCCGTCAGCAGTACGGGCTGCCCGAGGACGCGGTGGTCTACTGCAACTTCAACCAGCTGTACAAGCTGGATCCGGCCACGCTGCGCATGTGGGTGCACATCCTGCAACGGGTGCCCAACTCGGTGCTCTGGCTGCTGCGCTTCCCCGCCGTCGGGGAGGCCCACGTCCAAGCCTGGGCACAGGCAGAGGGGCTCGCCCAGCCGGGCCGCATCATCTTCTCCAACGTGGCCGCAAAGGTACGTCTGCCATATACCGACGAGGCCGTAGTGGCGAATTTTCTGTGGCCTATCGAGTAAACTTGTAGTGTTGGATTTATTTATTTCACCTACCCTGGGACACAAGTGCTCTGTCAGCATTCGGCTGGGACTCGCGTCCTCACCGATTGAACAAGAGTCCAAACACCGAGGCAGCACACCTGACCCAACTCCTCCTCGCGTCCGGTCGTAGAAAGCCCATCGCTGCCGCCTTATCTGGGTGGTGGCGAAGCGGGCTTTTTCATGTTTTTTTGCCAGTGTGTGGGTCACCTGGCCAGGACATGCCACCAAATTCCGCACAGACGCCCACCCTCGAGCGGTCAGCCATCCAGTTTCTCTGACTAAGTATCCTTGGTAGAGAACTACCGAAAACTTCATCTAGCTAATTCCCAGGATTTTTACAGCGAAGCGAAGCTGTTTTGCGCTGGGATCTGGGGGAAAATGCGTCTGCGGATGTTGACAGAAAACTCCCCATGGGTCGTGGCAAGTATGAATAACAAAAAATAAAAAAAAGGGAGCAACCAGTGCGAGTCAGCCTTCCTTGGCATTATTAGATAGGTCCTGATACCTTGTTATCAACTCTAGGCATCGTCCTTGAGGTCGTCCTCTAGGCGTTTCCCTCGAGGTTGTCCTAAAAGTCATCCTTTAGGCATTGTCCTTGAGGTCATCCTTTAGGCATTGTCCTTGAGGTCATCCTAGACGTCGTCCTCCAGGCATCGTCCTAAAAATAACAGCTTCGCTGGCCCTCTATCTTCACATGAAATGGAAGGGCCCTACAATTTTTTTGTTTACCAGCACCATTTCGTTGTCTTTGTTGCCAAACACGTGGGGAGCCCTCTGGAATAGAACGACCGCTAACGGGTAGCACGTGCTGGCACGCGGCCCTGACGCCCTTGCCGTCTCTCGCAGGAGGAGCACGTGCGCAGAGGCCAGCTGGTGGACGTGTGCCTGGACACGCCGCTGTGCAACGGTCACACGACGGGCATGGACGTGCTCTGGGCCGGCACCCCCGTGGTCACCTGGCCGGGGGAGACCCTGGCCTCCCGGGTGGCCGCCTCCCAGCTGCACTGCCTCGGGGTGCCCGAGCTGGTGGCACGCTCCCGCAGGGACTACCAGGACATCGCCATCCGCCTGGGCACCGACCGGGAGTAGTGAGTGGCCCCTCTGTCTTTGGGCAGTGCAGTTGGAAGGGAACCCGAGTTGGGGGCGGACTTCTACAGCTTTTATTGCACTTGGGCAGACGTAAATGTAAACCATATTGATTTTGAAAACATACGTGCAGCAATTGTGGCAGGTCGCAACGTATGTCGGCGTCCCCGAGCCAACTTTGGCGAGCGAGGGTCCTCCGACCTCGCCAATGACATCATTTTTGCTACTTTTTGCTTCCACTTTCCCCACCACAACGGGCAAGGGTACATTGAAAGTTTAATTGGAAATTACGACGCTTCTTCCAATAAGATCGAAAGAAAACTTGGAACATATTAGAGCGCAGCTCTTAGGGGCCCGTTTCCGGCTTGAGCGGCGTCGGCGTAACCGCGCGGTGCATCATGGGAAATGTCCCATAATGCACCGTGCGAGCCCCCCACCGGGGTCATGTGACTTCGTGGGGGGGCACGTGACCCCCCCCCCCCCCCCCCGGGGTCACGTGACTCCCCTGAGGTCACGTGACCCCCTCCTCGAGGTCACGTGACCCCCGCCGATGTCGCGTGACCCCCCGATGACGTCATCAGTGATGATGTGGATGCCGGTGACGTCATCAGTGATGATGACGATGACGATGTGGATGCCGGTGACGTCATCAGTGATGATGACGATGTGGATGCCGGTGACGTTACCGACATCCACATCGTCATCATCATTGATGACGTCATCAGTGACGTCACTGATGTCGTCACCAGCATCCGCATCGTCATCATCACTGATGACGTCGTCAGCGACGTCACTGATGACGTCACCGACATTCGCATCGTCATCGTCATCATTACTGGTGAAGTCATCAGTGACGTCACTAATGACGTCATCGGTACCCGCATCGTCATCGTCACTGATGACGTCATCAGCGACGTCAGTGATGACATCATCGGCATTGGGGGTCACGTGACCCCCCCCCCCCCCCCTGGTTAGTCTAACCCCCCCCCCCCCCCCAGCGCCCTTCCCTCCTCCTCCTCAAGAGCTGCGCTCTAATTCGGCGTTACAGGGGGTTGTAAGCGGCTTTCACTTTTTTTAAGGTGCCTACATTAAAACAGTTTTTTCTAGTTCAAGGGCCTCTTAGGCTTTCATTTAGCGGGGGAAAAGGGTCTCAGCCTGCCGTTTCCGTCCGCTACGTAACGGTCTTCTCGGAGCACCGGCCAAACTGAACTTCAGCTTGAATGTTGCGGGAGAGTCCAGAGAACGAGCAAGCAAAAAAAAAACCACGTGCACTGTCACGCATGGCTAACGAAATCTTCGTTTTCGCCAACTGTACCGCTGGAAACCAGGAACCTAGGTTCAATCCCTGCCCGTTTTGATCTGGGTGAGCATTGTACCAGCGTTCATTTGTGTATCGCTACTGCTTGCTTGAAATCAAAGACCCTAGGCATCGGTTCAATTTCAGACTTTTGCAGCATGAACCAGTGTTACTATACTTCTAAGGCTGACTGACCTTACACAGTTTAAACAGAAACATCTAAATTGATTTCCCAGTCCAATTTTTTTGTTTGTGCTAGACCCATTTACGCTTTGATGCGTAACTATAGGCCATGCAGCCTCTACAGTTGCCGACAGAAGGATAACAGGGCATGTCTTTTGAATGCCCATCCTCCAGCACGTGCCCCATGCCCTCTGCCGTGGTTAGGCTGTGTGTGTCTGCACGAGACGCCAAAGGCACCGTGGAAGGTAGGAAGCTCATGCTGTAGGCGGGACAGCTGTAGCTCACCCTCCCATTCTCAACTCATCAGTAACTACGGTGTGGACATAATTATTAGCACGCTGTAAATCTCTGCATCGCTTTATTGGAACAGTGCAGAGTGGGGAGCGGTTCTTCCAAGCATCAATCAAGGTAAAAAAAAAAAAAAAAAAACTAAAAAACTCTTTGCACACAACCGGGTAAAGGAGATACACTCTGAGAAGGTCTGTGCGTTTCACAGTTCCTGTGCACTACCCTGGTTTCCTCCAGCAGTGTAAGGGCACCACGCACACTGAAGATGTGCGCTACAAATGTCGAGAGAGGGTAACCACAACACCGGCTTGTCCCAAGGAGCAGACGACAGGGCCCATGGCGATCGAGCAGTGCGGCCCTAACCTAGTGCCTCTCGCGGTTCCGCAGCCTCAAGGCGATCCGGGCCAAGGTGTGGGCAGCCCGCATGGAGAGCCCCCTGTTCAACGTGCGTGCCTACACGGCCAACCTGGAGAAGCTCTTCTTCAAGATGTGGGCGCGCTACGAGGAGAACCAGCCACTGGACCACATCATGGACTAGGTCCTTGCGTCGGAGCCCAGCCACTGGGCCCGGCCTCTACTGTACATGGTTCGCAGATAACGGTGCGGTTTGCAGACGACGAGAAGCCACGCCGTCTTGCCAACAAAAGGTCCCGCAGTCTGGAGGATCAGCTCGGGACCTGCATTTCATTGCCCAGAGACGTTGCGGCAAATAAAAAGACACGAGTCGGGTCCGCCGTTGTCTGTACATTTCTCATTCGCTGGATGACGAACTGGACGAGGTTTTTCTCGCCTTCTTGCTCGCTGTTGGGGCGTCGCTGGAGCTGCTACTACTGGAGCTGGAGCTGCTGCTACTGCTACTGCTGCTCCGACTGCTGTTGCTCGAACTGTCGTCGGGGGACGATGAGCTGTCGGAATCGCTGGACGAACTGTCGTCTCGCGGTTTTGCCTTCTGCAGGTTCTGTTTCCTGATTGGGACCAGAAGATACCACATATTAATGAACAACAAATCCCAACACCCTCCCCAACGAAAAAAAAAAAAAAGGAAGTGCTAAATTTGAACGTGAGGAGTTGGGAGAAGGGGAGGAGCCAACATTTTCAAATTTAAATACTTTCACAAGCTATGGAAAAATTGATTGTTGTACTATTTCATTTCACCTTTAGTGAGTAGTCTGAATGGGGTTTCAGTTTCAATCATTAAGTGTCTCTCTTGCTGGTATGGTCATGTACTGTTGTTGCATCGGTGTCGCCGAAGGCTTTTGGCTTTCGGAGCTCAATACCCGTAAAGTTTTCAGACCACCGCAAAACAATTTTTTTTTTTTTTTTTTTAAGGTTGAAGGAGTTTGTCAACGGCCTCGGTTCCTGCCACATGCAGCAAAATAGCCACTTTCTGCTTGTCTGTCTACACTAACACACTACGTCTAGAGAACAACTCTACATGCGCGAGATGCAACCAGTTGTCTGTAAGGTTGACAGACTGTGATATCCACTCCAAAGGTTCGAGCAGCTCTGTATGCCACGTTGGACGGTCTAGTTCGAACGTTCAGAGGGTGTCGGCACCATGAACCATGCGCGAGTCTGCATTGCGTGGAAGCCAGAAGAGAACTGGCTTGTGCTTTTATTCCATAAGCCCGTGGCCGTTGCTTCAGCATCTCAACGACACCACTACGATAGTCGGCGGGCAGAATGAAAACGCCCAGCCTCCAGCCAACACTCCACACTTTCTGCTGTGCTTTGACAGTGCACGCATGCTCCAGGTACACGAGACGCCAAAGCGTTGTCCAAAAAAGGTCCTGCTGTTCTCACTTTGTGACTATATGGTGAGCAAGTTCGTCTGCTTTGTGCAGGGGTGTTGGTGACGTCAGAATGCCAAGTTCTGATTGGCTCCGATTGGAAGGATAGTGGGTAGGCCTCAATGCTAACTTGCCTTGAGGTCTACACTAACAGTGCCCGGTGGAACCCCACATCTTCAGATTCATATCCTTCCAATCGAGCCAACCAGAGCTCGGCGTTTTGTCGCCACCGCAACCAGCTGCGCAAGCAGACGAACTAAGGCCTAAGCCTAAAAGACAAAAATCTAGTCACTGAAAGGGTGAGAACGGCAGAGAGAAGCTTCAGTTTCCCCGCCTTCAGAGTGAGCTTAATGCATCCGACAACACTTCCACGTCAGTGCACCTCGAGTGCGCGCGTGCTTGAGGCTGGACGTTAGAAAAACGCCCGGCCGTTCTCACTCTGTCGGTGACCGGACGAGGTACTGATGCGGTGTGCTCACATTTGAAGGGTGTTCATCAGAGCCTGCTTTTTGACCTTGTTATTGAGCAGGGTCGTCCTGGAGTCCCTGTGCACGTATTTACGCTTTCCCGTGCACTGATACGTCCAGTGGCCCAGCTCGAGGCACTTTTGGCATCGCACGCCGGACAGATTTTCTCTGAAAGAGAAATTCGAAGAGGTCGGTTTGCGCGCCGGAAAGTCGAGTTGGTCCAACTTACGTTTTCTTGTTCATTCCGGGCAGAAGTTAGACAGAAGTTGCGATGCTTTCATTTGGGGAGTAGCGCGTGATTGACTTAATCACTCTTAATGACACGAAATTGGTCAATGCGTCATTGCTTTGTCAGAAATCGACAACGCATACCCGCCGCACGCATGATGCTCAGGAAGACGCCATTTTAAAATAAATTGGAAATGAACCCTCTCCACTGGCTATAAAAAAGATATTATTTTTATCCGGAGCGTTTTGAATTTTACCTAAATTTGTTGGGCCATTAGATATAAACCATTCCGGAAACCACACTAAAATACATTTAATATTTCTAAGAAGATTCTAGAATGGCTTGCCTAATGTAATCAGTTCAGCAGCCGTTCCAATCCGATCCGGGCACCGTGCGTCTTCGCCTCTTCGCGTCATCCTCGGTCCGCGGGATCAACGGCGACCGATCGACGTTGGTTTGCCGGTGTTCCTCGTGTTCCTCGGGTAGTTGTGCGCCGCTACCAAGATGACCGACAACATGAATGAACTTTCGGAGCGGCTTCTCTCCGCTACAATAGGCGATCGAAGTGCCGAAGTCAGTTTTCGCGGACTTGGCCTCAAGCTCGACACTGAACAGGACGGTAAGTTGCCGCCGCGTGCCGCTCGCCACGGCGCCAATCCATGCCGTTAAACTCGGGCACTCTTTATTTTATTTCCGCGCTGTTTCTCTTGTGATAGTCGCGGTTTTGTAGGGTGTTCCTAGTACTTGAACTAATCCGTCTGCTCCGACAAATTGGCAGTGATTGGATAAAGTGCCGGGCATCTCGTGCCCGCCCAAACGAATCATCGTTCAACGCACAGGCTGGGGTTTGTGCTTCCTTGCCTTTGACCTAACATCCCCCCACCATTTCAGGCAGCTAAATGAGTGGTCTTTATATCGGAGGGTCTTGGTGCCGAGACTTCGTGCTGCGCGTCTTCAGTCTTTCTTTTAGGCTTGCATGACCGCGTATAGTCGTGTGTCAGCACGTATGGCCGTGAATGGACGCGTGTATTGTGTGTATGTGCACGTATAGTCATGTATAGACGCACATAGACCTGCATCAGTGACGTGCACTGCGTGCACACAAAAAAAAAAGGGGGGGGGGGGGGGGGTGGAGGTGTCGGGGTCGGGTCACCACAGCCCATTTTCGCTTTACTTCTTCAGTGAACCTTGTCCAACTTTTCGAATGCTTGGCGGAAAAGTGGACTCACGGGTCTTTATAAGAGTACACAGTCTCCTCCAAACTATCAAAATAACCAGATTTTTCAGACCATAGACTCTCGCTTTGAGCTTGCAGTTACACAGCTTGTGCAAAGATCGACACCGCTTACACAACTTAATTACAATTGTTTTTTTGTTTTTATTGACGCAGTATTTAAAAAGGTAACTTTTTGAAGGGACTGCTTGCCTGGGAAGGTGGGTTTACTATGATGAGAATTGGCCTCTTTTAATGCAGAATCTGCGCACGCCTATCGTCAAATACCAGGAGAGCACAAACCACAGTTCCACTGACAACTGGATTAATCTAAACATTAGTGCTTGTCCGGTCAAATCGGACACTTTGTTTCATTTCATTTCATCAAGGCCGAAGCATTACAGAGGGGGAGTGGGCGAAATAAACACAAGAAATAATAATAAACGTCAACATAAACGCAACTGCACGGTTACAAAAAATGGTCGCAGATGGCAGATTTGAAGTAGACAGAATTTTTAAGTTTGGAACACGTTAAGTGGGCGCTTGAACGAAGTGAGTGCTTTTGTGGTATTTTACGGTATGTGGACGCATCTGCACAAACATTTATAGGCATGCATGGACGCATGTGTACAAACACATTAGTCATGTATGAATGTGCATACTCACATGGATGCACCTGCATGATCACATAGGGTCGTGGACGAACAGGTATAGTCACGTGCGGACGCATATGGTCATTAATGGATATGTGTTTGAACACGTGTATGGATGCATTTGTGTGAACATGTATACACCAACACGCAGCCCTGACGTCACGCCGCTGCAGTGGCGCTGCTGATGGCAGGGCGCATGTGCAAACGCTCCACTTCATGCAAATCTGATTTCTGCGCACACGCAGTGCCCACACCTCGTGCGGTAAATGCGCGTTTGCCCACACCTCGTGGGGGCTTGTTTGTAAACAGAGCCTATAGTTACGTATGGACGGGTGCGTGGGCACACACATAGTCATGTGTTCATACGCTCACAGCCCTGTACGGACCCATATGTTCTGTATGGTTGGCACTTGGTACCTATATGGAGCTCCTGTGAACTTCTCTGCTGCAGCGAAGGATGTGGTGGAAGCCATCTCTCGGTGCCCTGACCTGGAGACGCTCTGCCTGGAAGGCAACACACTCGGTGTGGACGCGGCCAAGGCTGTCGGCAAGGCTCTCGAGGCACAGCCAAAGCTCAGGGTAACCAGCTTGTCTATACTCTGTACAGAAAACAAAAACGAGCTGCTGGCATCTATGTGGTTGTGCTACAAATAATAGACAAAATGCCAAAAAAAGAAAAAAAAGGATAAGCCATTTAGTGCCATTTTTATCAATTATCAGGTTTCTGACATAATGGGGGTGGCCGTACCAATAGCTTTACCCGAGATACATTAGTCTTGGCAAGGTGGGCGTTGTAGATCACAAGTATGACCACATACTGCCAGTCCAGTTCGAACCCTTTATGCCACGCCTTCGATAAAGGCTCTTCACTCACCTGGTTGGTCCAGTGCCTTGCTTTAGTGTTGAATCTTCAGATTCAGAATTATTAATTTAAAAAAAAAAATTCAATGAAAATGCACAAAAATTGTTTGGATCCAAAGCCACAGGGCCAGTGTTGAGCCCAATCACAAAATCAGTTTTACAATGCGGCACACATGTAAAAATTGTAACAGATAAAATTGCTGGATTATGTTACAAGATGGTACATATTTAATACATTTATGAGTCGAAGAAAAAAAACTTTTAATGTCAAAAAATAAGTTCTGCTTCACATTCTTTGGTATTATGTTCCAAAATAATCCACCACTAAATTCAATGAGTCGTTGACCGATGACCGTAAGTGTTTTTACATAATGGTAAGCTAATATTGTGACTAACCGCAGCCCTTGTACGCCTTGTAGATTTAAACAAACTTAGTGGAAGGGGTTCGTTATCTTTTATGATTGCATGCACAGTCTGAGCTGCGTTGTCAGCAACGAGAAGGACCTCGGTGCTGGCAATGCCTTTTCCAGAATCTCGCGGCCATCTTTCTTTTCTTTGTTGCACCGGAACCAAATAGCACCCCATTGAGTGTACAAATCCGTTGTCCTAATACCGTGAAAACCAGGTTGAACGTAGATGCGCCTCGTTTACAGATGGAAGGTGACAAAAACCCTCCAGTATGGCGGCTCCGAGTTGCACGACGACGATAGCTGGCAGGCGCTGGCCAATCGCGACGGCGGATCCGTCCTCGCGATTGGCCAGCGCCGGCCCTCGCGCCTTCCTCGAGGAAGTGGAGGGGCCCTTCAGTTTGAGTGAGGTTTCTGAATTAGGCGGTTATGCTTCGATGATTGCACTCGCGTTTTATTCGAATGGTAGAAACCCCCAGCTAACGAGGCTCCAAACGTTCAATGGCCAAACTTACGCTATTACACCCTTTGGCCTGTGGAGCCTCGGGCAAAGTTTGCGGTATACCTTGCAGGTCTCGGGGAATGTTTTATAGATGGGGTCTTCTTGGCGCTTGCGTTTCAGAGGGCCTTGTGGAAGGACTTGTTCACGGGCAGGTCCAAGGAGGTCATCCCGGATGCACTGGTGCGTTCCTATCTTCTTGGTGGCAGGGTGGCGATGTTCTTAGATCTAGCAGTTGACAAGCTCCGCGGAAGAATGTTGTTTGCTTGTCGAGTGTACACCTTTCGCTAGTCCTAGTCTTTTACGCCGTGTTTTTAATGTTACGCGCGACCAGCTAGCGTACCAGTTAATCTTAAACTGTGCAGCCTGTCCGTTGTGTGTATTGATGCCCACTGTTTGCAGAGGTTCCTCACCGGGGGCGTGATGCTATCCCACGCCCGACTGACCGAGCTCGACCTGAGCGACAATGCCTTTGGTCCCGTGGGAATCGGGGCACTGGTGCCCCTGCTCAGCTCTCCGTGCTGCTTCCAACTGAAGGCAAGGCGCTTCAAGACATCCCTCAACTTAAGCTCTCGCGTAACGATTCTGCAGAGACGGGTATTCAATTCTAACCCCTCAGAGCTGCACTACACTGCCCGGAACGTGTCTCTGACCGTTGTTTTTAGCGTACCATTCCGCCCGTGCATCGAAAGGGGTCCCGAAATGGCAACAAATGATGTCACAAAGGCCAGAGTGTCGCACCGTCCGACGTCGGAATTCCGGCAGTTGGTGTAGGTGTTCTGTGAAAAAGCATGCGGGAACGCATGTTGCCGTCGTCATGGCATCCCAAATCCTGGCTGCCAAAGCTTCCATAAGCCATCAAGCTGGAGAGCAACCTGTGGCAGAACAAACATCTGCCACATACGTGTCACTGCTGGTACAATGCAGGGTTTTCCAACAGCATTACACTTATGTGAGGTCTTCAGGCGGTAAAAGAAGGACATCTTTTTCTGGGTGCGGTAAACACGCCAGTCGGAGACCCAATCCAGGAACCGTAGATACCCACCTGTATCTTCCAGTTCATTTACTTTTCGAGTTAAGCCTTCGCGTAATTCTCCAGGTTTGTAATTGCCGTATTCATTGCTAGTCACTCCATCGTGCTGAGGGACTAGTGGAGGCACGTGGGACACAACTTTTGGCTCGGGAGGGTGATTTTGAAAAGAGGCGTAAAGTCGGAGACAATCGTGACGTCACGGACGAGCAGAGTACACCCATTACCGCCGAGTTTAGGGGGTAATTTTACCACGTCACGGTGTCGCTCAACACCCGAGGAAATATTCTATGTTCATGGGAGCTAAGCAACATACTAGGCTTTCTTTTTTTTTTTCCTTTTTTTTTTTCAGCTTCGAATTGTGTTTTTTTACCTACGGGAGCATGGTGGAGCCTGGGCATTTACGTTTTGTATTGTCGAAGTGTGGAAAATTGGTAGTAATTGAGCATCACTGCTATACTTCGTTTCACTAAGTCCGACCACGGCCGACGCCACAATCCGACGACGCCAATTGTGCAGCACCAAAAGTTCATAGTTGCGGTGCTCGTTGTCTTTCTGGGTTTGCCATCAACGGCTGAGCTAATAACGAGCAGAAAGAAGCGCAGGATCGTGGCGCACGCTCCGTACGCGATTCGTTCAGTCGCTCATAGCAAATGAACAAAGGCGCCGGGCGCCGAAAGGATGCACTTTTGGTCAGACCTGGGGGTACTCCTGTGATTTTTTTAGTTACCCCAACTAGCCATACCTCCCGAGCCCCCACCCTTGCACTTTCCGGCGCGCTGTTTAGTACCGCAAAGTTCAGAATAGTAATTTTGAAAAGATCAAATGAAGGTGATGCCAAGACTGACATTCAAATATACCCGCGCTTTTCGTGACGTGACGTCGGTGGCAGGTAGGCTTGCAGTTTGAGCAGTCGGTCTAGAAAACAGAGTATGCCAGGCAAGTTGTTTTGTGGTGCTGCGCAAGCGTTGGAGCCAGCTTCTGAAGCATTCATGTGACACGACCAATATTCTTGTAATCAGTTGGGAAGAAATTTTACTGCTCACAAAGTGAATCCACGCCTGCCACTGGCATCACTTTTTTATTGTAACCAATAAAAAATCCGTTTGGGAAAAAGAAATAAAAAAGAATGGTGGAGTTTAAAACTTTGCGGGGGAAAAAAGTTATTTTGGCCTTAGGTTTGGGTTTTTAGTTAAAAAAAGGTTTTTTGGTGTGTTTGGTCAATTTTGAGGTCAGTTGGTGAGAACGAAGAAAACGCTGGAGTACCTTCATAAGCTGAAACGGTCTATAAACGTTAGGGGCACGGCGTATAGTTGGGAAGTGCCTGCTGTCGGTTTCCTGGTCTCAGAAGGAGTCCTTCCTCGCAGACCCTGCTGCTCAACAACAATGGGCTGGGCCCCGGAGGTGCGGAGCTCTTAGCCAAGGCGTTGGGGGCCTGCCTGGCCGAGAGCCGCAAGGCTGGCACCCCGCTGCAGCTGCGGACGCTGGTGTGCGGCCGGAACCGCCTCGAGAACGTCGGTGCCACCGCACTGGCCGCCGTGCTGGCGGTGAGTGCACCCACGGCGTAGGCCACCTCTTCTGGCTCTTCCTGAGTCGGGGATGGTACAAACTGACCGACTTTCCACCTTCAAACCGTGAGGCAAAGCGACTGCTAAAGGGCTGTCCAAACAGTGTACAACGGATGCTGCACACGGCAAGAATTTGATCCAGGGGCAGACGTGCTTAAAGTCCCCGGATAGAATTCACGCTTGGCCTTACAAATACTGCCAACCGTTGTTGTGGAAACGTGTAAAACACGTGTCACGAGCGAGCGCTTCACCACCGTTTGCTTCCAAGAACCACACAAAGCATGCCACTCATGCAGTGGAGCATTTGACGCGCTACCTGCCAACACAAATGTAGAGAGTGGCTTTAGACATGTCCCTTCCCTGTGGTGCCCTCTCGCAGGACATGGGCAGCCTGGAGGAGCTGTCCCTCCCACAGAACGGCATCTTTCACGAGGGCGTGGGCGCACTGGCCAAAGGGGTGGCCGCCAATCCCAACCTGCACTTGCTCAACCTCAATGACAACATCTTCACCCCCGAGGGAGCTCGCCAGATGGCACAGGCAAGTGCAAGCATCATCGTTGTCAGTAAAAAAAAAAAAAAATTTCCGAGAAATTGTGGCTGAAATTAAGGGATGGATTACCTAGTTTGGAGTGAAGTGCTCCAAACTGAGAGTTTGTTCGGAACATCACTTAGTTTGGAACTAAAATGCTATTTGACTAGGTGGCGCAAGTCACCGCCCGATTCAAAGGGACCACAAATTCGGGGTAATTTGGTAAAGTAATTTCCTATTCCCAACTTCATATGTCATGTACAATGCTGTCAAAGCCACTGGCGTGAGTGCATAACCTTATCTAACATTTCGTGTGCACGTGTTTTCAGTCAAATCTCGCTTTAGATAGCACTGCAAGTTTGCACCAGTAGCTTTGACAGTGTGGTATGCTGCGTATAAAGTGCAGTACAGGTGGATGAAGCTGAGCTTACTTGCCACTGTATAGTGCAACCGTTTGCAGGGTAAAAACACTTCTTACTACAGTCACTGACATGTTGAGAACTGCAGGGTGTCTGTTCTAAATACCCGGACACGGGTTTCAGGCTCCCGAGACGCCGAAGCGTCGGTGGGAAGCTTGCGCTGGAGGCGAGACAACTCCTCTCTTTAGTTCTCAGCCTGTCTGCGAGTGTGAAAATTGTAGCTCTTTAGCAGTTTGTGTGGCCCAGCTGGTGTGTTCTTGTTCGGTCGAAAAATGCTGTTGCCCTGCAGGCTGTGCGCCGACTAGACAAGCTGGAGGTGCTCAACTTCGGGGACTGCCTGGTCAAGACGGCGGGTGCCAAGGCCCTGGCCAAGGGGTTGGCGGGGGGAAGCTCGCCCCTCAGGGCAAGTGTCGCTGGCTCTTATTTTGGAACGGTCCACACCAGCTACAATAGACCAGAATCACTTCCCACTGAAATGTGACAATTATAGGTGTTCCAAAAAAAACAAAAACACATTTAGTTGCTTTGAAATGAAGCACAAATATTTACATTTTTGCCTAGTGAGTTTGTGTCTTTCTTTTTGGGTTGTGTACCAGAGACTGAGCATGATTGAATGAGTGCTGTCATGAGCGGTGCTTGAGGTTTGGCCCGCTTCGCGATTGTACGACCGTCTCCGTTCTCGGGTTCCGAAAGAAGGCCCCCTTTTGGGCTGTCCGAATGGTTCAAATTCCATCGAGCAACACTCAATCGCCATTTCTGGGGCACGAAGCATGGGGTTGGATCCAAGTCCTCGCCGAACACCGAGGCAGCACCCGCTTTTAGTACTAGCCGAGCCAAGTTCATGCTGAACGCCGACGCGGCCGTCGTGTCCAATACGTGCTCAGAGTGCGTGCCCAAGCATTGGCAGACTCGGATTATTGTTACCGCTGCTACTAGATTGCATGCACTTTTGAAAAAGGTTTATCGTGGACGTGAATGGTTAGCAATAATCAATTATAAACCTTAGTTTCAAACATCTATGGTTAACTTTAGTGACTACCATTAACTGTGGACATTAGCAATTGGGGATTGATTGCTCCCATTACATTACGAACAAAAACGGTTAACAGTAATGACAGACATTGAGTCTGCACCATACTGGCAAGTAGGACGCACTTGGCTGGCGACGGGTCAAGTGCTGCCAGCGCGCTGTCTCTGTTGCAGGAGGTTCAGCTGGGCTACAATGGCATCTCCCTGTCGGGGGGCCTGGCCCTGGTCGAAGCCCTCAAGGACCGGCCCCAGCTCGAGGTCCTGGAGCTCGATGGTGAGCCATGTACCCACCCCGGTTCGCTCGTGAAAAGCCAATATTTGTGAATGAGTCAGTTTGAACTCAGAGAAACGAGCAAAGATAGGACGGAACGGGACGAAACAGCTGACTAGCAACTTTACTTTAGTACACTTCTTCATATGCATGATCACCATCTTCATCAGAGGCTATTCAGATATACACAAAATAGCTAGATTTCGAAAAAGGTTTACGTGAGAAAATTATTAAATTTAACGTTACCTGCCCAAAATTCATTCTGCGAGTTATGTGGATGTGGCACATTGTAAATACTGTGTTTTTTTTTGTGTAGTACTGCTAATTTCCTTTTTTTAAATCTTCTTTGAAACCAAAAGTTCCTTTGTGTATATGTGAGTAGCCTCTGACAAAGATGATTATGAATAAGGAGAAGTCTACAGCAAAGTTTCTAGTCAGCTGTTTTGTCCTGTTCTGTCTTGGCTTGTTTCTGTAAGTTCAATCTGACCCTTCACCAGTATTTGCCCAACAAAAGCCTGTAACCAGATCTTAGCACTCACCTGCCTTCTAGCACAAGTCGGAGAAATGCGTGTGGAAGAACAAACTAAGAAAGACCGTCGGTCTTTCGCCTCTTTCAGACAGACTAGTTTGCAATACGGTATTCCTCGTCTATAAGGTGCTTAACGCTGTTCTTGATTCCCCCTTGCTACTAACCCTTTCATGGTCGCATTTTTATCCAAAGACGTGCCCCCTCGTGGCCGGGATTTTTTTTACTCGGTGCGATAGCAAAGAGAATACACTAGTTTATTGTCACATAAAAAATCTAAGACTTAAAATAAATAGTAACACACACTTTAAAACATCTGCGGCACACTTGCTCGAGGTTGAACAAAACAAAAAGGACTAAAACTTCTTCGTCAATGTCTGATAGTCCTTGAAGCAGGGCAGTTGTTCGAGGGATGTCGAGCTGTCTTGTGACTCAGAGTCCGAGAAGGGTTCAAAGTCTGAACCCAAAGAGCCATCGCTCCAATCTCCGCTACCTCCGGAGCAGCCGGCACGCGCGGTCATCTCAAAAGTATCACGTGCACAGAGCATCCAGTTTAGCAGATTCAAAAAGCCGCCCCAAAACAACAAAAAAAAAATTGGGTTGTGTGTGTGTTTATGCAGTCTAGAACTTGGTCTGCCTCAACGGGCGACGAGTCTCCCAGCTGTAGATGAGCAATTTAGCCAGTGCAGTACAGCCGCTACCCTGGGGTCTTATTTAACGTGCACCACGCAGTAGTGATACACGACCACACACCGGTACGATGCTCATCCAGATGGAAACGGGAAGGGGTGGGGATTAAGCCCAGGATCCCTGGGTTCTGTAGCGCGAGCTTTCGCTCCACGTGCTCCGAGCTGGTGTACGCTAGCCCACTCGGCCACCGATTCCCCCCCCCCCCCCCCCCCCCCCAAAACAAACAAGATGGGAGTTACATGGTCGTACCAGTTCCCTACAAACCTACCATCTGGTAGGCAGCACGTCCCCGCAAACGCGCCCATTCAAGCAGAGGCGGGAATTCTTGAATGAGCAGTCACGGTCGTACATGTACATAGGCAACCATGTGGGACACTCCCGCGCTGACATACAGATACCTCAGTGACCATGAAAGGGTTAAGCATGATCTCATTTTATGTTCCCCCGACGACTAGATCGATCCACAATTGTTTATCCTCCATTGACACACTTGCTGCTTATGTGTTACGAGCTAAATAACTCTAACGTAAGCTTCTTCGCTAATTCCGAAAAGTTCAAGAAAAGTGCATTTCCCATGATTACTCGCTAGTTGTATTTTTTTTTCTTCTTTTGTCTTACATATGTGCATTCCCTCCTAAGGCCTGCCAGCTGTTTGGGGGCGCATTAAAACGTGAATTGATAGATTAAGTGGGCACAGGATGAGAAGCATCCGCTTGTTGGTAGTGAAACGTGCCAAAGAACAGAGAACTTGTGACTGCAGGGAACAAGTTTGGCACTCACGGAGTGGAGCAGCTGGAGGCAGCCATGGACGCGGTTGGCAAACTGGACAAGCTGTGTGCCTTCAGGTGAGGGATCTCTTCCGCCGCCTCCAGCCGGTCTGTTTATTGCATCCTCAAAAGTGATCCCTTAATTTCTGCCTGATGACATCGTAGAAGTGTCACGCTGTTGTCTACCGCGATTCTGGCACAACTGCGGAGGCGGATGCAGCAGACACCTGTTCTGCCGTGGCATGCTCTCGGCTCGACGGTCCACGGAAGCTTCTGTAGCAACGAGTTGCAACTCTGCAACGACAACGACTCTTGCACTCGCTCGTCGTCTTTGTCAGAATGGCTACGACCATCTGCCAAGGTCGCGACAGTGTGACGCGCAACTTGCTGCCGCTTCAGGACCACTTTTGATGCACGGGCGGTATAGACCCTTTCCAAAATTCAGTCTGGCAGCATTGGTTGCTATCATCGTCATTTGAGAAATGGCGTGTGTGCCAGCGTTCTTAGATCTGTCAGTTGACAAGCTCCACAAAAGAGCAGCATTCGAAATCTGTTGCCTGCACGCAAGCAGGTGCGGGCGGGTAGAGTTCCTAGTGCCATCGGCATCGAGCCTTTATGGACAACGAAGAGGGACTATTTTAGAACGACTCTCTTTTTGTGCTGACTTTATCGCAAACTTTATGTTTACCGTAAAAACCCTGATAGAATTCCTTTCCGCTGCAGGTAAGGTGCATCCAACGTTCCACCGATTCCGCAGTTTCTGTTCATTGGGTGGGGTGACAGAGTAGCGAGCACCATCAAGAGCACGCGCCACGAAAAGGCGCCAGGTTTTCTGGGAAGCTTGTCAACCGACTTAGATCTAGTGACATAGAATTGTGCCGTACTAATAGCAACCTTCTGGTGGCTGAAAGAAAGGAGTTGAAGATTTCAAGTGGACGATGTGAGCCGTACGTGCATTCGAGAGTTTAGCACGATGCAGTGCACAAACTGAATACAAGAGCCGCATAAGCGTTCATTTCAAACTTGGGTCAAGTCAATCTGTTGGTGGCACACAATCTGCTCTAAAGCCCCTTGATGTACAGATTTTAATCGAGGCACCTATATCGGTTGGCGTTCTGTTCTGACATTCACCATAAAAACTGAAAGACATGGAGAATAAACTGTACAGTGAAGAGCACATTTTCGTCTGCCGCTGACTCGCGAAAGCGACAGTGCCCTATGAACCACATAGACTATGGGCGCATTACCACCATTAGTACGGCAAAGGCTAAACTGCTATTTGAGCCACCAGGTGGCACTGGCGGCGCGGAACGCACCAGTCGGAGACGCGCTCCAGACACCATGCCGCTGTGGACGCGCCATGCATGGGGACGGCTTTCTGGGCGATACGATTAAAGCTGCCCGTGCACATCGAGCGCCGTTTAAAGTTGCGCACGCACTGTCTTCGCCTGTGGAACGCCAAAGAAAACTGTCCCCAAGCGTGGCTGCCCGGCGTCCTTGCGGCGTTGTACCCTGCAGGGACATTGAGTCCTGTCCTTTGGTTGCAGCGACGACGAGGGTTCCTCCGCCGACGAAGACGACGAGGACGAGGAAGCCAGAGATGCCGAAGAGGAGCAGCGAGGCAGCGTGGAGGTCGGTGCGCCGGTGGACATTGTCCATGACTCCCTCAAGTTAGGCCCAGTTTGAGCTGAGCTGCTCGGGGCTTGTGATGCTCAGTGTTATAAATTTTTGGGGTTTAAAACAACCATAACAGATTGGCGGTATTTCACGTTGCGAAACGAAGCCGGCTCTCGGCGACTTGCCGGAAACTTCCTAGGGAAGGGACCTCGTGCTCTTCTCTTTTCGTAAACTTGCGGTTTGGCCGCTGACCTATTTAGCTTTCTTCTGTTCCCACGACTATTGGCGACTCCAGCAAAATGATGCTGCACTGCGGCAACATTGAGAAGCTCAAGAGAGAAGGTCATTTCGACTGTGTCGTCTGCTATCGCTGCTTGGTTCTTGTGAGCAGCATAGAAACAAATATTGTTTCAAGTAATTATTTTGATGCTTCCGCGGTGTCATTCTAACACGCTAACTAGAAGAAGGTTTTTACAGTCGATAAATCACTTTGCTCTCGTATGTAACACCTATTCTATGCTGCAGTGCAAACAATTTATGGTGGTCTGCGTGCTGAACAATGAAAATGACCTCCTTTCGTCTGCCATTTTGCCTGACCAGTGCGCCCCCTATAGTTCGCCAGGGTTGCAAATACTTTGGGTCCATACCTTATAGTAGTGAGATTAAAAATGACATCGCACCACCAACGTGCTCGAATTTGTTGGTGGGACAAGAGAGCATGCTCATTCGCTGCCGTGTTGCTCAATTCGGTCGAAAATAATCAAACTACAATAAAATCCGATAAGAGCGCCCACTGAAAATGAAGAGATAAATGGTGAAAAACATTAGGTGTGCCATCTTCGGGGATGGGACAGTGAAACTTTATCAAAGGTGAATAATGAACACACGGGCACCCTCTGCAAACCACGTGACGCGGGAACTGATGCCGCAGATCACGAACCTGGCAAGTTAGTGTTTCACAATGCGATAAACATGCGGGAATTCGCTACGAACTCCCGTCTCACGAAAAAGGATCCCGCAGACCGCGCATGCAACAGATTCGTGTTTCACGGTGCAATAAACCCGCAGAAGCCGGCTACAAACGTGCGTGCCATGGGAACCGATATTGCATGCACGTATTGCAGACAAAAACCACGGGAATTCGCTATGCACTCGCATGTCACGGGAAGCGGTGTTGTGCGTGCAAATTGCGGACAAAGACGCAAGAACTTGCTGCGAACTCGCTTGTCGCACGTACCAGCACCGCAGGTCACGTGGTTGATGTGATTTCCATCGGACATCAGGACATTGCCTAATGTCCGATGGGAATCTGAGCGTGCCCAGTGTTTTAGAATTTTCGTGCTACAGATATTTAGCCAGAAAACAGGATGGGCGATCTCTCAAGGGAGGGCACCTTTACGATGCCCTCCCTTTGAAAATGCCAGTCTCAGGGATGTATAAAAAAAATGTTTTCACACAATTGTTTTTGCTTTTCTGATGATTTTTATAGAAAAATTTTTTCAGGAAACAGAAATGTGCGAAATATGTGAACTTGTTGCAAGAGCATATTTTAAGTGGAAGTGAAAGGATGGCATGCGACCATTATTTCTGGCTCCTGTGGTGCTTGAGACCCGAAAACACTGGTTCGCAGCCGCGAGCTACTTGCGGGCCACATCCCGGAGAGTTACGGACTGCATGTCTGAGACCCCTGGTTTAACGTGTCAAAAGGGAAACGAAAAATGTGGCTGAAGATTGGGGACTTTGCAGGCGTTTCTGGCATCTCCCACGGCACCCAAGCTGGTACAGCTAGGGAGTCAGCGCTCCAAGCAGCTGCTGCAGCACGTTGAGGAGAACTCGGGCCAGAACCTGCTCTGCGGCTACCTGGATGCCTTCATGAAGGTCTGTAACATACACGTCAGCATTTTGTTCCTGGCACAGATGCAGGCACCGTAGATTAAAATACAAAAGTGGATTCCGGTTGTTGGAAATGCTGTCATTTGAAGGATACAGTTATGACTCAGTAACCCTTTCCGTGCCAAGTTTTAAAGCAATTGCTTTACAAGCCACACTTTACAGAGATTTCGACCTCATCCGTTGTCGTCGCCATGTGTGCAAAGGGAATAACTCTTTCTCTCTACACTCTTGGCGCGAGGCCAGGGAACTTGGGTTTTCCCGTCGGCCGCGCAGCGCACAGTGGGGAGCCCCGGCGTCCCGCCAGTGCCTGCGCGACAAAGAAAGAGTTTTCCTGTTGCCTGCTTGAAAGACTTGTTTTTTTAATCATTACTCGCGTTATGCGAAATCCCACTTTGGCAGCATCCTGTTGCTACGCATAATGCTGTATGGTTTTATAAACTTCCACCGCGCTTACCCACTTACTTCACGGATCACCAATGGCAGTTGTCAGTGGCATCCATGACGTCAACTACGGCTATGAGAATTAACCACGTCGCACCTCTGTCCTGAGGTACGTTACAGCGCCATTCCGCCACAATACGCGATCATTCTACAGCTGTCGCTTTCATTTCTTCACACATTGTGGGCAAAAAATATGTCGTTTTGTTTTCCTCGCACGCCGATTGCAAAGTTTGGTCTCAGTAACTCAGTGCTCTCTGAAGAATATTTTATGGGCGAAATGTTAGCTGATGTTTGGATGCCTCCAATCTATGGCATATTTTTCTCGTATTGTACTTTGCGAGACACGGTACTATGCAGTGGCCCCTCGACCTGGCACCTTGAGATCACTCTTTTATGAGCGGCCTAGCTTACTGACTTCCTTGTTTATTGGGGACTGTAACTTCCTCGTTTTCACAGTCATTAAATACTGAGTTCATTAGCGATTTCTAAATCTCAATGTTTGCCACGAAGCTTGAAGTTGAACGACGGGAGATTTGCCATTTCGTAACAGCGAAGGAGCATGACAAGACAAAAATGCATGTACAGTCAGATACCATTTGAACAGACTTCCATGGACTTCAAGAAAACGTTTGCCTAAAGGCTGACCTACAGAATCATCTTTTGCCGGGCAGAAAACCGGTTCCGAGTTCCCTTCTCTCCCCCACTCTTCTCCCCTCTCTCCACACAGGAGCGTGTCTCTGAGCTACTCCCCACCAGAACTGGGAAGGCTTTCCCTATTCTCTGAATGGAAAGTAGGAATTGAGAAAGCGTTTTCTCCTTTTTGACTGCTCGTCGGTCTTTAAGTGAAAGTTCACTCAAATGCACGCGTTGGACAAAATAAGGTTTTGCTGGGGTATTTTACGAGAGTTTGTTCAAACGGTGTTTCACTGTTTTGCCCAGTTTGCCCCCAAAAATGTTGTCTTTATAGTGGAGTGCCTACAAGCCACATGTTACAAAATAAGCCCCCACTCCCTACACACATGCTCAAAAAGATTACAAGACTCGTCTGAGCGATTCTTAAACATCCTTCTTTTTTGGAGTCGACATCCGAAATAGAACCATGTTTCAGACTCACCTCTCAATCAAAATGAGTCTCGACAAAAATATTGAGCTAAGCCTTTTCATTTACTTTCTCGAAGAAAGTTTTTGTGTCCCTTTATCGCCTCAACTATTCTAGCTGGCAGCGTTTCTTTAACCCCTTAACCATTCAACGTGGAGCTGTCCCCAAACCGTTTAGGACAAGTTGACCCGGGAAACTGCTTTCCCAAGTTCAGGCAACTGTTTTTGATGACCCAGGCACACTCATTGTTTTAATTTGTGGCTCTGCCAACGGATGGCAGCACTGACTCTTTTTTGTAACTCGCTCTATTTGTAAATAGGTCAGGAGCTCAAATGTCATTAGAGGAGGCCGACCTACAGAATCATCCGCCGAGCAGAAAGCCTGTTCCCAGTTTTCTTCTTTCCATCCCCCTGGCAGTCTTCCCTTGTCCTCAATCCCAACGGAAGCGGGTATCCGAGCTACTTCTTACAGAAAGGAAGAAGGTCTCCCTCTTTTTCTAATTTTCTAATGGAAACGAGGAATTAAGGGAGAGTTTTCTCCTTTCTGGCTGCTCGTCGGCCTTTAAGGGGTTGAAAGTTCTAGCGACCAAGACCGGAAGCTCCTGGAGTGGGAGCGAATGCCGAGATTGTCCCCTCTTCACCTCAGGTGGCGTCGGTGGTGGGTCTGGGGGACGAGGCCAGCCGGCGCTCCGCGCTGGACTGCGGGGACGCCCTGATGGGGGCCTCCTTCGCCCTGGCCTCGAGGGAAGGGGGCCCGGCGGACCTCAACAACCGCCTGCTGGTGCGCCTCGGCCTGCTCAAGGTACACACGCAGCCGCGTCGCTCACAAAACGAGACTCATTCTTTGCACTGCTATGGTACATCTCCACTTTAAAATGTCCCCTTGTGCGGGCAGTCGAGTCCCTTTACAAATACCGGCGGAAAGAGGCAGCACGTCTCCACGTGCGGGTTCCATCTCCGCCTTATTCTCCCCGTACAGCCGTCGTGAGGACGACGGGTACACGCACATCGAGTTGGATAGGCAAGTGGGAAAGGCTAATGAGCGTGTGACCTATCGGTAACACGTTGCTGGATCCATCTGAGTGGATCGTCGGGTGTCTGCCAGCTCACGAAGAACCTACTTACCGTAGAATACCGTGCATCCGCCCATACCCAAATTTGTAAGATCTGAGAAAATATGCACAGTACAGTGATATGTAGGATTGATGACCGGACAAGCGCCCGTCCCCCATTTTTTCATGATTATCTAAAAATTTTGAGTGGGCGCTTGCCCGGTATTTTACGGTAGGGGCACGAAAGAAATGCGAGCAATGGAGCTCGTGGCCTTCGACACGCGCCGCGGTACCCAGAGGCCTCCGGGAACTCGTAAAGCTGCCGAATGGAATGGAGGGATGCGAGGGTGCGCGCCCATGCAACATCTCTTAAGTGCCAAGTTCGAAGCACCAGATCTTTTGTGTTGCCGACGAGGAGCCGGCACGGGGCATGGATGGGACGCCAATCTTGCGTCGGCACTCAGCTGGGACTCGTGTTCAAGCGGCAAGAGCTTGAATCTCAGCAGTGTGCCGAAGCGGCACTCATGTCCAGTCAGCCCCACGATTGCCTATTTCGTACGTGTAGTAGAAGACTCGGTGCTGCGGCCTCCTCATCGGGACCACACATCAGAAGTGGTCCCGAAGTAGCGGCAAATGACGTCGCAAGAGCCAGAGTGTCGTGCTGTCAGAAGTCGTGATCCTGGCAGTTGAGCGTGGAAGTTCCGGTACCCCCCCCCCCCCCCCCCCCTTGAGTGTCACCGTTGTCTCGGCTACCAAAACTTTCGTGGACTATTAAGGTGTAGAGGAACTGGCAGTAGAACAGGCGTCTGCCATCTTCACCACTGTCAGTGTCAATGTGACCCTTCTAAGGTGCCATCGCACAGAAATTGAGGGCGCACTTTTTAGGACGCGGTAAACACATTGGTTTGAGACGTGTCGTAGGCACCGCACCTCTCTCTATTTGTTGAGTAGACGCTTATCCTCGCATCCCTCTTTTCACTTCGAAGTTTCATCAGTTTCAAGGTGCCTCCCGCTAACGCGGCATGTATCGAAAGCTCCGCGCTCCGCCGTTCACATTTCATCCGTGCCCAACGGTACGAGTCTGTTACCGGTGTGGCACGCAGGCCGAGCGTGGCGAAGAGTCCCCGTGGCCCGGAAGCACCAAGGAAGGCGCCATGTCGCTGCTGGCAGACCTCGTGCCCAAGGAATACTTCGACAGCTCCACGAGGGACGCTCTGCAGGCCTTCCTCTCACGGTAAGGACCCACACCTTCGTTCGACACCCGCTACGGTCGCCGACAGAGTGAGAAGAGCGGGGCGTGTCTTTCCAACACCTGGCCTTTAGCACCTGCTTGATGCCTCGCAACGCGCTTTGGCGGCGTGTGCGTGCTCGAGCCGCATGAGACGTTGAAGCGCCATCGAAGGTAGAAAGCTCGCAGTGGAGGCGGAACAACCAAAGCTCCTCCCCGTCGTTCTCGCCCCGTCAATGACTTGCATAGTTGCCGACAGGACAAAAACGGCAGGGAAGAGCTTCATTTGTCTCGCCTCCAGCACGAGTTTCCTTTCTTGGACGACACTTCAGCATCTCGTACACCTTCAGCGCATGCGCAGTCGAAGGCGCAGAGCGTGTGCGGGAAGTCGGGCGTTCGAAAAACGCGCCCCAGTGTTTTCATTTTGTCCGCGACTGCGAACGACAAAGCTCCGGTGCCAAATTTTGGGCCTAGAGGAAACTGGCTCTGGGCATAAATTGGACACAAGGGCTTCGTCGGCGTTCGGTTGGGACCCGTGTTCTCGCCGATCGTTAGGCGAACACAGACTCGGCACTCGCGTCCAGTCCGCGCTCTGCCGACACCGAAAATTCAACGCCACAGTTTGTCTGCCAGGAGGTCTGCCAGAAGGTTCAAAGCGGCAGTCTTTCGGGCGCTCAAGCCCAATAAAGATATGTTTGTCCAGTTAGAAAAAGGCACCCCAAGAAAGAAGCCTCGCCATTTTTTTTATTGTCCAGCCACGTCTCGCCGCACAGAGTGAGTGCCTCACCGACCTTCTTTGGTTGTACCAAGTAGTATACACTCTAAAACTAGCGCCATATATTATGAGCGGTCAGATTTGCCAAGCATACCCGCTGCATGTATGCCTACCGTGCCAAGTTTGCAAGCAAGCGGGGCCTGAAAGATAAAGCGTGCTACAGTGTAGCCAGATCTCGCATGCGTTACGCGGACGGAGGAATTCTGCTCCGTGTCGCTCTGTGGAGATGGCAGATGCAATGGCAGATGCCAAAGGCCTGCTGCATCGTCTACCGACAGTACAGTGCCTGGAGCTCGTGTCCAACCGGTGTGTTTATCGTCCTATACTGCCCGTGCGTCAAATGTGGTTCCAGAATGGCAACGAATTGCTTTGTGGGAGAACCGCCGTGTCATGCTGTCGAATGTCACAATCGTGGCGTTTGGTCGTAGAAATTCTGGCGAGCGCCGTCGTTGCAGCGTTTCAACTCGTGTGTGGTTTGGTTTCCGTCGACTGTGGCCCCAGAGCAGGCATCTGCCAGATACGCACTGAGTACACAGGGTGTTTCTTTTAAGCTTTTTAGATTTGTTCAAAAAAAAAGCCACGAAAGCTACACTTATGTAGGTTGTGCAAGTGTGTTATATGGCCAGGAGGACGTAGTATATGGGGCTATTCGTAATGATCAGTCGGCTAATATATTATGTATATTTAGTGTATGTTGGATCACCTGACCCGCCTTAACGTTGTCGTACGTTTGCCGCTGCGCCACTACCCCGACCGTGGCAGGCAACAGCGTGACACTTTCGTGACGTCACCGGGTGTAAATTGAGGGACCACTTTTGAGGACACAGTGTAAACACCAGTTGGGGACGCGCTCCAAGCACCATAATTCGCGGGTGCGCCGTCGTTAGCTTTATTACTGGCTCGAGCAGGTAATGAAGAGCGTGCCAACGGGGTTTCGTCTGCTCCGTGTTCGTAGGCCGCAGCAGAACGGGGCCTTGGAAAGCAAGGCGAGGCATCGGCTGATGCAGGTCCTGTACCAGGCGTAGAGCAGGAGGCTCCTCAGACCCGGCTCAGCTTTACTCCGGCTGCGCAAGAAAGGACGGAGCATGCAGCCCCGTCTTCAGCCACTCATCACAGTCCCATCAACTTTCTTCGACACTGCCCATTAAATGAGTTATTTGTTCGATGCGGTTCCTCCGAGGACAACTTTAATTCCTGTAAAAGTTTTCGCGTACTGTCGCTTTCATGCAATTTGCCTCGTCACGCAACTGACTGAGCGACAGCGAAGTGGGTCACCGTCGCTTGTCTCGACACTCGCCAAATCGCTTACATGCGATTGATACTTGAGACGACACGGTCTATAGGTACCTACACTTAAGGCTGGTTCACGCACGTGCTTTTGCCTACGACCGAGTTCTTGTGATCCCTTGCGACGAGAAAACAGGATGGTGTCCTCTACGAGCTGGCCCTGGAACGGCGTTTCACTAAAGCAAAAGTCTTGCACTATTTGCGAAATCGAGTGTACATACCACATAAGAGATATGGTCATTTATAACATTGCTGAAAGTTTTTCAAGCCAATAAAAAAAAGAATGGCGCGCAAAAGAAAGGAAATATACAGAAATTGTGAGCGTTCTGTGGCAGCCCGGTAGATGGAGCCTTTCTCGTTTAAAAATTTGCAAGAGGTTGTATGGCGCTTGGTCGTAAGCAGCCATAAGTGTGTGAGCCAGCTTTTAGTGCGATAGGTTGCTGCTCGCAACTGCTACCTCCCCTAATATCCTGAGATAAACCGCCCTCTATTTTTGGCTTGATTTGCTATTTTCTTTTAAACACGGACAGTCATAGTTATCAAAGTGTTCGGATGACCGATGATCTCGGCGTAAATGCGGCTAGTTAGCTATGGCAGGGATGTAAGCAAACATTGCTGACTGGTCATCTCTGCTGCTTTCCCCTTTTCAATGTTTCTTGACTGTACACCGAAAGATGGCCCACTCCTTATTTTTATCTGATTTGCTCTCGATTTTAGGTAGACTATCTCCCGGGATATGAAGGTAGTCCCGGATTTTTCGCGCTATTTTTTTTTTACTGACCAGATGCATTCAGTCGGTCAAATGTACGAACCAGCATTAAAGTGAAACAAACTATGGACGCTACTTTGTTCGGTCGAGCGGATTCCCTTTCGCGGGATCGAAGGGGGCGAATGCACTTGCCTTCGTCGTTGCTGTAGCAGTCTGTGCAGTGGAGCTTGGTGTTGCGCACGCGGACGTCCGTGCCACACAAGCCGTTGCCGAGAGGCGCCTGGCAGACGCAGCAGCGGAAGCAGGCCAGGTGGTACAGCAGCTGCAGGCTCTCTATCACCATAGCCGCACCGTGCCCTGCGCCCCACCGGTGGACGCGTCAGCCCCACGCCCGGCACGACCCCGCAGCATCGCAGACCGAAGCTGCGCAGGCTTCCACGGCACCCTTCGCGTGCGAGCGGACTCTTTGAGAAGATTTGCAAGTGACAAGCCGCCATACTCGACAGATCGGTTGGTGGGCTTCACACTCGTTACTTTTTTTAAATGAATAATGTTTATATGTCCCGCTCTTAGCTCTTCCCTGTCCGAGCCTGTTGCCTCGCGTGCAATTGGCAACGTCTCTCGGGGCGGGGACTTTTCCGTTTTCCAGTCGGCGCCAGCAAAGCAGACTAAGTACAAACGCTATGAAGGCTCCGCTCCTGCTTGCGGGCTTCGCGTGCCCCTGAAGCAGCGCAGGAGCAACAACGGCGGTGCAGCGAGGTGAAGAGAGAAAAACGAGCGAGGTGGCTCCAGAACGAGCGCCATGCCCAGCCGCGACGGGAGGCCAGTCGCCATTACGCGGCGGCCGACCGGTGGTACAAGCGCCAGTTCACGGACGATTTGTTCGGTGTAGCGTGTAAGACAAACCGGTTTCAAGCGTACGTGAAGAAGCCGCTTAAATGCCATGCATTTAGAGCGCCTCTGTTAATGCCAAAAAGATTAATACCTTTTCTTTTAGGCTGTTTAAAAAAATTTTTTTTCCTTTGCTTATGCCTTTTAGCAGTATTCAGGAAACTTACTCGAGTACAGTCAAATGCAAATACTATGTGAAGCAGTCTTGGGGTTTCGTTGAATTGGCACTGAATTTCACTCGGAACGTGAGGGCAGGGGAGTGGCGGCGAAAGTAGGTCACACTTACCTAGGGGCTGGCTGCAGTGCGAGCAGAGGCGCCGTCCGCTGACGGACAGCGTGCCTTCCGTCGGGGCCTCCGGCTTTCCAGCCGTTGGCTCCGGGGGCTGGACCTTGGTGCACGCCTTCTCCCGGGAGGCCCTCCAGTCGGGCTTCGGAGTGGTGTTGGACACCGGGGTGGGGTTTGACACCGGGGTGGAGTTTGATGCCAGGATGGAGTTTGACGCCGGGGTGGAGTTTGACGCCGGGGTGGAGTTTGACGCCGGGGTGGAGTTTGACGCCGGGGTGGAGTTCGACGCCGGGGTGGAGTTTGACGCCGGGGAGGAGTTTGACGCCAGGAAGGAATTTGACGCCGGGGTGGAGTTTGACGCCGAGGTAGAGTTTGATGCTGGGGTGCAGTTGAACACCGGGGCGGCCTTGCGCTGCTGGTCCCTCCCCCTGGGGGATCGCGAGGCAAGTGGCGGGGAGGCCTTGCTGCTGTACTCGGAGAGCAGCTCGGTGCCCGTGGTGAGACAGGGCGGAGCCTGTGGCAGGGTCTTCCTGGCCTGGCTAGAGTCTGGGAAGAGCTGCTTGGCGTCTTGCACCCGCTGGAAGGCCCTCTGCGAGGCCTTCCTCCTCCGGCTCTTCCACTCGTCCAGATTCTGGGATGCCACGCTCAGATAAACCGCCGTCAGCGATAAGAAAGGGGGTTGCAACTCATGCAACTGAGTAAAATACTAAAATATTTTCAGCTCCATATCTAGTTTTTTTTTGCCATTAAAGGGGTACTCCGGCGATTTCTTGAGCTACCTCAACTAACTATATTTTCTGACTCCCCGGCCTTTACCCTTTCTGGTATGCTATTTTGTATCGCGAAATTCATAATAGTTAATGCGAAATCGGCAAATGAAAATGATGCAAAAACCAACATTCAAATATACCCACTCTTTTCAGTGCTGTGACGTCAGTGGCGGGCAGGCTTGCCAGTCGAGCGAGCAGTCTAAAAAATAGAATATGCCAATCATTTGTTCCGTGCTGGAGCGCGGGTCCTGGAGCAAGCTTCCAAAGCATTCATTTGACACCATGAAAATGCTTCGAATCAGTTGGGAACAAATTCCACAGTCCAAAGAGTGAACCCCTGCACTTCCACTGACGTCACTTTTTCGTTGTTGCCAGTAGAGACTTTCAGTTTGAAAAACACGGTGAAGACCAAAATTGTAAATTCAATAACTTCGTGAAAAAAAATTAGTGTGACCTAATATTTGGGATACTATTTTGGCGATGTTGTTTGGCGAGTTTTGCAAAATTTCAAGCAAATCGGGGATTATGAAGAAATCGCCAGAGTACCCCTTTAACGGACCAGTTGCAAAAACCCCAATGGTCACCCGTGAAGCGCAAAACGAATTTTGAGAACATCCTGTATCCCGCACGATGTTGTTCCATCGTCTGCTACAGCACGTTGCAAGAATTCCTTTCGATGCCATGCAGGGCACTGCATGTTTTGCAATGGGCTTATTTAAATGCAAACTGAAGACAATTCCAGGTTTTCTCTGAAACTGTGGTCTCCAATTATACCATTGTATAGACAAAATCTTGACAAACATTTCTTTGCTGACTAGGGCATGTGAACACTAGCAGCAACCACTGGAACTTACAAAGAGAAATTCCAGTTTGGTTATTACCCTATTTATTTATTACAGGCATAATCCGGAAGCATCTCTCCCCATGCTTCTCAGTTAGAAATGCCGTTTCTGGAGTGTCCCTCTGGAGTTTATTTTTTTTATTGCCATTCGAGTGCTTATCAAAGATTATTTTTGTAAGCTATTCAACACCTGAAAATTTACCTTTTTACCTATCAGAGCTATTTTTTTTTTACACTCTTAATTGTCTAAATTGGTTTAAATATCCACAGACAGGCAAATCAAGGAATACAAGGCCATTTTAAATGCAATTAATACTCTAGGCTTCGGGATACGGCTTTTACTGCTATAAAAAAAAAAAGGCACTTTCTCCAAGTGAAGCAGCCCAGATTGTGGTTTCGAGCAGCTAATTAAACCCTGCTTATAGAGTATCGGCCCACCGTCTCAAAATTTGTTTGTGGGCACCACCGATCAGGTGCTTAGTGGAGGGCAGGTGCAATTGGCGACCGGCACGAACCGAGAAGACGACTTCCTGAGTTTTAGAGATGAATTGAGAAAAGTCACGTGATATTGTTTTGCTCTGTTGCAGACTGTTTGACATTTGTGGGTGACGGAAAGCCATCTGTTGAGACTTTGGGTAAGGCTTCAGATATACTGGCAACAATACTTTTAAACACCAAGAAAAAAATAAAGGGCAATGATTTTTTTTTTTTTAAGGTTTTTTATGGCAATGATTTTCCCAGTCAGGTGAAAGTTACAGGAGTGCATTGGCTTGGAAGAAAGAGAGGAATCGGGTTTTGTTTTCTTTTTTTATAGGCTAGGTGGTGCAAGCTGCTGCCTGTTGTAAAGGGTACAGCCATCATTATCCGTCCATCCATCCACGGCTGAAGTATTGTTACTCTGGAGCATAGCTTATTTAGTGGAACAGCGACGATGGCAGTCCTCTACTTAGATTGGCTCGAGTCCCGACCCAGAAATGCAGCAACATATGGACTTGTCCCGAATGGGTGTTCATAATAAACCCCTTTTGGTGAGCCGGCACAGGGGAGACTAGAGTTTGCCTCTTCAAGACTGCTAGCCCAGCACTCTTCCGAGGCTGTCAAATCTGTTAAGTCTAATTAACTGACAAAAAGTTTGTTATTTTTGTTTTATAAATAAATAAAAAAATACTTAGACCTCTACATTAGATATTTCTAATGCTGCACCAAAACCACAAAAAAGGAAACTACTTTGGAGTCCCTTAAAGGCTCCGGTATGCTTTTCTTTCGCACAGCCTGTGTCGACGTACTGCCATATGCATGCACACTGCAGCTATAGCGAACTTTTCGGAGGAACTGCACAAGAAGGGCAGCGTCCAGGCTGTCTCAGTGCACACGCCTCGATGCAAGAAGCAGCACTGGGTTAAACTGGGACCTGCAGGGGCTAGCACCCACCGTCTGCCACTGCTCCTCTTGCTCGTCCTCGGCGGCATGGCACTTCTTGCGCTGCACGCTCCCGTGCACCTGCTCGCGTGCCTGCGTCCCCAAAGCCGCCTGGCCGATCTTCACGAAGCGGAGCGGGTCGCTGACGGCGGCCGGGCCCGCGACGGGAGCCAGGCTCCTGACCGCGGTCCGACCTGCCGGGCCCTGCACCGCGGCGGCCGGGCGGACGCTATCGGCCCAGCGCTGCTCCACGTACGTCTTGTCCAGGGCTGCCGAGTAGCGGTAGGTGCCTGCCATGGCTGCAGCCACCGGCCATGCCCGCCGAGCTCGCTAGCGGGGCACCTCGCACGGGCCTCGGCAGCCGACGCTGCAACGAGGTCCCCTCGCTCTAGCTGGCGCCGCGGGGCTTCATAGCCGGCCTGCGATTAAGGAACAAACAGCGCCGCGTCTCTTTTTCCTCCACGCGCATTCGGGGTTGACCTGCTTTCGGGGAAAGGCGTCGTCGCCGAGCTGCGCGGGTCACCCCGGAGGACAATATTATTTGTGCCGGGGAACCTCATTTTCGCGCGCGCGCTTCCGCGCGATGAAATCGAGTGGCGTTGGACCCCCTGCGCCGTGCTCTTACCGTTAGCAGCACGCAGAGGCGCGCGCGGTGCGGTGGGCTGCCGATGTTTTGATCCGTGGGTCATCCACCTTTGGGACATCCGAAACGGGAACAGCGCGCTCTGCGTCTCCCCCGCGCGGTTGGCACCCCTGGCTGTGCCCTCCACTTCCGGCTTGCGAAGACGCCAACTGGACGGGTCCGAGAAACGCGAGCGCGAAGTTAGGACCCTGGATCCTAAAATTCCGCACGCACGACAGCGACGGCAGCGCGCGCGAGGACACTCATTTCCTGGGACCCCTGTTTGCCCCTACCGCCCACTTTCGGCATTACCCGACGCTAGCGGTGTCGGGCCAGGGCCAGCCAGCGGCATTTCGTTTGGGTGGTTTGGAAGTATGCCAAACTGTTCCAGTTTTGGCATCCAAAGCAGAAAGTGTCGCATTCCTGATTTTTCTTTGTTTCTGGCGGCTTTGTATGGTGAATCGGCTGAGGTTCTTAGTTTTATGCACGATTGCGTGAATAAGTTTCAAGAAGTGTCGTAAGCGGGCAGTAATTCGTGACCTGTTTGGGAACACTACGGGTACTTCTACCATGTCCGACTGGTACCCAGAAAACCCCCCAAAATTAAATACTTTAATCATAAAAAGATAAAATAATAATCGGGTGAATGCAAGATGGCTTAATGTTACTTTGGGCGGCGACGGAAGTCAAACTAGTTGAATGCTTTCAGTTTCTCTTTCTCAACCCGAACGGAAATCCACTCTGCAAGCCGTGCAAGCTTTTTAAAAAAAACGTATATGTTTTATTCGTATTATATAACGTTAGTGATAATTAACTAATCATTCGGTAACTTTAAAACTGAAAAATTTACTAAACAATTTGTGGAAATAGTTGATGGCGTCTTGGTTGGGCGGCTGTTAACGTGACTCCTTGGCCTGAGCCAATCCGATCCAAAGTATATGCAATGCGCGCTTTTTGTTTGTAGCACGATAAGTACCAGGGTACCAGCCAACGTTGGTACCAGCAGCGTTCGTCTCCTGCACATTTTAGCGATACTGCTGCTAGGCTAACTAAACTACGAATTACTACTACTAATACCAGCAGCGCCAGCAGTACCAATAGCCAGTAGTGCAGTCATACGGTAGTACTCTGAATCTCACAGTCAAGCACTTCAACGCTCGACATTTTCGAAGCCTTAACCCATGAGTCGATTAAAAAAATCGACTGGGAGTGCTGGAACGCCGCTGAGCGAGGTAAGATCAGGGGTTTCCGTGACACGTACTTGATAGTGCATCCGCTTGGTTGCTGCAGCGCAAGTGCGGCCACCGGGCGGCCATCTTGGGACACGAAAACTCGACGTTTTGAAGCGTTGCGGAGCCTGGGCGGCAGCATGCTCAGGACACGTTTTCTGCTCGTTTTTCGTTATTCGCCAGAGAAGTTTGTTTAAGCCTCGTGTAAACTGTGAGAGTTGCCTTTGAGAGCACGTGGAAATTCTTACGAAAGTGCAACGCCGCAGGACAAAGGCGCAACTCGTCAAATGCCGGTCTCGCTGCGTGATCAAAGCTTCCTTGGCAGGCCGAAGTGCTTCGTCTCCGCCCTCGCACACCTAGGTACTTTTGAGAACACATAAAAAATTGTATGTGTTCTCAAAGGCGATTTTCACCATTCACACAAGGTTTTATAAAACGTCTTCGGCGTGTAATGATGAACAAGCAGAAAATGTGTCTTCAGCACGCTGCCGTCCAGCCTCCGCAACGTTGAACGCTCCGAAAGGTCAATTTTTTATGTCCCAATATGGCCCTCTGGGGGCTGCATTCACAGAGCGGGGAAGTGGGTAAAGTACCTATTTTACGACATTACGAAACTGATTGAACTAATACCCATGTTATACGGTGCTTTATGGCCGTGTTTCCAAATTGACTCGTTCGATCTCACTCTAAAGGAAAGGTTATGTTCACCCGCCGGTAATATGAAGGTGAACACCTTACCTGGTTTCTTGCCTGTTTTACGGCTCCCGAAAGCTATATTAACTCTCAACGTCTCAAATGGTACGTGGCTTGGGGTCTAAACTTTGCATTCTAGCCCTCCTCTGGAACAGAGCTTGTTCCAAAACTTGCAGGAGCGTCAAAAACAAGAAGAGGGCTGTTCACCTTCATATTGCTCACGGGTGTATCTTATCGTTCCGAGATCCACTCGCATTCACCACATTATTTTCTGCTTTACTTTTAATTTACGAATTCAAACATATTACTGTCTTGACGTTGCAGGTATGCCTAAATGCCATATTTATGGCATTTAGGCATACCTGCATTATGGTTATGCAGACACATAAGTACTATATATTGCTCAATACTTCAGCTTGGGCGAGTTGGTTAAACATGCTAATACTTCGCAGCGCACAACAGACAACACACCATCAAAACAGATACACACAAAGAAACAACACTCACGCAGCGCTGACTGTCAACTCTCGGATATATTAATCTTCGTTCTTATCTTTCACCCTTACGCACTAAAAAAGAACTAAATGTTAACCAAGGAAGAACAGCGAAAGAAAAATAAAATAAAAAGAAAGGGGAAAGATTAATATAGGAAAGAAAGATGGAAAGAAATGGAATAAAATAAGATCTAGTCCTACTACAGTAAAATTACTGAGGAGGTTTTCCTAAATAATATAACTCTTTTCTTGATAAGCTAATCGACGGGGTACTAACGCATACTCCGTCTAGCAGGTCTATGCTCGCGGCTTCGATGATTTCTCGAGTTAGTTTGTTGTTGCTTCGTCCCAGTATTGTGCAATTGCCCAGAAGGGGGGAACATCCACAATCTCTACAATGAATGCCCAGATGGCCTGAGTTAGCGTTAATGGCGTTGCAGTTATGTTCCCGGAGCCTGTCATTGAGACAGCGCCCCGTCTGCCCAACGTAACGCTTCCCGCACGTAAGAGGGAACGAATATATCACTCCCTCTGCACAGGAAACGAACTTGGTCTTGTGATTTTTCGTGCAGCACTCTGTTCGAATAGGCTGCCCATTCACCCGCTTGCACAGGCTGGAAAGTCTCTGCGGAGCTGAGAAAACCACGTCGACGTTGACTCTGCTAGCTACTTTTTTAAGCTTGTGTGACATGTTGTGAATATAGGGCACTATAACAGGCCTTGTAGTGCGTTCTCTTTTTCGGTAGTTAGAAGCTTCGGCTTGCTTGACCTCCTTAAGTAGGCATTCAGAGACTGAAATTAATATCGACAAAGGGTATCCTGCTGAAACCAAGCGAGTTGTTTGCGTTTTGAAGCTCATGTCGGTCATGTGCACGCAGGATTTCTTGAGGGAGTTTTTTAGGCAAAGTTTTGCAATGCCTCGTTTAACAAGTTTCGAGTGTGCGGAACTATGATGAAGTAGTGGCTTTTTTGCCCTCGGTTCATAAGACCAGCAGATGTGACAGTTTTTAAGGAACAATCGAAGGTCTAAGAATCTTATGGAATGCTCGACCGGAAGTTCGTGGGTAAGTTTTAACGGATCAAGGTATTTCTGGAAGGTAGAAAGAACATCGGCCACCAAGGTGGGGAAGGTGCGACTGTTACTGTCAAGAAAAACCAAGTAGTCATCCACGTAACGAAAAACAGAATCTTACAGCAAAACTTAGACAGTTCAAAAATAGTGCGTGTTTTTCGTTACGTGGATGACTACTTGGTTTTTCTTGACAGTAACAGTCGCACCTTCCCCACCTTGGTGGCCGATGTTCTTTCTACCTTCCAGAAATACCTTGATCCGTTAAAACTTACCCACGAACTTCCGGTCGAGCATTCCATAAGATTCTTAGACCTTCGATTGTTCCTTAAAAACTGTCACATCTGCTGGTCTTATGAACCGAGGGCAAAAAAGCCACTACTTCATCATAGTTCCGCACACTCGAAACTTGTTAAACGAGGCATTGCAAAACTTTGCCTAAAAAACTCCCTCAAGAAATCCTGCGTGCACATGACCGACATGAGCTTCAAAACGCAAACAACTCGCTTGGTTTCAGCAGGATACCCTTTGTCGATATTAATTTCAGTCTCTGAATGCCTACTTAAGGAGGTCAAGCAAGCCGAAGCTTCTAACTACCGAAAAAGAGAACGCACTACAAGGCCTGTTATAGTGCCCTATATTCACAACATGTCACACAAGCTTAAAAAAGTAGCTAGCAGAGTCAACGTCGACGTGGTTTTCTCAGCTCCGCAGAGACTTTCCAGCCTGTGCAAGCGGGTGAATGGGCAGCCTATTCGAACAGAGTGCTGCACGAAAAATCACAAGACCAAGTTCGTTTCCTGTGCAGAGGGAGTGATATATTCGTTCCCTCTTACGTGCGGGAAGCGTTACGTTGGGCAGACGGGGCGCTGTCTCAATGACAGGCTCCGGGAACATAACTGCAACGCCATTAACGCTAACTCAGGCCATCTGGGCATTCATTGTAGAGATTGTGGATGTTCCCCCCTTCTGGGCAATTGCACAATACTGGGACGAAGCAACAACAAACTAACTCGAGAAATCATCGAAGCCGCGAGCATAGACCTGCTAGACGGAGTATGCGTTAGTACCCCCGTCGATTAGCTTATCAAGAAAAGAGTTATATTATTTAGGAAAACCTCCTCAGTAATTTTACTGTAGTAGGACTAGATCTTATTTTATTCCATTTCTTTCCATCTTTCTTTCCTATATTAATCTTTCCCCTTTCTTTTTATTTTATTTTTCTTTCGCTGTTCTTCCTTGGTTAACATTTAGTTCTTTTTTAGTGCGTAAGGGTGAAAGATAAGAACGAAGATTAATATATCCGAGAGTTGACAGTCAGCGCTGCGTGAGTGTTGTTTCTTTGTGTGTATCTGTTTTGATGGTGTGTTGTCTGTTGTGCGCTGCGAAGTATTAGTATATATTGCTGTTCTACCCAGCAAAAGAGAGTAAACATTTTAAAGGTGCGGGGATGAGTGCAAGAATTGATATAACTTGGTGCCTAGAAACACAAAAGAATGTAAGTGTAATCTTTTTTAAGTCTTGGAAAGATGTAATGAGTATACTAGCTATGTTACCCATTACTCTAATAAGTAATGTAGGTAGGGTATATATAAGTTAGCGAAAAAAAGTTGTCCATTAAGCCGTTACTTGTAACGCATTATACTGCCAACACTGGTCTCAACACCTTGAGATAATCCGCAGCATAGACTATGCGTGCAAGCTACTTGCTTTTGATTTGTACCGTAGCGGCACAAACGATCGTGTAGCAGGAGTGGTAGTTTGTACTTGCAACCTTTGCCAAAATCCATGTGGGGTGAATCTGTTGGTCTGGCCACCACAGCCCGGCTCGTCAAAATGTTGCACTCAGAACACTGTGCTTTTTGCCGCAGTTTGTGCTCGATATATTAACCAGCAGTAGCAGCGATGACGAAGATGTGCTTGCTGCCCGTCCCGATCATCATTTTAGGTAAGTGTAAGCAACTCGCAAACCCATACCAAATCTCTGTGACCTCCATTGCGTGTGGCTTTTTTAACGTAGAACAATTTTTTTAATTAGGCTAACTTGGTGTAGTAAACATAACACACAAAAGCACCACAACCAAGAGACCAATATGTAGTCACCACCACAGCAGAAAGATCGCACTGAAGAATGGCACCGAGATTTACCGATCCAAACACATATTCTTCATGGGATAGTTCTGTTATGTGCGACTCAAGTACTGTCGCAAATATTTTTTTAGGTTGCTGGACTGGGTGGATTCACCAACGAAGGGTGCAGCGATGTATCGGGCTACGTTCCGCAAAGGGAAGCATCCATTACTGAGGTAGGTAACCAGGCTCAGGCATTAGCAGTGTCACAGCATTATGGCAGAATGCAAGGGGCGTTGGGAAATAATTAAAGGAGATTGGGTTGGTTGGTTAAACAAACGCGTGTCAAAAATGAATTTCACGCGAAAAAAAAGATATTTAGAGAAATAATGACGGCGAGAGATTTATTTGAAATTCTGCGCGCAAAGTCCATGACGTCACGAGTCATTCCAGAATGACCATCTCGGTCGTGAAGGCGAAGCCAATCCACCTCTCCTCCACGCACCCAAAATGCCGAGAGAGAAAACAAGTGGAAAGGAAGGTGACTGCCAACTAAATTTCATCTCACGCCGTCAATATTGCTCTAAAAAAAATTTTTTTGTGTAAAATTACTCTTTTGACCCAACTAGACTATTAAAAAAATAATTTTTTTTTTTCTTTTTAAGGGCCTTTATTTACTCTATGCATCTTTTCAACGTTTGACGGTTTAGCGAAATCTGCCTGTTCACATGTGGAGTTTGGCGCTTGAGACCTAGCTGCGACGTATTGACTCGTAAGAATTTCGCCAAACCTTGTCATCTGCACCAGGAATAGCAAGCGTTTCGCATCAAAATGATACAAAGTGTGCACAGTGTGAAGGGACAGTCTGCTTTATTAATACCACTCCATAAACTTCATCAGATTCAGCTCACTGGACCGTGAACGTCGGAGAACAGGCGGATGATCTCGAAGCATTTCGAATGTTTTTGCGTCCGAAATGCGTTCAGTCATTATGTTTATATGCAGTGCTTGCACTCGTCGCAACTGTTGATGAATCTGCACTGCGCCACCGACCTGTACTGATAACACATATCGCCCGTACGCAACCCAGACGCACCGCTTCTCCGCTTGTCGCTTGCCGCCATGTTTGCTTTTTTTTTTTTTTGGCTTTGGCTTAGATACGGAGTCGGCCAAAACTCGGACTTCTCCAAAAGCTCGCTTCACCTCGAAAGTCAGACGTCATAGTGGAGTCGAGCAGCTATTGGCAGCGTTCGCGCTTCTCCTGCAGGTGATTGACAGGCTTTGGTGAGGTTTCAGCAAAATATTGCTTCAGAAGCGAGGAGCACGTGCAATCCTTCTTGGAGGTACGCCACTTTTTCGGTTGCATTCACATGGGTCATCATTTTCGCAAAACCTAGTTTCAAGACGCAAGATACGTCAACAAGACACATTGTGTGAATAGACCTTCAGTGTTCGTGCTTAACTTTTCTGATGTGCATTCAGCGCTATAAGAACTGATAAGACGAGAAAGGCGGGGAGGCTGTTATCTCGCCTCTAGATCGAGCTTCCTATCTTCCACAATGCTTCGGCTCATCTTGTCAGTGGCCATGGCAAAGACGCCGCCCCATGACAGCCATGTGGACCGAGCTGGTGCGCAGAGCTCCTTCATGATGCAGCTCTGCTGTTAAGCACCAGATCGCTGCATTCTGTTCAAAGTAACGAGCAGTGATATCTGGGACATTCCTTCTAGCTGTTCACCCAAGGCAAAGACTCTGACTCCGCGGTCGGTGCCTCCAGTGGCCACCACAACAGCGACCGCCACGGCAGCCTTCGTGACGCCCGTCGGAGACCCCACGGTGGCAGCCACCCCCCCTGCTAGGAGAGCCCCTGCTTGTAGGGCGGCTTGGATTGGCTTCTCAACCGGACGGTCTGTTGGCCGATTTGCCACTACTTTTTTTGTCTAAAGCAGTTAATAGCTTTGTATGGGATCCTGCATGAACCGTGCTCGCTCGTGTTGGCGGGAATCGCACCGTAAGCGAGGCCGTGGGAGAAAGTGTCTGCAACTGAGCGCAGCTGTTGGTTTGATGTCACAGCGTGCGCGACTCATGGCATTGCACCGTGCAGGGGGGTGACGTGGGTCGCAGTGTGTTAACATCTCCCTCTTTCTTTCTCCTCTGCTAGGTAGGAACAGGGGACTGCATACCGTAATATCCCAAGAGATGCCTCACCCTTAAAAGATAACTCGCGCCTATTGTTGGCCGTGATTTGCTATTTCTTCAGAAACACCAAAAGCTAGCTCACCTCTAGTCGGCAGAAATGGTGTTATTTAGCCAGGATGGGAAACTAGCAACCATAATGACTAGTAAGGACAGTCCTCTTTGGTTTATCGCCCCTCCCTGCGTTCGCGAGTTTCGGAGGTCACAAAATCTAAAACTAGCATTTTTTCAACTTTTTTTTGATCGCACACCGAAAGTTGGCCCACTTCTTATTTTTACCCGATTTGCTTTCAATTTTAGGTCGGATATTATGGTTGTAGCATAGGAATTGTGTACTAGTAGAAAGATCTTGTGGGCACAAAGGCATTTCAAAGTGCTGCTCGTTCAAAAACCTCATTGAGCGCCGTAGCAGGTTCGTTGCATTGGTCGGACCGCTGAGCCAGGTAATTCCTTTTCTTCATGTCCTTTCTTCCCGGAAGTTTTTAAAAGGATTAAAAGACTTAAGGCTTCACCGTTTGCCCCCGCTAGATTTTGTGCACTCTATTTTGTGAGAAAATATTTTCTCTGGAAAAGTTAGGCCAGTGGCCGATTCATAATGGTGTTAATTGCTAAAAACTCCACGCCTAGAAGAAACAAGTATTGAGTCCCCGCACTTCCGCCCATGCATCGAGAGTGGTCGCGATGTGGCAACAAATTGTGGCGCAGGAGCGGGCCCATCGTGCCCTTGGATGTCTCGACCCCAGCGGCGTGTCATAGAAATGCTGGCGAAAAGGGTCGCTGTCATCGCGGAGATCCCACTCGCGTCTACTTTAATTGCCGTCCAACTGCGGAGCGACCTGCGTCTGCTGCGATGCCGCCAACGCGACTTTCCTACGATGTGATGGGGCAGAAACTGAGGAACCACTTTTGAGGACGCAGCAAAGACGTCGATCGGAGACGCATTCCGGACACCATATTTTAAACGTGGCGTATTCAGCGGCTCCGGTTGCATCCTTTCTAAATACGCTGCGGGGCGCACGCAGGGGTCGGCGGCCCTCCTGGCTGGAGGGCTCGAGCAGCGAAGAGGAGGACGGTGCGGACCGCAAGGCCCCCCTGTCTCCGGAGGAGAGGGACCGGGACGCCTGGTTTCTAGAGTCCCTCTCGGAGGCCGTCGAGCCAGAGCGGAGCCAGCCGGATGCCCTGCTCTTCCGACGACGTTTCGGAGTGCTCCGGGACAAGCTGGTGTCCGAGCTCTTCACTGTATTCAACCGGGAGCTCTTTCGGGACAGGGTGAGTCGCCCCGTACTGAAGGAGGACAAGATCGTAGAAAAAGTTTGCGGAGAAAGAGACGTCGCGGGCGTCGTACGCCTCAAAGACTCGTAAAGTTTCTCGGCGCGCGACCTACCGGACGCAGAAACAGAATGATGTTTGAGCAAACGAGGAAGGAGAGACCATCCTGAAAATGTAATATCTGTGGAAACACTAAAGCCGCATTCACGCTGCTCGTACGTCGTACGAAAGACTCTGTGTTCGCTGCAGACACGACTCAGGCACGTTCGAAGCATGTTCGCTTCATATATACATGTATATGCTTCGAACTTGTCTGTGGACAATTTTTGTACGACCAACAGGACAGGACTGTCGTACCAAGAAGAAACACGCCTAGGACAGCGTCTGCAGAGACCGCCTTTTGTACGACGTATTTAACGCGCGATAGCAGCTTGAGGGCAGTGTTCCTTTTTTTTAAAAAATTTTTGTTATTTTGGGGTGCTGCGTGCACGCACGTAGACCTGCAACAGGCAGCAGTGTAGCAACTTCTGGATGCCAGCAAAGCGTCGAACCTTGGATAAGACGTGCCTGTGTCGGTCCTAAAAGCGTCGTCTCGAAGCTCAAACATTTCATCGATCTCGAACTATGGCTGGTTTCCAAGGACCTTCGTTTCGCCGCACGACGAGGTCGTGTTGGAAGTCTTGCACCGAGTTGTGCGGCGCGGATGGCTGTACGCCTCGTTCAGTGGGAATGTTAGTCGTGTCTGTTTATTTGCTTATTTAATGATACTGCGGCTTTCTATTGAAAGCCAGAGCGAGAGTAAAATATGATAAAATAATTTTTAAAAAATGAAAGACGTTTACAACTCCCTGTAATGCTGAATTAGAGCGCAGCTCTTGAGGAGGAGGAAGGAAGAGTATGGAGAGGAGGGCACGTTCACACTCAATTTTCACGTGACATCACTCGTGAAGGTCGTGACCTTCACTCGTGACCTTCACTCGTGACCTTTGTGACGTCACTTGTGACCCTCATGACGTCCCGTGTGACGTCATTATAGAAAATATCCCATAATGCAACGCGCGGTTACGCCAAGTCCACTCAAGCCGGAAACGGGCGCCTAAGAGCTGCACTCTAAAAAGTTGTATAAAAGAAGCTTAACAAAATACGTTGCGAAGTGTGGCAACAAGTTTGTTTAATTGAAGAAAGCATTGCCATATTGTTTTCCAGTGAATTTCGTTCTTGTATTGCTCGAGGGAAAATAGGAGGATTAGAAAGCATTGCACTTAAATCTGTATTGCTCGATTGATCTGGTGAGATTATAATTCTGGATGAAAAGGAGATATTACTAATATTTAATTTTCCACAGAAGGATGGAGTACAAATATTTTCTTATAGCTATAATTTCCCTTGCTTCCAACGTCTGAATGTCTGCTCGTTTAAGCAAGTGCGACACAGATATGCGCTTTCTGAATTCATTAAGGTTCTCGAACACTCGGCATAAAAGCAGACATCGAGCCGTTCCCCAACCTCCCAGCTTCTACTGATTTTCTCTCGCACTCTTCTCTCTCCCAAAGTGAGTGGGTCTCTGCAATACCTTCTCAACCACAAGGCTGTACTGCCAAGTTACTCCAGCTACTCTACGCAGAAAAAAGGGGGACTTCCTTCTTCTTCGAATATAAAGGAGGAATTGAGGGACAGTTCTCTCCTCCTCGTCTGCTTCTTCGGGTCTTAAGGGGAGTGGTTGTTCCAGCTTCCGAGGCAAGAGATTGCATGGAGAGGACGCTTGACCTCGACGGCTGGCCGCTGCGTTTTCCTCGAGGGCCAAAGCTACAGGGTGGAGCTCTCTACGGTGCTGCTAACCAGTGCCGAACGCACCCGGGACACCCTGCTGCACGAGCTGTGCCACGCGGCCGCCTGGTGTGTCCAGCGCTCGAAAGGCGGCCATGGCCACGCATGGCGCTTCTGGTAAGCCCCTCTCCCAACCATTTTTCTGCCCATGAGGCAGTGAAAGTGGGGTTCTTAAAGTGTGTCTCTGACTGACATGCTTAGCGCCCAATTGCGACAGAACGCGGAGAGGGGGGGGATCTTGCTTGCCACCCTCACCAGCGTCACACCCTCATCTCCCGAATAGTTCTGCCACCTCTGTTGGCATCCCATTCCGCCCACGCGTCGAAAGTGGTCCCGATGCGGCAACAAACGTCACAAACGCCCGAGCACTGTGCCGTCGAACGTCGCAATCCCGGCGGTTGGACGTAGAAGTCCCGGCAGAAAGTATGAGTGAGCGCTAGTGTCGATATTGGTGCGGCGTCCCTACTCTCGGCTGCCAAAGCTTCCATGGACTGTCAAGCCGGAGAGCAACCTATGGCAGAATGGGTGTTTGGCATGTCCACCACCACTACTGCAACATCGCCAGAGTCGCAGCCGGCGACTTCGTCGAGCGCAAATTGGGGACTACTTTTTCGGACGCAGTAAACGCACCAGTCGGAGAAGCTTTCCAGGCACCGTGGCGAAAGTGCAGTGGGCTTCGCCGAGACGTAGCTGCCGGCAGGACGTGTGTTGCAACCACTTAGAGTCGAAGGCAGATAGCGTGTTGCCCCGAACGGCTTCCTGGCTCCGAGAAAGAAAAGGTGCTCGAATGACGCCAAATTTAACCGTTGGGTTAGGCGGGTGAACGTACGAGAATACAAGTGGCATTGCATGCCAACTTCCTTTACTCGTCCTTGTCCATAAGAACGCTGTGTGTGTTCTCACTATACACTTAGATAAAGGTTAAATACGAGTGGAAGAGCTAGATGGCCTCGTAGAAACCACGTTGGCCATTTTCTTTGGGCGTGCCACGTCTCGGGATGCTGGCAGACTGCGAGAGAACTTCCTCTTTTGGGTCGACGTGCCCAAATGTCGGGATCACTCCAAAATCAAAGCCCGTCCCGCAACATAGATATTGCGATAAAAAGGTGTCCATGCACGTCTTCTGGAGTTCGCTGTCCTTTTAACCCTTTAAGTGCAGAGCTTTCTGTTTTGTGTTTTTTCCGCACGTCAAACAGAAATTTTGGTCCCATGCCTCCAGTATATTTATATAGTATAAAATATAGTAGGTCCCAATCTAGTATATTTAGGTGAACGCCTTACTTGTTCCATTGCATGAAAAAGCAGCGTTGTTGTGCCTGAAAGATGGCCATGAAAATGTCATCAAGCACGCGCTGCTCAATCGTATGCTTAAGGACGACGCCGTCCTTCAGGTCGTCCTCTGTTCTTGAGGTCGTGCTAGACGTCTTGCTTGACATCGTCCTAGAGGTCGTTCCAGACGCCGTCCAACATGCCGTTGTCGTTGAGGTCGTCCTAGACGCCGTATTTGCCGTTGATCTCTAGGACGTCGTCCTAAACTTTAATATGTGTAGAAACATTACTCGAAAACATTGCTCCCACAGGACTATAATGCTTTCGCCTTCCTATACGTAAGCAGTCTTAAGTGTCCTTCTGTAATTTTTTTTCTCTAATTATACTTTTCGAGACACGATACTTCGCAAAGCTGGCCTCACACCCTAGGGTTACTCTTTCCGGGCTTTTTTACTTAGTTTATTACTGAATTAGTTTATTACTAATTTCTAGAATCCGGGTGCTCTCCATAAAGCGCAAGGTTGAGCGACATAGATTTGCCTTTTCGGAACAATGAGGGTGCAAACAGAGACGGAAGTGCCCTAAACAAAAGTTTCCACGTGTTCTCAAGAGGCGCTATTACGAGAGAAAACATTGCTCTACAGGTAAAAATAAATCCAACAGCCCAGTTGAGAGGATGGGGAAAAAATCAATGTGACTTCTCATTTCAGGACGGACCAAGCCAAGCAACGATTCCCCAAGCTGCCAACCGTTTCCACATGTCATAGCTATAAGGTGCAGCGCACTCTTTTCACATGACACTTTCACCGTGACAAAGCACTTTCTTGTGCTATGTTGTCGCGGCTGTCGTAGTTTCCACACAGCTGCAAAAGCATTGCATCTTTTTCGCGCGAGCTCTCGTGCGAAGGAGATTCCAATTGAAGCCATGTGCTTGAACAAGTAACCAACTTTCGAGCACGGCAGAAGCTACTCCAGCCTTTGTCAGTGTGGCACAAAAAAGATGACGCTGAGTATGCCACTGGCAAGTTCACAGAACTTGCCGGTGGCATTTTTAGATTTTATTTGTTTATATGAATACTTTAGGCCATGACCTAATGTGATAACTAGAATTGAAATGACACCGCCCCGCCAACATGCTGGCATTTTTAATGAAACGAGAGCAAGTACACTGTTGTCCTTGTTGCTCAATTCACTCAGGAATTAACCAAGCTCAACACGTCTTATGGCACACCGTGCATTCACAAGGGCGCCCATTAAACCAGGTACCGCAAGGCGGCCATGCAGTTGCCTCGCCTCAGACATGATCAAGTGGTTGTGTCGCCGCGGGGTCGATCGGGATTTCGAATTCGGCTCCCGACGTGCCGCTTTCTCTCCTAGCCACTGGATGGCGCTGCAGGCACCCCATGGTGGGCGAGGAGAAACCTCCTCGCCCATCAATCGAGATATACTCGGGGCTAAGGGGGAGAATAGGCTTTTTAGGACTTCGGGAGGCCACCGACACGAGGCAAGTGTGTGGCGACCGGATAAGCGCGGGACACGAGGCCTGGGCCCCTCTTTGTGTTTAGGTTTGGCTTAACGTGTGTTTGTAAATATTTGTGTAATGTTGCGTTTATTTGTAGTTTAGATTGAGTGTTTTGTAGCGTTGTGATTTATGTACCAATAAAAGGGGAGCGGAATTCTGCTCCCGTGAAAGAACCCGGTTGGACTTGTGTTGTTGACGGACCATGTGGGAAATGGCGAATCGGCCGGGGTACGCAAATTCCTACAGTCTCTAAAAAAACAATCAGTTAATTTGACAGTTCTTGCTTTTTTGCGATTTTTATAACAACACTCGAACAAATACTTGTCTTTTAATGGAGATATCTTTTGAAGGAGAGAATCCCGAGCTCGTGGCTTCATCTTTGGCAGTTGCTCCGGCTGATCGAGAGCTCGCGCAACCGAGATGCATCCTTCAACGAATAGCTCGTGCTTGTAGCCTAGTAAGGGAAATGTTGTACATTACAAAAAGCTTGGAAGCAAGAAATAAAGCGAAACGAAGTGCAAATGTACACAGTTAACTATAAACTATGTGAATATATTAAAAGAGCAGAGCTACTTTTCGAGCAGAAATGAACCGGCGTGATTACATCGATGAAGCATGCCATTTCAAGCGCTCAAGACATGGGAACCGAAACTCGCAGCCCGTTGCCTGCGAGTTGCGCCCCAGCGAGCCCGCAGGCAACCAGACAAACATGCGGCCTGCAGGCCGTGTGTTTGAGATCCCGGGACTAGCACATTATTTAAATGTGCTAGTCCCGGGATCTCAAATTATTTAAATTTATTTAAATAATTTGGATTATTTAAATCAATAATCGGAAGGTTCTAAAATTCGTATGCATCTACACTAATGATCTGGCAGTGTCGCGGTGGCCCGATATTAGTTTTGTCGCGAAAAAACAATCTTTTGGCGTAATATTGACACAAATTCCTTACATTTTGGTAAGCGAGGAATTAGTGAGGCATCACTACGGTGCAGTCCCCCTCTTAAAAGGTATCTTGTCTTATTTTTTTAATTTAGTCGAAGCCGATTGCTTTGTGTTTTTAGGCTTCTGCTGACTTGTGTAATGTGGTCTACTCTGGAATGTCTGCTTTTGTGAACTGCTGACAAATGCTTTAGGGCCTTGGTGCATTGTTCATGTTGCTATACATTGTTTGGGGAGTAGGGACCCCTTCAAGCAGAAGTGCCTTTTTTCCCTACCCCGCTATTCCAAAGAGAATACAAATAAAATTAGCATATGTTTCTGCAGGGGTATCACTCAGCTCATAAATTAACAACACAAGGTGTGACAATAAAAAAACATATTTTTTAAAAAAGAAAAAAGAAATGCCAAATTTTAAAAGCTTGTATCTTATTAAAAAATTATAAATAATTTCCAGAAATTATTAGTGGGAAAATGGCAGCCGGCTCTCTAATACATGGAGCTGAAAGGCGCCAGTTACCAAAAACGGGCCCCATTTTCCCATTGAAACTTTCAAAAAATCGCCTGTAACTTTTGACCGAGGCAATTGTTAGTTCCGAAACTTTGGTATCCGGTTCGAACCGCCAGTGCTACGTTTGGCCGGAGAACGAGCGTTTGGCGACGCGTTGTTAATTTTTGCGGTGAAAATACCACATTTTTTTTTAGGGGGGGGGGACACGCTGTTCATCACTGGGAAGTGTGGTGCTGGCCGAGCATGCGAACACATTGCAGATCGAAGCACATGGAACGAAAACTCGCGTCCGCACAACCCAGGGATCCTACGTACGATCCCCGCCCCTGCCCGTTTCAATTTGGACGAGCATTGTGCCGGTAAAAACTCACGGCGAACAATTGAAGGCAAAACAGCATATCTCCTTTGAAATCAGGCATACAGCATACAGCTCAGTATCCGTTTCAGTAAAGAAAACCACGAAACAAGCATCAGAACCACATGATGGATGATAAGGCACGTGTGCACAATAGGAGCACCCTCCCATGCGTTCCGGTAAAGATTAGGTTTGCAGCTGCTTCGAAAGGGGTTGACGTCATTCGAAGCCCTCGCGTGAATTGCAAACTGCATAATGGATGATAACGGCGCCTGCAAACAATGCGAAGCATGTAGTGACATCACTAGCCTTTTATATATAAAAGAACCCGCCTATACCCCATTTTACCTTACAAACAGACGCAGCGGATGCTGCGAGCTATCTTAGCCAATCCCGTTCTGAGGACGTGACCCGTGATACGCTTTTCGCGCGTCACTGTGCCCCCTCTCTAAGGTCACGTCAGACTCTCACGTCCTCCGATGACTCGTAACATTCACTGTGCTTAAACGCAAGATGAAACGGAGTATAGCAACTGATTTCATTGTTGCTGCAGCGCCGCAATGAATAGGCCGCGCATAGTTAGGACTCCCGAGGAACAGTGTGAATACTAGGAGCGGCAAAGCGAAAAGAATTGGCAATACGACCAGCGGCGGCGGCATTTCGTATAGTGCAGTAGGCAATCGTCGCAGGTGATGCCACAGCTTCGCTGACCAACCACCTTCACCGCGTGGGTAGGAGCCCCAATTTTTAGAGCGCAACTCTTAGGCGCCCGTCTCAGACTTGAGCAGCGTCGCCGTCAACGTAACCGCGCGGTGCATTATGGGACGCGTGACGTCATCCTCATCGTCAGGTGCGACGTCATCACTGACGATGACGATGACATCGCGTAACCCCGGTTACGTTACGCGACTCCCGTGATTTCACAGTTACACCGACGCCGTTCGGAGGGCAAAGTAAATTCGGAGGGCGAAGTAGCACGCAGGAGGAGGGGTATATGCTCCCCTCAGTACCCTCCCCTCCTCCTCCTCAAGGGTTGTGCTCTAATTCGGTGTTACAGCGGGTTGTAAGCGGCTTTCATTTTTTTTGTTAGCGTTTTAACTAAGACATTCGCATGGTCGTGCTAAATTGTCACATGTTTGTAACTTGAAGAAAATGTGTTCTCTTTCTTGCACGAGTTGAAACGTGGGTGCACCAGTGTGCAAATAGCCCTTAAGTGCTTCCGGTTCCGAACTAGATGGCGGGTTTTGCAGCATTTGCAAGATTAAACCCACGCACAATCTTCAGTAAATGACTTGTAGCGCGCTCAGACGTAATTCACTTTTGTGGTGCGAGAATGATCCATAAAAAATTTGAAAATGCATGTGGGCCACAAGTGTGCCTAGACTGCCCTACAGACGGCACCACAGAGTCTGTTGCCAAATGAAAAAGGGGGAATAAGCATTTCTTCCTCGTCACACCTTTTAGGCACTGCGACGTAACCCGAACAAATTAACGAGTGAAATGCAGTAATGACTCGAGAAATTTTCTGTACTCTTCTCTATGAACATCTAAATCACACAATGCAACTTGCATTAAAAAAAAAAAAAAAAAAATTTGCATTGAAATTTGGAGTGAGAGAAAAAGAGTAATCCAGCATGGCAGACACGAGCCTCATTACCCACATTTTATTTTCAATGCAATCCAGTAGCCGTGCACTGACACAGCTAGAACTTTCCTTTCTCATTGTGGCCGTATTACTGTAACCCTACTGCCATAGTCTTTTTGGACATCGCATGATTTTCACAAATGCAGGCTGTGCAAGTTAGTCATCTCCAATTTCGATGACTCAACATCATTACACTGACAACTAATCGGAAATGTGCAGAAGGCATCCCTATATCAGATATTTGGTGATACAGTTGAATCTCGTTAATTTGTACTTAAGGGGGACCGAAAGTCTGAATTACAAAGACTTTCCTCCCATAGACAGACATAGCATGGGACCTGCATGTTAGTTAAGAGAGGTTGAATTATTGAGACTTGACTGTACTCAGAACAGGACTTTTGTACCCTCTCTAGTCTCCATATAGGCTTTAAGGGATCGCTAACACAGCAGAGCTGGGAATAACTTCTTTCCATCACCCCTGGTGACATTTAGTGACCGTCGCGGAACAAATACTATCCGAGACACCGATCTCGACGGGAGCAACCCCCAAAGAGGGAATGCGACTCCAATCCAGACATTTATTAGGCGCCAGAGTGCACAAAGAGTGGTCCCCTCGGGAGTGGGGCTAGGCAGTTCAAAAGAAACAGGCAGGTATATATACAGCGTGCGGAGTCGTCGGGGGAGGTCCTCAGTCTAAGTCCATCTTGTCCGTGTGCTCTTCGGACTCAATCGACTCCGACTCCGAGGGCGTGGGAGGCTCGGTGGTCGGCGGCTGCTGCGGACTGCCCTGGGATGAGGCCTGCGGCTCCGGCTTGGATCTGCTCGTGGTGGCCAGCAGGGCATCCAGCGCCTGCGCCTCCTCCCGGAACCGCGACGCCAGCACCGGGGGGTCCACGTGCTGGGGCGCCTTGGAGAGAGCGCCCATGGCGTTGTCGAACCACGCCTGGCGTTCCTCCACCCCCTTTGCGAGTGCCTTGAAGGCCTCCTCCTGCGCGCGGGGCCCCGCCTCTGCCAGCGCCTTGCGCGCCCTCTGGAGGCTGGCCCCCATCGCCTCCACCGCCAGGGGGCGCTCCTCGAACTCACGACAGCGCGCCCTGATGGGCTGGCCGAACTTGCGCAGGCTCTCCAGCTTCTCGATGTACTGGCCCTTGGCCACCTCCTCGCCGTCGGCGTACAGCCACGACTCTGTCTCGTTGAGGGCTGCCAGGAAGGCCTCCCTTTCGGAGGGCACCACGAACGGCTGGTAGCGGTCCGACAGGTGGTCCCGCATCTCGTACACGTACTCCTCCACCGCATTCTTGGCATCCACCCGCTCCTTTTCCATGCGGTCCGTGTGCACCATTTGGACCTCGCGCTCCACAAGCTGGTCCAGCTCAGAGGCGCTCAGCTGCGGCACCCGGGCCTCCACCGGAAGCTCTATGGCCTTGGCCTGCTTCTCCTGCGAAGAGGGAAGGGGTTGTCAGGTGGGGGATGGGGAGGGGGCGGCGGGGGAGGGCGTACTTTTGGGCTGGGCCGCTCCTCCTTCTTGACTGGCTCGCCCTCGGCCACCTTGTCGGGGTCTCCTCCCTCGGTTGGGGGTGCCTGGGGACACAAGGGGGGTGACCCCTTCAGCGCTGCTGCCAAGGGGAGAGGGGGTACGGTGCCTGGAACGCATCTCTGACCGGTGCGTTTAGCGTCCTATCCCGCCCGTACATCCAAGGTTGGCATCATGGACGGCGTGACACTCGGACGTAGACGCGTTCCAGGCACCGTACGGGGGAGCAGGGGGACAAGAGACTCACCTCTTCGTTACTCGCCGCCCCCGCCGCCGCTAGGTCGCCACCGTTTGCACACCCGGCACTTGCCTGTCGACCGTCGGGCTTGCGGTCCACGGCCGAGGCGGACACCACAGAGAAAATGCCGTGCAGGTTGAGGCGCACTTTCACCTTGATCTTGGACGCCTCGCCCTCGGCCGCGGGGACAACCTTGTCCACCGTGAAGCTGCCCAGCTGCAGGTCCGGGTGGGGCACCGCAGCCTCCTTCGGGTACCTGCGTCCCACGGAACCCGCTCAGTCCCGGCTGTTCCCCCGACGCCATTAACGGCACAGAGGCCGTGCACAAAAAATGCGTACCACAATGCCATCCGAGATGACTGCTATCAAGTTTGCCAGTCGTACTCCACACCTTAAACACTCTTTACAACAACAATGCCAATACAAATGGAGAAATATTTTACGGTGTTTGTCTTCTCCGTCTATGTCTCAAATAGCGGGCAGGCTCTTTAAATTGACCGCAAAATTCGGTTTCTTAACCTATTGTGCTGCGATTTCGTGCAGTGGTTCCCACAGGCGGTGCATTCTTTTATCAAATTTGCAAAGAGCGAACTTGCTTGCGAAGAAAGTAAAAAAAAGAAAAAGGCTTAACTCCTATGGAAGCACAGTGAAGCCACCAGTCTTCAAACAATATAGAACCCTATAGTTTGAGGACCGGTGGCTTCGCTGGGTTTTCATAGGAGTTAAGCCTTTTTCTTTTTTACTTCTCCTCAAGTAAGTTAGCTCTTTGCAGATTTAAAAAAAAAAAAAAAAACGCCACCTGTGGGAAATGCCGCACAAAATCGTAGCACAATAGGTTAAGAAACCGAATTTTGCGGTCAATTTAAAGAGCTTGCCGCTACTTAAGACAGCCAGTACTAGCCCAATCACCGGCATTATTCTTGGGGACAACTTTCTACAACATTTTAGAGGTGTGAGCGTGCAGAGCTTTGATCAAAATTTACGGTGCTGCAGCATTCATAGCTTTGACAGCATAGCCACAGAAGTTACCCACTTAAATATAAGTCCACTTGCAGCTTGACCAGTTCACACCAGATCCGTAATCCAGCTGCAGGTGGACCAATTTTCACCTGGGGCCTAGTCTGCTCGTCATCTGCCACAACGGTCAAGAACCAACAGAGATTGCAGGGGTGTCCCACCTGGCCTCGAGGTTGAAGGGCTTGCTCCGGTAGAAGGTGAGCATCTTGCTGAAGGGCAGCTGGTGCCAGCGAGGGAACACTTCTGCCCGGCCATCCTCTCCCTTGCCCGGGTCGTAGCACAGCTCGATGGGGTAGGGCTGGGCGTCCACAACCGCAAAGTCCCGCACCTTGAAGATGGGCGACAGCATGGCACACTGCAGGGCGCAGCCCCGGGCCACCGCCTCATCCTGGTTCAGTGTCGTCGAGGGCTCCCGTTGGAACACCTTGCGGACCAGCTGCTTGACTGCCGGCACCCGGGTGCCGCCCCCGACCAGCTCCACGGACTCTACGTCCGTCGGCCGCAGCCCGGCCTCTGTCAGCGCCTTTGCCATGGTGCGCTCGGCACGAGCTAGCAGCTCGGCGGACATGGCCTCGAAGGTCTCCCGCTTCATCTTGCCCGCAACGTCCCGGTCGTTCATGAAGCACTCGATGTTGAGCGGCAGGTCGTGCGGGTTGGCACTCATCTGCTTCTTGAGCTTCTCGCACTCGGTGATGAGGCGCATGAGGGCACGCCGGTTGGTGGCCACGTCCAGCTTGTAGCGCTCCTTGAACTCCTGGACGAAGTAGCGCACCAGCACCATGTCAAAGTCGCGGCCCCCAACTCCATCGAAGGTGGTGGCCAGCATCTTGAGCCGGTCCTTGTTGAAGGCCACCAGCGCCACCTGGAGCGCCGAGTGGCCCATGTCCACGAAGGCCACCACGCGCGGTTTGTCCTCGGGGAGGTCGTTCTTGTAGAAGCCGAAGCTGAGCGCCACGGCCGTCGTCTCGTTCATCAGGCGCAGGCAGTTGAGGCCCGCGATCTGGGTGGCGTCTAGGAGGGCGCGCCGCTCGGCGTCCGTGAAGAAGTGCGGCACCGACACCACGCAGTCGTTCACCTTGATCCGCAGAGCAGTCTCGGCCACCTCCTTGAGCTTGGTGAACAGCATGGCCGTCACCTGGGCCACCGAGAACGTCTGATCCTCTTCCAGGTAGCGGACCTTGACGCCCACGCGCCCGCCGCCCAAGTCCACCAGCGTGTAGGGCAGGAACGTCGACTCGTGCTTGACCTGTGGGTCGTGGATCTTGCGGCCCTGCAGCCGCTTGAACCCGAAGATGGTGTTTTTCAGGTTCGTCACCTGCTTGTTCTTGGCCGAGACGCCCAGGTCCCGGGTCTTGTCGCCGAACGCCACATACGACCTGCGCGGGACGGCGCGAGGGACTCGTTAGAGATCCGCTGCTGGGGGAGCCGCGGCTACGCTGAGAACCCAAGCCCCAGCGTCCCAGCCTCGTCGGGCCGGGAACACGCGGCCCGAAGGCCCGACGCGCGTAGGTAGGCCGGGGCGGCTGGCACCGGAGGCCTACCGCCGCTCGACGACGGTCCCTCGAATGAATGAAAGTGGGGGTAAACGAGGCCCGCGGTGTGTCCGGAGAATTCCTCCGGAGTTGGGTCGCCTCTGGGGCGGACCTCGGGAGTTGGACATGTGGCAAGGGATACTCACGGCGTCACCCGCTGGCTGTACTCGTTGGCGATGGTCTCGATGCCTCCGGCGCGAGCCACCGCGATGTAGCAGTTCTCATTGCCGAAGTCGAACCCGATCACGGACATGGCTGGGCCGCTGAGAGACTTTTCGGCGCACTGGCGGAACTGTGCTAGCGACACGCTTCGATACGACAAGAAAGGAGCTCGCTCGCTCGGCTACTCAGCCCTGCTTTTCGAGAACTTTCTTCAGCACCGGTATCTTGCCCTCACTCGCAACGCCGGTTGGAACTGACGTCATCGAATGAAGCAAGCGGGGAAGGGAAGCCGGGAAGTCCTTGGACCAATCAGAGGCAACCGAGAGCAATTTCCAAACTGCTGTCAGTACGACGATGATGATAGCAGTACAGAAGCTGCTAGAACATTCTAGTAGTTCATGTCAATTTTGTTCTATTCACTGTTCTATTAAGTATCGCCGTTATCAGTAGTAAAAAAACGGTTAAAGTGCAGGCGAGCTGGTGGATATTTACCATGATGGAACTTAACCCGAGACTGGAGTAGAAACAGAAACTTAAAAGTAGAAGGGACAGAGACAAGTGAAGAAGAGAACGTCTCAAAAAGAGACGTTCTCTTCTTCATTTGTCTCTGTCCCTTCTACTTTTAAATTATCAGTAGATTATTATTTTAGGAGATCCTATTCCGATTTTCACAGAAGCATTTTATCCAAGCCAACTATAATTGCAATTTTTGGCTGAGTCAACTGAGTATTTCCCTAGTGGTCTTTTTGAATAATCGTAGGTTCGAAAACTTTTAAATTTGCCTTAAAATATGTAAATTAAATCCAAAAGTTTTCCGTTTTATGGTTTTGTAATGGCGCTTTCGACGAACGCGCTAGAAGAGTCCTTACGGTTATTCTCGGCATACAAGCAACGGGTCTTTCGAGCAAATGTTCTGTCACGGTGCCACTATCCTGATCAACTAGCCGCCGAGAATCGCTCAGCTGGCTCAGCCGCTCAGCTGCGTTTACGGCGAAAGCGACAACGGATGTAACATCGGGGGAAGCCAGAAGGAGCCAAGTTATAATGGTACGAGCATTTATCAGTCGTTCGCTCAATATTTGCGTATCTTGTTTTTCCTGCACATTAACCCGCTTCGATGCCGTTTAGACATTTAGGCCTAGCGATCCCGTTTCTGTCCGATTTTCGGTGCCCGCTGAGGAAAAGCTCTTGCCGTTCTTCGCCTCGTAGCTACGATTGTTTGACACACGGAGTTTCGTAGTATTTCCTGACCCCTCCTGTACCGCGGCCTGGAATGCGTCGCTGCGTGAACCTGTAGGCGATGATCTCCAACGAGCTGCTATGCTTAGACGACGACACTCCGACATGGTAACTTATTCCTGTCATCCGCAATCAAAATCAAATGAAGAAAAAAAACAAAAAAAAAACAACGGGGAACAGTGATATCATCGCAGTTGCCAAATATAATCCGGGCGGCATTTCACCAGTCGCGTCACTAGTCAGTCGCGGCAGTGTCTGGAGCCAAGTATCGATCTTGTCGCTCTACGTTCGTGGTTTCAACTCCGCAGGTGCCAGACCTTTTGGTCGTATTAATTTGACGAGCATTCCGAGCCCAGGACTTTTGTCTATGCCCAACGGCTTCGAAGCTGTCGGCTTAGTAGCACCGATCTGACGCGTGTGTCCCGTCTAGATGCGAACACCGAGCTGACCGAGCGTACGTTGGATGGATAGCCCAGGCGTGGACGCGAGCCCGTGGTTACGTGACTAACGTCGTGATGTATCAGCGCGGCCCTGTCGCGGGCGCCAGCTGCTGCTTGTCGGGCTTCTTCCAGGGCCTGCTGCGAGACGCGTTTGCCGTAACGCAGTCCCGCGTTTAGATGACTTCCTTAGCTGTTCCATCCCCGCGGCCTCTCTCACCTTTCAGCCTCTCTGCGTCTGGTGAGGTCTTGCAGATTCATCCTAGCAAAAGAAGTCTCGTCCCACGTACTTGTATTTCTGAGGACAACGTCTCTTTGCTCGGAACTGCAACTCGAACGAATGTTAGAAATTTGAAAGTTCTCCTTCCCGAGAATCCCCGCACAGAGGCCGATTCATACGTTTGCATTCTCTCGTTGAGTGTGTTGCGTTTCGTTGTAATCAATTAACACACTGGTACCACCTGATGAGTAAGAACATTTTTGGCTCTTGTATAAAACTAAAGGTTTACAGTATTTGCGAGGTCGAACCTACACGTTATCAACGAGAAAAGGTTGCACGTAACATTGTCAAAATTATTTCGAGCCCACAGCAAATGAATGATGCCTAAAATAATTATAAAACTATATACACAAGTTGGGAGTGTTCAAGAGCTGCCCGATAGACTATGGCAGTGTGTTAAGTAGAGAGTCTCTGTTTCGGAGCGACTGCTTCACCGGGGCCACGTTTGCAATACAAGCTGCGGGGAGATGACGGGAGCGTAGATTGTCTGCAAACGTCCGAGCCTTCCCACTTGTGTTCCTCCGTGCCACCCGACGACGCAGCGCCTGTGCACTTGCGACCATTCGCCGCAGCAGGCGTCCACCATTAAGGTGCAAACACTTCCCATAATTTGGGGTGGACCCTTTCTACAATCTCGGCTCTCTAGCGGTTATGAGAGAACGCAAATGCGCGATCCGGCCTCTAGGATACAGACCGGCAAACACGGTCCGCGCCTCTAAGCGGTCCGGTAACGAGCAGTGCCGCTCCCATCGCAGGGCCTGGGCCCCGACGATGGAAACTGAGCGGCTGGTGGGCACCAGACCACCGGGCCAAGTGGGCAATGAGCAGGCCAGGCGCCACGTGGCGCCCCAGGAACCGCCGGGATACCAGGCACTGGGAAGGCTACCGGGCCCAGCCCTAGCCGGGAAACCCAAGGGACCTCTGAGCGCGGGCAGCAGCAGCAGCAGCAGCGACGAGGAGATGATCGACATCGCGAGCCGGCCGGGGGACGGTGCCCAGTCAAGAGCGTCCGGCGACAACATGGCTTCTTGCCGGATCACAGGTGAGCATCGACTGTGGACCCTAGAATCACGCAGAAATTGAGGGAGAGGAGGGGATTGGAGTGCACGGGGACACCGAGGAGCCGACTGAAACGATTAGTGGGTAGACGCAATGCTAGCTGCCTTTGTTTCTACTCACTGTTGGAAGGGCGAGTAGAGGCAAAGGCAACCAGCTCTGCTCGCACCCTTGTCTCCTCCTCTCCCTCTCTTTCTACCCTTATGGTCACTGACGTCGTGAAAGAGAAAAGCGCGTTGGGGGCCGGGCATTCGAAAGAGACAACCTGGCGTTCTCACTTTGTTGGCTACTTTTTTCTCTTTTTTTCAGCCAGTCGGTAAATGTTTTGTTAGCGTGTAAGGTCAGGGCTGCTCAATAAATGTCGTCTAGACTTTTCTTTTTTTTGCCAGCAAACTCGGTGGCGCCACCTAATTGGTAGCCCCGGCACACTTCCGGTCCGTGCATATTTCCTTGTTTTTATTAACGCATCAATCTTCCACCGTACGAGCGAGTTATGTCCGACGATGCTATAAGCAACAACTTCATGAAGATGGCGTGCAGTTTTGATCTTGCAGATACTGCAAAACCCGCCACCTTCTTTAGATCTAGAACCATTTAAGAGCTCTTTGCACAGTGGCTCCTGTGCGTTACAGCTCGCTCAAGAATGAGCGAATAGCCCGTCAACACCGGCTTTTTTTTTAAAGGAAGCGCATGTTCGGATGATGAAGGGCCTTGTCGGAACAATGGGCTCGTGCTCGCTTGTGGAATGTGTCCCCTCCAAAGATGGCGGTTGCATCGGTTTTCCACCGAGAGCTTCGTCCGAGAAGAAACGGGTTTATCGGAACTTGGGGTTTTAACTTGATTGGCCCGCTTTGTTTTATTTTATTGCATAGTTTTTCATTTTGTTTCTTTAACGAACCCATCAGCTCTTTTTTTGTTCTTCTTTTGCCATTGCATTAAAACGTCGGTTGCAAGTGGTGCTGGTCCGTGTCCACTGGGCTGTTTTATGCAGCTAGTCGATGCTTTAGCGGAATCTGTCTACCAGGAAAGGGGCGCTACCGGGCAATCAGGCAGCATGGTCAAAACGTGCGCCCTGGTGGACAGAGACGGCAGCAGGTAGAAGGCACTTATTGGAGTGATCTACAGTAAGTCGGAACAGTGGTTCATACAGTCGCATACAATTCACTTCTGTCATGGCTGAGAAATAGAGCAACATTGACCCATTGTTGCGAACTGAATAGGAAGGAGGCAACACTGACCCTGTGTTGGGACCGTTATCGAAAATAAGTAATGAAATAGCATTGCTCGTTAGTTTGTAAAAAAAAATAATGCATTATTGGAATTCCTTACCATCCTGCAGATGTAATGAAATATTGTTGCCGTTACCTTTGGAACTAACAAACATTACTGTTGTGCTACTTTAGAGGTTGATATTTTTTAGTAGCAGAGCCGCCGAACTTCGCAGGCAATTGAAGTTTTTCAGAGTGATATTTTAGTGTTTATTTTATTTTTATAAATCTTGTGGGAAAATATTTTTTTTAACCCCTTAAGTGCCACTTTTTCTTTAAGTGACCTAAAGGTGCCATATTTTTTCATTGAGCAGTTTTATTTCTCTAATATCACAGGTAGAATTTCAAAAGTTTATTACGGAAAAAGTAGTATATTTTTGTGTGCACGTGAACCTTGTTACAGTTGTGCGCATTCACGAAGCATCTTGAATTTACGCAGACGCGTTAAGCATCTTACATCCTCTGGGGTTGAGTGTAAAGAAAAGGCTGTAAATTAAGGCAGTCCTGTTGATGTTTTTGCATTAAGTACAGTACAGCCACCTGATTTGAGGTTGCAAACTGTGTGAAATGGCCGCCACCATCCAAATCGTTGTCGCCGTCGTCATCGAATTCTGAGTTCAGCAACAAAGTCATCCTTGTTTTCACTTGACGAACAAAACTCAACCTTCTTCCGAGTCACTCAAGCTTTCTTCAGTGTTCACTTTTCTTTTTCGCGATAACGTTCCGCATGCTCCGTTGGCTAGCGATACCATTCTTAAATTACTGTTGCCAGAGTATGTTCTCATTCATCCTGTCAACGGTGGCTATAAAAAAAAGACGCCAACTAAAACGAGTGCTGCCGTCTATGATCAGTGCCGCAAAACACTCGGACGAGCTGAGCTCGTCCTTGGCATTTTTGTTCTGACTGGTCACTGACCATAGCATTAAGCAATTGACTAGTTTTATGTTAGAATAAATCACTGGTTTCAACAAGAAGTCACCGCGCAGAGACAGATTAGTGAGTTTTAGAGAAGCATACGCAAAATAATATCCCTGTTGCCATGCGCTACTCCAAAATGCAGTTTGAGCTTGGCTGATGCACAGTGGCAACGGCACTATTTCTTTGTGTATGCAGAGCTTTTGCTTACATACTTCTAAAACTTGCTATTATCTCCTGTTGTGAGCACACGTTTGTGCCTCTTTTCAGGGTTCACACAATACGGCCTAGGGGGGTGCCACAAAGGAACCAGGGAACTTAAGAAAATTAACAGAACCCCGTCAAGAAAAAGAAAATGACTTATAAAGACAGAAGTAGGTTGGACAGGTGATAAGAAAATAACTTCCAAATTTCTTTTGGTAACTGGCACGGGAACAGTAACCTTCTCAGTGAAGTTTCAAAATGATGCCACGGAGAAGTCACCACTGTTTTCCCTTTTCAATGCAGTTTTTAGAGTGTAAAATTATTTGTTATTAAGCTAAAATTTACGAAAATTAGTAAAAAGTAACCTCTAACGTAATTGGATAGACAATACCGTAAAATAGTAACGAAAATAGTTTTCTCGTTAACCATTTAGAAATGTAGCGCGTATGTTAGTGCATTACTAAAAATAGTAACGCGTTACCAGTAACATTGTTACTTGTAATGTGTTACTTCCCACACTACAGTGACCTCACTTCATGTCTGCTGACCAGAGCTTTACAAAATTAATATGAAAAACACGAAAGAACAAGACCTCTAAGGACGAAGACAGACAGTACAGTTCTTCCAACTCGCAACCGTCATTTAATGAAGCCAAAGTCAATGCGTTAGCCCTTCTATTAAATCATTAAATGTCGGTTGCTAGTTAAAAGAAGTGTACTGTCTGTCTTTGTCCCCACATGTTTTATTCTTTTGTTTTTCAAATCATCTTTACTAATCCACTCCAAGTTAATTTTCACACAAAATTAATATGGTCTTTTTTTTTTTTTGCATCATATCAATCTTTCTTTTTTTTTTTTTTTTTTTTTTACAAATTTGGATTGATGGTAATGTTACATGCGAGTATTTTTGTAATTGGTCACCCTCGTTAGATGTTTATTCTGCCTCGATTGGAAGATGTGTGTAATTGTTTGTTTGTAAATAGTAGCATTGCGCAAATTGTGCTTTAAAACCAAGTGTCAATTTACCTCCGACCTTCTTAGTAAAAGGAAAGCCCCAATTGACCTTATGTGAAATTGCTTGGTGGTCTGAGAACACTGATAGCGTCTTCATTTTAATATTGGCAACCGTCGTCGGTACCGAAGCACAGTAGAGATATCATAGACAAATGTGCGGGCAGCGTGCTATAGCGCGGCAGGCTTCCAAGAGTTTTGTCAGACAGTTGTGGTAGGTTATTTAAACTCTTTGTCCACATTCCATGGCCGGAAGACAGAAAACAAAGCTGCCGCGCCATTGCACAATGCCCGTACAGTTGTCTCCAGTGCCTGTGTTTCGGCACCGACGACGCTTACCGACATTAATATGGCGACGCTCTGAGTTTTGTCAGACCACCAAGCGATTTCACATGAGGTCTATTGTTCACTTACGTTGCACCTGCCTACTCTGTCGGTTATGGACATTCCAGCTCTAGTAAATTTCCTTCAGAGTTCATGAATGTGTGAGGACTTTGGGCCATACCCACAATGGGGGTTTTGGTCATGTGTGACGCAGCAGCCGTGGTGGATCAGGATGTCGGTTGTGTGCTTGCTAACAGCATGCTCTTGCCTCTGGAGCTCTGCATGCACCTCTTTTGCACCCGTCTGCATGCTCGCGGCAAGAAGCGAAGGGGCTGCCACAGTCCGAACACCGTCAAACTTTTCGGCACTCGGGAGACGAACGCAGGTTTCCGCATGCAGTACAGTCGGACCGTGACAGTTGAGACACCCTGAGTCCCACAAAGTACCGAAGATTTTCCGTCTCAAGGCCTGGGCTTGAAATAGTTTGCGAACTTGGCTAACCCAGTTGCTTCTTCGTTGCTGTCTCGGAGAAGCATGGTGGAACTCTAAACGTTACGGGAATTTATAAAGCCGTCGAGCAGGTTTTGCACGCTACATATATTGAACTCCAGAGGTTTTTGTAACAACGGGGTTAGATTTCGGTTCGATTTTTTCCTCCAAATCTTTTTACCAACGACAAACTGTGTTTCTTTGTCCCTCTGCGTGACCAATAGTTAGCTAACAAAAGAGTATTTTTAATTTTTAAAAAAAGTGTCATTATATTAATGTAAACATAGTAGGTAACGGTTCGACTGTAAGCATGGCAGGTGTCCCGTCAGCGTTCAATTAAGTAAGTATTGACTCTTTGGAACAGTCATTACATACGTTAATTGGTCCTTATCTACCTCTTTAGCCACCTCGGTGTCTCCGAGGCAAGACACCAGCCTGCGGTTCTCCAGGTGGCAGGTTCGAATCCCGACCGAGGTCCCCGCAATCTGACATGGGCTCGTTGCGTGCACCCGAGATTTCGGTTGCGCGTCGAAAGATCACCAGGTGGTTGAAATTAACCTTCAGCCCTCTGCTGGTGTGCATCAGATGCCCTTCGTTGAACCCGCGAATTCGACCATCCACTTTTGGTTTGGACGTTCTAAACCTTGAATTCGGACCCGGTTGGTGAGCCGCAAAGTTGAGTGACGCCCGCCGCGGAGTGTGTCGAACTGTTCTCGCAGCCCCTTCACAGTGCACGGGGACAGGGACGATGCACCGGGGAGGGGGTGCGCAAGGGCTGCATGCCTCGGCACGGCATTTCATTGCAGGGGGTGCCACGGACACCGCTGGCAAATACACTAACCCTCTGTACGCCCAGGCCTTCGGGGACTCGAGTTGTGAATCGCTGGAGGCAGAGAATGCGCAGCTCACAGGTAACCGCGCTCGCTGCAACAAGCATGTTTTCGGTGGCACCTCGGTTGGTGTGTCGCAAAGTTACTGCCGATGCCACAGTCCTTAGATTAACTACTTATTGGCCTGGAAATTTCAGTGGTTTCGGTTCTAATAAATTTTGTCACCATAAGTTGTGCTGATCCATGTAGGAGTAAAGAAAAAAGTTAAGAAATAATTAAAAGACATTTTGATGATTTTTTTTTAAAGATGGCGTTCCCAGTCGTCCACTTTTTCTATGGGTTTGTGGAATTTAACGAAAGAGTAGACTCGTCCAACGACTTTTTCCACGGCGGCTTGTCCGGACCTACTTCCATCCGTTAGGTTCTCCGAGGAAGCTGATTTGGTTGACGCATAACGTCGGCAGCATGCCCGTGCGCCTCTGGCACTTCAATCTGTCCCTAGAAAAAATGATCTTATTGTGTGACAGAAATATTCCAGACCAGGTAATCTAAGCACCGTGCCAATACTTGTCGCTTATTCTTGTGAGATGTGCATGCTACATAGGCTTTGCAAGAGCTACCCATGTTCCTTCCCGCGTCGGCTCATTGTGTTGCTTTTCCATCCCTGCCGTCTCTCTTGAAGGAGAGAAAACAATGCTCGAGATTTTTGAGTGGTTTTTATTCAGCCTAGGGTATACCACATGGTCTGCTTGATACCTGATAGCTCTTATTGGTGTCATAGCTCTTGCGAGAGCTGTGTTTCCCTTGTCGTCACATCAGTCTCGCTCTGGTGCACCTTGGGGTGAATGAATGTATGAATGCCGCTATTGCAGTTTGGTGTATCAGCACTGGTAACTCTGTGATAAGTTAGCTGGAACGTCGCTTAAGCAACGTTCCACCGTCATATGAAGTGTGTACGTGGCTAGCACGTGACATCACCGCACCATATGCTTGCTGGTGGTCGTCCCTACTTGCTCTTGCCGAGAAAAGCAAGTTTGGTGCCATACGCTGCAGAAAATACGTGCTCAGCAGCAAGCCCAGCAAAGTGGCAGCTGATCCGATATCAGCAGTGGATAAAGCATCTTATCATCTGCCACCAAGTTTTGTCGGTGTGAAAGGAATCTGCCGAACACTCACTTTCAGCGTGTGCTGAGAGCAGCTAATAGAGAGTTTTAGTAGATCGTTCCGATACCTCCGATAACGATACTATGCATGCGCAAGGGAGGCGGTGGCGGAGTATCGGGTATCGTTATCGGAGTCATGGGAACGATCTACTAAAACTCTCTATTGCCTCCAGTGAATACTGCCTTCCGCGTTTTCTGCTTTCCTCGTTTTGGCGAGGTCAGCGGGAGCGGGCCACTTCCATCACTTGCCACGATGAGCAAAGGTGCACAAGGGCCGCGTCAAGACGGAAGCTAAAACCGCTATGTGTGCAAATGAAACGCGACTCTTTTTTTTTTTTTTTTATCATAGTTGGCGGGGGGGATGGGGGGGGGGGGGGGGGGGGACTTTTTGTGAGAAAGACGAAGACGTGCGTATACGAACGAAAACAAGGAAGAGGAAAGTGTGCGGGCCGCCCGAGGCCGTGGCGGCCCCCATCGGCGCCATGCACCAGCGCCAGGGATCTATCGGGCCTCAACAGGGCGACTCGTGCGCCGACCCCGGCCCGGAACCCGACCCGTACGGCGGGCCGGGTGTCGGGCCGGATTCGGGGTCGAGCACCTCTTCAAGCGGCGCCCTGGTGCTGCCGGCGCCCTACCCGTGTCGCCGCAGACCGCAAAAGGACTCCGGTGAGTCAACGGCCGACGCGTTGATGATAGCAGACGACGGTACAGCGCGCAGGTGCCAACGGCTCTGGTCGAACTCTTTTAAAAGTTGGGCGGGTGCTTGCGTCATCTAGCCAGTGGCTGACTGCATGGCCACTGACTAACTAATATCAGGCTGAGCAGGAAGACGTGAAATGCGCAGCTTTTTGGCATCAACACTGCTCCATTGGCTCCATTGGCTCCATTCCTCGTTTCTTCTTTTGGATCGGAAGAATGGACTGTCGTCTGACATCCACGCTGCGCGATGTTAACGCACGCACCGAGTGACAGCGTAGTACTCGGAAAGGATGAAATCCCTCCGTTATTGTTTCGCGGCGTTCGTGGACCTTGTGACGCAGCGTTCCATGTCGGCATGTGCCGCTTTGCAACCGAGTGGAAAGAGTAGCGCGCCTCTTGGCTTTTTTCTTCACGCGTAAACAGCGTATGACGACGCACAAATATGTGTATGCGGTGCAGGCTGCAGTCGTGGGGTAACTAAGGTGCCCCAGGAGCGAATGAGTAGTCTTTTTCTCTCTGGCGGGGCATTGCGTGTGGTTGCGGCGGTTACTACGGGGCACGCAGGCGAACGCGGAGCGAGCAGACGACCTTCGCCGATTGCGTCTGCTCAAAGCCACCTTGCTCGCTGCAAGTTCCTCCTCCCATCGCACCGCGTCAGCGATCGGTTGTCGATGCTCGTCGATTTCTCCCCCTGGAGTTGAAAGGAGGCACGCGACCGTTCCCTTCCACGAGATAACCGGCGGTCGCATCGGTGATTTCGGGGGCGGACGCGGAGATAACGGAGTGGATAGCCGATCAACTTGGGGGCGACTCGCCCGGTGTCCGCTCTCTGACGTGCCGGGGGAGTGAGCGCATGGATGCTCTGCAGCTGGCCGCGTTCGGCGGCAACGCCGAGGAGGGCCGCTGGAAGGACCCGCAGGATCACTTCGAGGACGGAACCCCGCTCGACGTAGGCTTCCGATGGCAAGGTACGCGCTCCTGCGATCGCTTCCTGACTACCGGCCCGACTCGCGTGCGTCGTCTGCTTCTGCCTCTGCTGGCTTTTTCTTTTCTTTTCCGATTTTTTTTTTTCGTTGAGTTAGATAGTTGACGTAAGCACGGGATGACGCCGTTAATAATAATTGGAGTTGTGGATATTTATACAGCGTGTAGTACTTGGTCAGCCATTTCAAAGCTGCGACGAGTCACTCGCTGTAAATGAGCAATTTAGCCACCGCAGTACAACCGCTAGCCTGGACCGCACGCCGGTATGATGCTCATCCAGATCGAAACGGGCAGGGGTGGAAATTGAACTCTGGGTTCTGCAGCGCGAGCTTTCGCTCGGATGACACCGTTAATGTGTGGTTTGTTTTTCGTTGGGTGTAATTTTAATAAATGTCTAGTTGGAGTTCATATCTCTGTCCTTGTTTATTGCGCGCTGCATCGCCCATTTGTGAGACAACTTTGCTTTTATTCGCGAATTTTTAACGAGAGAGAGAGAAGCTTGAGCACGCAGTTCGAACCCTTTGCCGGCTTCGGAAGTCGTGTAGCCTTCGGGTTTCGTTTTCATTTCGCCCTATCCGACGCAGAGGCGCGCGTGCCCGTGTGGGGGGTGATGACGTTGTGGTCACATGCGCCTCCGAGCTTCACAAACGCGCGAGGGGCGGTGTTGCTTGTGTTGCCTCCACTGAATCCACACGTGTAGCACGTGTGGATTCAGTGGTCCTCGCGTGCCTGGCACGGAATGCACAGCAGTGTGGGGGTGATTTGCCCCTGTTCCGTGCGTCTTCCCACGGCAGCCCGGCGTCGGATATGTTGAGGCCCCTATTACGTCAGCTACCCGATCATCCTGCTCTTGAAATTAGTAGCGCCCGAGTTTCGACGATTGCCGAGAACATGGTTGGCCCAATATGACTAACGCCCGCTGTCTTTCTTTTTTTTTTTTTAATTTATTGCGCCGTAATGGGCCATAGATGCGTCACCGCGAAGTTCGATTGATACCGCGGATAAGGTTGATGACATCTCGACACCTTTATCTACAATGTGATCGCTCGCTTTGCGTGGCACTGATAGGATGGTACTAGAGCTGCACTTAAGATGTGTCAAACGTGCACTTAAATATTGTAATGAGGGGAGAAAAAAGGGTAGACCAATAAATATTTCTTTCAAAACTATACTTCTAGTTCCTATAAAGTGGTCTTACGGCTACTGTCTTTTTTTAGAAATAAACATTTTTATTGTGTGGCTAACCTAGCAATAATGTTACAAAATTACGTGCATTCTTTACTCTTTAAATGGCTATAATAAACTAATTCTATGTCATACTAGCCTATTAGTTTTATTGTAAAGCTCAGTCTTTGGAAACGTGTCTGACATACCTACAACATAAGACGGTCTTGAGAAGTGCTGCTATGAGTCACATTCTGGCTGGGCGGGATGTACTTGAGCCAGTCTCTTCAAGTAGTTCAGTGACCGGTGTCATAAGATGCCTCATACAAAAACACTTCATCAACACATCTCATACCAACGCTGTTTTTATTTTTATCGTTCATATTGTTTGGATGAAAATTTTTGATGTTATTCACTGTCTGCACAAGGCCATCCTATGCAAACATGAGCCCTCTTTAATTTTGCTTGTTTGGAAATTACCTGCAAAAGAGTGACTTGTCATAGTTATAGATGTTATTAAGAACAAGTTTATATGGTTTCTCTCTTTGAGGGCTGAGAGAGGAGACCTTCCTGACTTTGTAAAACAAAATAATTAACATATCACGAGTGCATTCCCATCACTCAAGTTGTGCCTATCAGTGGCGCACCAGAGAAAACTTTAAAAACCTTAGTACTGGGAAAAAAGTGTCGCATACACGTTGTGTGTCATAGGCGTCCCTGACACTTTCCCCCGTCTAGAGCAAATTTTGAACTGGGAATATTCCCAGAGTATTTACATTCTTCACAAATAGCCGTATGGTCTAAACCGTCTTGCGGTATTATTAAACCATAGCCCTTAACTTTAAACATCATGTTAGTTACATCGTTTGGCATGTATACATTGTCATTCCTTCGTATTGGTGCTGAAAATGCTTCCTCATTTTAGCAGCTTTGGGACTTTTCAGAGTTTCAAATAGTAGTAGCCCTACTTAGAGCCCTGATGTGCAACGGCGAAACCTGAGCCTTGTGTAGAAAACAGGAAACTGTCTGGTGGAAGGGACGGAAAGAGAAAGAGACTTCATCTCAATCTCGGCCACAAGGTTCATGTCGTCCGCACCTCAAATGTGCCCTCTTTCCAAAATGGTCGCCAGCGTTTGTCACGACCTTGCAAAGACGACGTACATGATGTGGACAAAATAAACCTGGACCTAGACATTGTCTTTGCCCCCTTTAAAGGGATACTACAACGAAATTTCGGCGCTCATTTTTTGGTCTATATGTGTTCAAAAGAGCAGTATCACATGGAATATACCAATATCTTGTTAAAAAAGTCTCGAAAAGGAATTTTAAAACGAATTAAACGATTAACAAAGAGCACCTGGTGGATGTCGCTAACGCCTCGTTTGTAATGCTCGTCTAGGAACCTTGGCAGCTAGTGACGGAGGTTGTCTCGTCTCCGGCCACGACGAGAGAAGGGGGGAAGGAGGAACTCCCCTCTTCCTGAGAATCCCTTTTGTGTGTCGCAGAAGTCGCTATTGTCCCCCTAGAAGATTATAGAAGATTAACCCATCACTCAAAATTCGTACAAAAGCAGCCGCTGCAGTGGCTGGAACGACTAGGCCATCCTCTCAACGTCAGCCTCGCCGTAGCTTTGCTCGTCTTGAGACGACCTACGTCACGATTGCGTTGGATGTCACGTGCTCTAAGCTGGGCCTTCTCCGAGCGCTTGCCAGAGTGGACCGTTTATAACGAAAAATACAGCCACCAGGATCAAAATACAAACGTGTGATTGTCATTTATGGATATTGTGGATCATATTCAACCTATTTTTGAACACGACGGGAATATTTCAAATTTCGTTGAAGTATCCCTTTAAAAGCGAAAGCTTCATGAGAACCCTGCACAAACATTTGTTTGCCCATTTCGGTGTTGGTCCCGCCGTAGCAAGGCCATGGGAAAGACCGGGGCTTAGAATAAAGATTGAAATTATTTAAATCGTGATTTAAGTCTCAGTTTTTTTACTATGATAATATAAATCGAAACTTTCCTCGCAAAATTAATCCCGAAAATATTTTTCTTTGCCATTTGTTTCTCGTTTGATGCTTTCTGTGGGAATTTTATTTTATATATAAGTAAAAAAAATCGAGCAAGAAATATTTACTGTAATACTCCGAAAAATAGCCCACTTAAAATCGAGGAAAAAAAAATTGGGTGAAAATAACGAGTTGATTATTTTTGGTGTGCAAACGAGTAAAGCTGAGAAAGTGCTATTTTTAGATTGTGTTTCTGTCAGAGATGTTGTTGCGGCGAGGGGCAATCAAGCAAAGATGACCGTACCAAGGTCATTGTTATTTTGAGCACGGATTACTAGAAGTGGGCTATCTTTTGGTGTTTTAAAAAAGGTAGCAATTGGCGCCAAAAACAGATGCCCCACCTACCTTTCTGGAGGTAGGGCATCTCTTAGGATTTTACGGTATACCTGATAAATATGAGCGAAAGCCAGTGCTTTTCTGAGTAAATCAAAATGTTAAGCTTTTTTTCTACCTTTCACTTTGTTGGTCAGCTACATAATATGCTATTGCAAGCAAATCGTAATGCAAAAGAAAAAGTAAATAAATATTTTTTGCTTTAAAATGGTTCTAGCATGCTAGACCAATTTATAGTAATGCTTCTATATTGTCTTCAGTGATAGGACGGATTGACTCATGAATCTGATGTGTTTAAAAGTACATCTTGTAACAAGACTCGCTATTTCCTAGCGTCGTGCCCTGTATAAAAAAATAATAAAGTCAACAAGCACTCAAACAGTTTCAATTCGCCAAGGCAAAAGGAACATGCCTTTTTTTTTCTCGGCTCTTCCATCACTCTCTTTGTCATTCTTTCTCTCGGGACCATCGATGTTGGCGCTCGAATTTGTGACGTGCTCGCATCTTTACCGCTCCGGTGCCGCGGCCATGCAGCGTCGTCGGGCGGCCAGCAGCAGGAGCTGGAAGAGCAGCTCGGGCCAGGGGCACAGTACGAGGACTTCCACACCATCGACTGGCAGCGGGACCTGGCCAGGGACCGCATGTGGCACCGGTTGATTGTGAAGCGCCGGGGCCAGGGCGGCCTCTGGGAGACCCTGGTGGGCTTCAACGACGCCTGGTCGGGCTGGCTGTGTGTGCTGCTGGTGGGGCTGGCAGCCGGGGCCATAGCGGCGGTCATCGACATCGGGGCGCTCTGGATGAAGGACCTCAAGGAAGGCATCTGCCCGCAGGCCTTCTGGCTCAACAAGGAGCAGTGTTGCTGGGCCTCCAACGATACCTTCTTTAAGGGGGACGACTGCAAGCAGTGGTATCGGTGGGTGGCCCCTCTCATCTGCTGGGAGAGCCTCGGAGGCTCGCTTCACGGGGACGCTGAGCCCAGTAGAATGGTGAAGCGTGTAGAAGAGTCTAAATTTGGATGAGTTGGTGATACATTGCGAAACGACAACAACGCAAAGAGGAAAGAGTCCGAGAAATGTACACGCTAGGGGCCGACTCGCCCCTGTAGCCTGCACTTCCGAGCATCTTCCCGTCGCTCTCCTCGCACAGCCATTTTGTGCCGTGCCTCATTTTGGCAGATCTGCTATTCGTTGTGGAAAAAGCCCTCGTGGGGGTTCTATCCTTCGCTCGTGGATAGGGCACTAATGATAAGCCGTGAACGTGGGCCTGTTGGTGGTGCGCTGACGGGGTGTTGTTGTCGGACAGGTGGCCCGAGATGTTCGACAGCGGCATGGACAAGGACGGGGCGGGCTTTTACCTGCTCTCCTACCTGCTGTACGTCATGTGGAGTGTGCTCTTCGCCACCCTGGCCGTCATGCTCGTTCGCACCTTCGCGCCCTATGCCTGTGGATCTGGAATCCCAGAGGCGAGTGCTCCCGTCTCTAGCGTCTTTGTTCGTCCCCTTTTCGACAAATCCTCGATTTCTCAAAAAGCCCGAAGTGCGACACCTCAACTTTGCATTATTTTGTAGTTTGGACCATAGCTCCCTCAAAAACCTGGCAGGTGTGCCAAACGAGTAAGAAGGACTGTTTCAGCCTATATTGTCCATGATAGTATAGCGTGTCCCCCCAAAAATTTACGGAGTTTTTTTTTCAGTTCAAAAATAAGACTCGTGACCAACCGCTTGCCGTCTGCTAGTGGTCCAAACCAGACACCGAAGTTTCACAACTGACCGTTATCTTTTTCTAAGGTTACGAGTGATTTTTTGAAAAATTTATCCGAAATATGGGGCCCGTTTTCGGCAACTGGCACCATTCAGCTCCATGCATTTGAGGGCTCAGTCAGCTGCCATTTTCCCAATGAAAAATCTAGAAAATCGCTCTTAACTTTTGAATGAAATAACAGTTAGTTCAAAAGTTTGACATCTGGTTCGAACAGTTTCCGCTATATTGGGAATGCATCATTTATTTTTCTAATAAAAGAAGACTTGTAAATTTTTGGGGGAGAAGTGGTGGACTCCCTGTCCATTGCCTATGAGTGCTCACTTCGTGCCCTGCACACGCTCCAATGTTGCTCCTGCAACAAGGAGAGTTTGTAGAGCCACGAGCTGTTTATTCCACTCCAGGGATTCTGAAAGTTTTCTATCTTGAGGGATGCCAGTCTCTTTTGATAGATTGCCAAGGGAACCCCTACCGGTCTCGACGTTGCTGCAAGTAAAGTCAACCTTGCAAACAATGATCCGCACGATAGAGAAGGCTCAGCACATAGTCGCGGATTAATTGATGGCTCGGATCTTCTAAAATAGTTATTAAACCGAAAGGACACTTACTTGGGGACGAGCTCTGCGAAGGAGACTTTTGAGCTCAGGAAGAATCCAGCTTAAGAACTCGTGCTCTACCCTGTTTTTGTTACATGTTTTTTTGCATATCTGGCGCACGTCGTTGAGGCTATCTTCAGAACTATTTCTGTGCCTCATAGACAATTCTATCAAGTGTAGTTCGGCTCAACGGTTGGAGGTCTCCCAACGCCGCTGGCGTGTGCGTTTCAGATCAAGACGATTCTGAGCGGCTTCATCATCCGCGGCTACCTGGGCAAGTGGACACTGACCATCAAGTCAGTGTGTCTGGTGCTGGCTGTTGGGGCGGGCCTCAGCCTGGGCAAAGAGGGACCCCTGGTGCACGTGGCCTGCTGCATCGGGAACATCTTCTCCTACCTCTTCCCCAAGTACGGCAAGAACGAGGCCAAGAAGAGGGAGGCAAGTGGCACGTTTCCGTAGAGGTATTTCGTATCTTGCGGTGTACGAGTCGTGGTTCCAAATTTCCACTGGTGCGTCTTATCAATACCGTCTAGAAGACCAGGCCTGCGTATGACGTCATGAATTGTGGATGCCCGTCCCACCCCAAGCACGCTAAAGCTTGACAAGAGATGGCGCAAAGCGGCAGTCTTGTTTCCCTTGGCGTCGCTGCATGCTGGCGATGCGTCGATCCACTAGTGATGACGTTTGGGGGGGGGGAGGAGTGCCGAGAATTTTGAAACTGGCTTCCGCTTGTACTTATACATACAATGATCACGATGCACATTTGCGAACTTATCAATGCAGTTTCGCCGTGGCAACCATACAAAAAAGTGCCACTTATACATAGGGTGTGTATTTTCCGGTTTTAACCGAAAAACACCGATAAACATCCGTCGGTGACGAAAATATCAAATCGGTTAAAACCGAAAAACACCGGTGGTTGGATATCTTCGCCCTGGTAAAAACCGAAAAACACCGGTCGTTGCTAGTTTCCGACCTAGCGAAACCCTTTCCCCGTAGAGGTTCGTCAAACGTGTTATCTCGTGGATCCTGCATTCTTCCAGTGTTTATACATGGCTTGCAGGTGGCGTCAGTCCGCCCTCCATTCTGGGGGTCAAAAGCGTCGAGTGAACGCAGTGGAAGCTAAGCTCTCATACTCCTTTCCCCTATTGTGTCTCCCATGGCCCCCTTTTGTGGAAAAATTAACGCAGTGGAGGCCAGGCTCTCACCTGCCTTTTCCTCATTGTGTCTGGCCAAGTGATGTCGGTGCAAGCCATGTATTCAGAGGTTGCTGTGGTCCCTAGAAGACACTGCCAACGTCCGTGTCGTACAGGAGCGTGCGTTTTCATAATTTCGGGTTGCGAACCATAAGGAACGTGCTGCCATGACGGCAGCACGTTCCTTGCGTGTAGATGCAAGCATGAAAGTATGCTTGCATCTACTATAATAACCAAGTGTTAGAAATAGTTGCTTCCTAGAGAAGAAGTGTATGAACTATGTGAATAAAATTGAAACTCTCTGTCTGTGATCAATCGCTTTTTTTTTCACCGATATTCACCGATTTTAGCCTCGTCGTGAGACGTTCCACCGAAATACACCGGTGTTTTGAAAAAAAATAAACACCGAAAAACATCGCCGATTTTTCTCACAAATAAACACCGGAAAGTACACACCCTACTTATACAGCAGTGCAACTTATAGACCAGAATATATGGGTTTTTTGTTTTTTTTCCTTGCTGGGTTTTTAGTGGGGAGTGCCTCGGAAGATGGCACCTTCTCTGGAGAACCCAGTTTGTCTCGTGTTTAGGAGTTCACGACGGCTTCCCTCGCAGATCCTGTCGGCTGCCGCCGCCGCGGGAGTTTCTGTGGCCTTTGGGGCTCCCATCGGCGGTGTTCTCTTCAGCCTCGAAGAGGTGGGTGCATTCCCTTTGCTGCCGCTTTTTTGTACGGTCACCTAACACTTTCTCTAGCGTTGTTTGTAAAATGCCATTTTGGAGGTACCAAATTGCTTCTCCTGCTCTTTTTGTGTATCTTATTTGTTATCGCTGCTTCCCAATAGTCTAAGCCTGCCTGCATATTCTGGAATGCTTTTCCATCTCCTTTTCTTTACTCCATTGCTGGGGGTGGGGAGATGCACGATCAGTGTTGGTCAGCTTCCTCACTTTCCTCTTTACTTGCGGGAAGGAAACGAGGTGGAAAGCTGGTGTGCTCCCGGCCTTCTGTACCAGGCACACCGGTACATCCGTCAGCCTCATTTCATAGTCCCGGGAAAAGGAGAAATGCCACACATAACTGGAACAGAGGCAAGAGGGGGCCGGTTGTCCAGTCCCTGATTAGGATTGATGATCCGATGTTTGTCCGACAAATAGCGTCGGATGCCCAAATGCAAGAGGCCGGGAGCACCTCCAAGGGGGGCACCCCTTGGATGCAGACGGCAACATAGCACTCTCCCGTGGCAGGTGTCTCGCCCGTTAGTGCAACGGTTGCCGGCGCCTGTGGGAAACGCCTGGCGCAGATTACATGGGGGGGGGGCTTTGGATTGCACCCGTCACACGAGGGGGCGTCGGTCTCCCCAGGTGAGCTACTACTTCCCCTTGAAGACGCTGTGGCGTTCCTTCTTCTGCGCCCTGGTGGCGGCCTCGGTGCTGCGCTCCATCAACCCCTTCGGCAACGACCACCTGGTGATGTTCTACGTCGAGTACGACTTCCCCTGGCTCTTCTTTGAGCTCTTTCCGTTCGTGCTGCTCGGAGTGCTTGGGGTGAGTGCGCCACTTGTTGGGCCAGTGGTCTGTTGCATTATCTGGAAGAGTGTGGTGATATCGTGCAGGGTAGATATGATAAGGTTCGTCCTTTTGTTTCTCCACTCTCCAGGGTTAAAAAAAAGATGAATACTTTTGTGCTGCCTTTATTTAATTGTTTTTCTTTTTACTAAATTTTATTTGCGAGTGCACCTTGTTGAACCAACTGACCCAATTGTCCGCTCTGCCATTTTTGAGACCCTGCTACCCGGCGTAGACGTGTGGGGTTGGTGACGCCTTGCTGCGGCCTTGCGTTGCTAAGGAAAGCGGCTAAAAAGTGTGCATTCACGTTAATTCTTCGGTGGGAAATTCAGTTGAGGTGGATTCACGAAAGAGATGCCGAACTCCCAAGAAAATAAAACATTTTGGGGGGCGTGAATAGGACTTGTATGTCACAAATAAAAGCTCCCCCCCCCCCCCCCCCCAAAAAAAAAAGAAAAAACAAAGAGTGCAATGTTTAATAAAGCATACAGCGCACAAAGGCCTGTGCTGTCTTTGTGCGCTGTATGTTTAAATCATTGTGCCTTACCAACACTCCCAAGCTTACGTTTTGATCAATATTTATGTTGGGAGACACTTTTTGAGTTAAAATGCATTTTGAAATCTGCTTCTGTTTTGGACGTCAACCCCGAAAAATATGCTTGTTTTTGAATTGCTGAAATGAGTCTTGAAACAAAATGCTGCACTTTTTTTTTTTAGAAAGTTTATCTTGTGACATTTATGTGTCTTATCTGACCTTTTCTTTTTCAAATTCTTTTTGAAGATCAGTGTTTCTTTAACACTTTTGGCTGCCCATCACCTTGACAATTATCTTACCTTCTTCCACAGCTTTTTGTTATTTCTAACGTTACTGCAAGCTTCGATCCAACTTGTTCGAGCAGTGTTCTGATGCCACCACGTAATGCAGGCTACAGTGTCAAGTAGTAGAATATAGAGCACTTGGTCCAGTTATTCCAGCACGCTTTGTGAACGAAACCCACGCGCCTTCCCACAGAGTGTGCATATAGCTGTTCATTGTGGCTCTTACAAGGAACCATGCAAAAGACAAAGTAGACATAGCAATCTCCAATGATAGACCACCTGTGGTGCAACACTGGGTGTGACATCTCACGTGCCAGAACCCAGTGCAGATTGCATCTTTGTGTACACTGAGTAAAACTTTGTGTACTCAAATCTTACAGAACCGGAAAAAATGTCTGAATTATCCGAAAGTTGAAATGTGAAGTACAGCGAGCAGTGGTGTAGCCAGGGGGAGGCTTATGGAGCTGCAGCCCCCCCCCCCCCCCCCTCCCCTTCCCCCCTAAAAACATTCCTGGCTACGCCGCTGACACGGAGGAAGCAACGCAAAAATATTAGCTCTGTGACCTATCTTGATTTCATTACGATATATGTTGTGCTTGCCTTCTTTATAAACAAAATTTGTTGTGCTAATAGTAAGTGTTATTTATTTATTTATTTATTTCATTTTAGTTTGTTTAAACAATACATATTGTCTTGAGCGTCGTGAGAAAAGACCAGATGGTCCGACGAGGCCTCGATGCTGACAAGAAAGAGAAATATAACAATTCATGACTGTCATCAACTGAAAAAAAAAAAAAAAAAAACTCTTAAAACAAGTACAGTGTACATGTTTTGAAACCAGCATTTGCAAAACAGAACATGCACCTTTCGCAAGGCAACGAGCGAGTGCTGGAGGCTGGGCGTTCAAAAGCCACACCCTACCGCCCTCCTTCTGTCGGTCACTATAGCCTCGTCGTAGTTGCGTGAGTACCTACGATCTCGGTGCTGACGACGATGTGGCGGCTTGTGTGCAGGGCGTGGTGGCCACCATCTTCATCAAGTGCAACATCCGCTGGTGCAGGTACCGCAAGGAATCTCGCCTCGGGCAGTACCCCATTGCCGAGGTGAGGTCGGCCCGGTGGTCGGCCAAAAGGCCGCGTGCTCACGCCGCTTTTTGCAGGTGTTGGCCATCACTGTCATCACCGCGGTGGTCAGCTTTCCCAACGAGTACACGCGCATGAACACCAGCGACCTGATCAAGGTAGGCCCCCCAACTTGCTGTTTGTCGACGTAGCCGTGCCGGGTGTCCAGTGCTATGCTCGTGTAGAGCTCCTGCCGTCTAACGGAGAATATCCCAAAGTGCCATACGGTCACAGAGCCTTTCCGAATCTTCATGGCCAATGGCGTCTAAAGGCCATTTTATGCTACAGTGCTAGTTGAGCCTCGAACGAACGCAAAATGATTATGCACATCCGGTTGCCTGTGAGTGCAGGTGCTGTTCAGCCAGTGTGGCATCACGGACGTGTCCCCGCTGTGCGACTACAGGCGCAACTTCACCAATGTGAACAACCACATTGACGTCGCCGAGGCCGGGCCCGGCGTGTACACCTCCCTCTGGCAGCTCAGCCTAGCACTGGTCTTCAAGCTGCTCATCACCATCTTCACCTTCGGCATCAAGGTAGGTGCCGCCTGGCCGCCTCTCATTGGGCTCTGCATCGAAACTTAGGGACCCCTGTGTTTAGAAACGGAACAATACAATATGCGCTTGATCAGGATCTGTACCCATAGGCGCGCGATGGATCTGTCACAAATCTAAAGTGACAAAGATTTGCAGCTGGAGTCACTCGCAGTCAAAGATGAAAAGTAACAGGATTGAAACTGTCTGTCGGCACCAATCACAAAGGTCGTCCTGTTAGCAATACATGCTATGCAGCGTTTGTGCACATGCTTTCTGATTTGATGATGTTAAGAGAGACTAATTGCGTGCTTTTGCGAGAAGGAGGGCCCAGTTGAAGCGCGTTAAAGGGCGTTCTGGTTTGTTTCAGGTGCCGGCGGGTATCTTCATTCCGAGCATGGCCTTTGGAGCCATCATGGGACGCATGATTGGCATAGCCGTCGAACAGCTGGCCTAGTGAGTCTCTTCTACTCACCTTGCATGCGTGACACTGGATTGCAAAGATGTGTTTCTGATTGACAAGATTGATGGAGAAAGGAAGGCTCAGAGTTTCCCCGTAACCATCGAAAGCCTTCATGTGGCACAGCAGCTGAGGTTCTAAGATAAACGGAAGGAGTCGCTGCGATAGGCACGATTTTAGTGATGTGATTTGAAGAACAAGATGGCTACTTGTTTTATTTCTTAAAGGGAATCTAGGGATGCCAGTATCTGGGGTATATCGTTGCACTTGGATTACTGGCAATGTCATTAATGATGAGGATAAACTTGGGCGTGCTTTCTACGTCGTAGTGTTGCATGGCTCTTCTTTAGGAAGCCCAGTGGGTAATAGAGAAGCCCCGGTCGCTATAGCCGTATCATTAATGTGGCCCCTGTTAACATGGACACCTGCTACATAGACAATTTCGGGGACAAACTTGACAAACATGCATCTTTTCTAGCTATTACAGAGTACTCTCATTGCAGACAAATTTTTTGGGGTAAAATGAAGGTGTCCATAGTAACGAGACACTACCGTTTCGGGGACTTATGTTGGATCGTTATATCACCAATTGTAAACCAGCTACTTGCATAAAATAAGAACTCTCAATAAGCCATCCAATCAACATGCGCGAAGCCTAGGACGCAATATTTGGGGGCAGCCTCTCCATTCCCGGCACCTGGGCAGCGTTGTGTTTTGTACCATCGACGAAATCCCCTTGCACTTGGGTATGGTCTACAGTAAATGTCGGCTTAAGAAACATGGGGCTCGGCGAGCCCCATATATCTTGTAATCTGTCTGAAGCCAGGCGGATTCCGCCATTGGCCGGCAAGAACGCCGGAGAACGAATATGACACAAGAAGCGTGAACACGAGCCATGCCCTACAAAGGTTGACGAGCAGCCAGAAAGGAGGAAACTCTCAATTCCTCCATTCCATATGAGAGAGAGAGAATGAGTAGCTCAGAGGGCATGCTCCCGTGAGGAGAGGAGGGCAGAGTGGGGAAGAGGGAATGGAGAGAAGGAAACTGGGAACCATCTTCTGTCTGGCAGAAGACGATTCTGGCGGTTGGCCTTTCAGCTCTGTAATTATGGTTTGTTTCATTGTTGCCAATGTGTCTCACGGAGTTTGCTCGGTGCGGGCCTGTCTAGAAGTGAGTGCCGGGGATTCTTTTTCTGCGTGCAGCCAGTACCCGACGCTGTGGGTGTTCCAAGGGGCGTGCAACACGGGGGAGAACTGCGTCACCCCAGGCTTGTATGCGATGGTGGGGGCAGCAGCCTGCCTCGGGGGCGTGACCCGCATGACCGTCTCCCTGGTGGTCATCATGTTCGAGCTGACCGGCTCGGTGCGGTACATCGAGCCCCTCATGGCCGCCGTCATGGCCAGCAAGTGGGTGGGAGACGCCCTCGGCAAGGAGGGAATGTATCCTTCGGGCCCCTCGATGGCCGCGGCGACTTTTTTTATTTTGGTTGCGGGCGTGGTTGTTTTTTCTACAGTGTCGGCCTCGATAAGGGCTGTCCAAACTGGACACGGCGTGCCACGTTTTCTAAATTCGCGGCATGTGCTGTCCCAGAAGTGGAAGTTTTCAGAAGGTTTCTCTCTTTTTGGCAGAAAACATCCTTTGGGTTGGGGGCTTTTTTTCTTTGCCGGGGGGTAAGCTACCATTTACCCGCATCCTTGGACAGGGACCCGGAGCGTGCTTGTTGCATGGCTGCGGACAGCCACTTGCACGTTCTGCTTGCTGTCGTCGAGGCCTTTGTTGTTGCTGTCGGTCCCCAATCTTCCAAAAACAGGAAAGGGGAGGAGAGGGGAGGAAAGTCATTCTGTTTGCACGGTTGATGTCTAAACAGAAGACTGACGCGTGCGCCTCGGCTTTCGTTCTCTTGAGAGAAGTGTACTCTTTTTTTTGTCGCACGTGGCCTCTTCTGCGTCCTGTTTGGACAGCCCCTTTAGCGGTAGTATGGTGCCTGGCACGCACGCCCGACCGGTGTGTTTGGCGTCCTATACTGCCCGTACATTGAAAGTGTTTCCGAAGAGGCAACAAATGACATCGCCGAAGCTCCCTTGTCACGTTGTCGGAAGTCACGGTGCTGGCAGTTCGTAATGTAAGTTTTGGTAAAAAGTATGAGCGAGTGCGAGAGTCTCCGTCGTTGCGGCGTCCCAACTCCCGACAGCCGGAGCTTCCGTTGACTGTCAAGCTGGAGAGCAATCTGCAGCAGGACGGTCGTCTGGCACGTCGGCCACCTTCGCTGCGACACCGCCAGGATTGCGGCCAGTAATTTGACGCCTCTACCGCGTCATCAGGCGGAAATCGAGGGACCACTTTCAAGGACGGTGTAAAAGTGCATGTAGGAGACTCATTCCAGGCATTATGGCAGTGGTGAAGGTTGTGCCATTATTGTCCCAACAGGGCGAAGCAGTGTGTGCAAACAAGGACCAGAGAATGGGACCGACAGTCGCCTCCCACCTGTCGTACGCGCTCCCAGCTTTTTTTAACTATGCTATTTGAACCGCGATCACCACAAATGTTTTTCGGCACAACAACCAACAAAGCCACAAATTCTTTCGCGAGTCCTGGGGTCGTGAACCAGGAGACGCGGGCTTCATGGTACCCTATCATTTTGAGAGTAGGCCACATTTTGGTTGGCCGCAAGAAATGTTTGTACCGGTTTACTGAAATTGCACTGTTCATAGTCACCGACACAATGAGAATGGCAGGGTGTGTTTTCCGAACGACCGGCCTCCAGCGAGCACTCCGTGCCTTCCGCCATGCTTTGACTGCACACGCGCACCTGAGTTGCACGGTACGTCGCAGCGTCACTTGTGCCGGAGGCGGGACAGCTGGAGCTCCCCCCTGTCATTCTCACCTTGGTGGCAACCATAGTAGACTGTCAGTGCAGCGTTTTCCCTGACGTCGCACATAGCTACGACGCCCACATCCACCTGAACGGCTACCCGTTCCTGGACAGCAAGGAGGAGTTTGCTCACACGACCCTCGCTGCCGACGTGATGCAGCCCAGGTGAGCACTCCTTTCGAGTCCTATCTTGCACTGCCATTGCAACGTGCATTTGGGGAAGGAGAGAGTACCATGCACGAGCCTCTGCATTTTCCCGCTTCCAGGCGAGGGGAGGGGCCACTCTGCTACATCACCCAAGACAGCATGACCGTTGAAGAGCTGGGTGAGTGACTCGTGATACGAACAACCAATGTTTAATTTTTCTTTCTTCGAGAAAGATAGTAGATGGGGCAGGTAACAGTGCAGGTTCAGCGGCTCCTTAATACGAGGTAATAATACAATCGTAGGTATACAGGCATACTTTTAGTTCAAATCGCATAGAATAACAAAGCAGGATGTTAGAACAATCTTGTTACCTATACGTCTTCGACAAGATACACATTTAAGGAGTAATAAATAAATATTTGACAATTGCAACGTAGATCATAACTTTTTATCAAATGGTAAGTTATGAATAAAATACAAAAGACAAATGTCTTTTGTGACAATGTTTTGACAAAAAGTCAATACATTTTCTTTAAAAAAAAAAAAGTGTAACTATATATATATATATTTTTTTTTTTTAATTTTGTGATTGGCAAGGGTTTGTGATCGGAGGGGGGAGCAATGGAATCGAAGACGACTGTGCTTCCCAGTCGGCAATATTTGCTTATCTCCCGCCGTGGCTGTGGCTAAATAACACCATTTCTGCCGAGATCACCGTTGGCCAGGGCCCTGCAAATATTGGAAGTAGGCTATCTTTCGTGGTGTTTTTGAAAAAAAAAAAAAAAAAAGGCAAATCGTGCTAAACTTTTAGAGGTGGGGCCTCTCTGGATATTACGTAGTGAGCCTTCTTTCCTTTCAGGCTTAAGTTGTTTGTGGTGCTGAGAAAAGCAGAGAGTGTGAATCTCCGACTAGTTGCAGTTGTGCGAGATGAAGGCAGATCTGCACTCTCCAAGTGTGGGGAGCGGGATCCGCAGACCGTTCCTGACGACAGGAAAAACGCATCGCAAAAGATCAGGACTAGTAGAAGTACGGAGGACAAGCATTTCTTCAGTGTGCTTTTTCCGCTAGTCCTTGCCTTTTGCGCTCTGTTTTGTTCCATTGTGTGTAAGCAACTAGCCCATCGGTTGATATTGTCTCTTTCCCCGGCATGCAGAGTGCCTGCTCAAGACGACGGACCACAACGGATTCCCCGTAATCGTGTCTACGGAATCTCAGTACCTGGTGGGCTTTGTGCTGCGCAAGGACCTCAGCCTGGCTCTCGGTGAGGACCCCACGCCCCTCACCGCCGCCAACGCTCTGCCGGGGCGTCCTTGGTTGACCCCCTTGCCGATCTAACCCAGCACTATAGCCAAAGCGCTGAATTTGCTGCGTATCAGTGCCTCGGTGCCTTTCTTCGCTTACACAATGCAGCGCTAGCTGAGTGCTGAGTTAGCGCATAAACGAAATTTCAATCGCACGTCAAAAGATTTCTAGATATTGATTAATTTCTGCCGGGGGCGTGCCAAATGCATTTTGTTGGTTTGGCACCTAAAACCCCCGAATTTACTACCGGTAGAATCATACTCACGCTGTTGTGTAGTGGGGTTCCCTGTTGGGGTTCCTTACGAATAGTTCCACAAGCCCTATACTCGGTTTGAGCTTACGATAGACCGCGGCGGATGCTACAAGCCATCTAAAGGGGTGTCCAAACAGGACACTACAAAACGCACGACTCCGATAAATCGCGAAAATTGAAGCGGACGCTTCTATAGAAGCGTCCGCTTCAATTTTCACGATTTGTCGGAGTCGTGCGTTTTGTAGTGTCCTGTTTGGACACCCCTTTAGCCGATTGGGCGCAGCAAAATGAAGCACATGACTATTCGCATCGCCGCTACCGTCTTGAAGGTTGCGCGGCACCCTGACGGAATTGTATTAGCTTCGATGGCTCGTAGCGTTGTCCGCAGTCCGTCGTAAGGTGGAACGGAGCGTCGTCGGCCTGGCCTTTGCCGCCTCATGACGAGGTCACACTCTCCGGCGCGTTTCCTGTGCAGCCAACGCCCGCAAGTCCCAGGTAGGAGTGGTGGGCAGCTCTCGAGCCCTGTTCGTGAGCCAGGTGGCCACCCCCTGGACCGGACCCCCGCCGGTCACGCTCAGGCGCATCCTGGACCTGGTAATGCACCGCTCGAAACTTTGGAAAGAACGCTCCGTCGGACACGGTGCCTGGAACGGGTCTCCGACCGTCGCGTTTAACGCATCCTCAAAAGTGGTCCCTCGATTTCTGCCCGACGACAACGTTGATGAGTCGCGCCGTTGCCAGTCGCGACCCTGGCGGTGTCGCAGTGGCTACGGCGTGCTTGGCAGACGCCCGTTGTGCCGCCGGTCGCTCTCGGGCTCGACAATCCTTGGATGCTCGGACAGCCAGGGGTCGGGACGCCGCAATGACGGTGACAGTTGCATTCGCTTCACTTTTTGTCCGGGCTTCCACGACATCCGACGGCGTGGCACTCCGGCTCGCGCGACAACATTCGTTGCAGCTTCGGGACCACTTTGGCGTGCGGACGGGACGGGACGGTCGGAGACGAGCTGCAGGCACCGTAGCTCCCAGGCGCGTGATTTCATTGGTTCGCACATGCCGTCCTCGCTGGGGATCGAGCTCCCCGCGAGGATTAACACCGCACATTCCCGATAGGCGCCCATCACCGTGACGGACCAGACCCCCATGGAGACGGTGATCGACATGTTCCGCAAGTTGGGCCTCCGACAGACGCTAGTCACGCACAACGGGTAAGCACGCTTATGTCGGAGTCCGGTACGGATAGCCTTCCTTTCGGATAACCGGTGCACTCTGTGGAGCGATTCACCGACGGAAGGGATAGAGCCTGGTTCACGCATTAGCGTTTGAGCATGAGCGACAACATTCAAACTCTTTGTGATCGCTTATGACGAGTGCACCGGTGCACGTGGAGCCCTTGGAAGGAAATAGAGGCGAAACACCGAATTGAGAGGCCCTATTAAGTGGAGGGAAGCGGAGCAATCGCTACTGTTTCCCCCGTTCTCACCACAGTGGTTGTCGGTTCTCATAAGAAATGCGGAGCCTGGAGTTTATCCAGGGCCTTTGACGACGAGAAAACACTGGCGCCATCCGTCGGTGGCCCTTGAACTCTTCCAACTTGCATATATTTTTACGCATCATCCTTTCACCACAAGCTCAGAATAATTCTGGCAACGTTTGAAGTGACCATTTCTAATTGATGGGGCATAGATTCTATCTCGCAAATACTGCAAAACCTTCAGTCTAGCGACACCCAGATCGGAAGTATTCTGGGAGTACCCGACAGATGGCACCTGGTAAGTAAATACGGGAGGTTGCAGTGCAGTCGAGCATACTTGTACGCTAATGGGTGAACCAGCCTCCGTGAAATGAGCGCACCGCAACATGCCCATTCGGACGACCGTTGCGAGTCGGGCGTGGTCCAAATGAGTCATCTGCTTGCAGCAAAATCCTGGGCATCATCACCAAGAAAGATGTGCTGCGCCACATCAAGCTGCTTGCCAACGAGGATCCAGAATCTGTGCTCTTCAACTGAGTGGAAACGGCGGGAGAGTGCCCTGGTTGGGACTGGCTCGTCACGAGCACGCCATCTAGTGAGGTCGAAGCCAAAGCAGCTCCCGACGGCCCGGCCCGGGAATTTTTCTTCCGCGGGCGGGCTCCCGTCGGAAGGCCGGGAGCGGCGGGAGGTCCGTGCGCCGTGGCAGAGGCGGACTCCGGGGCGACAGCCGCGCTGCCCCCCCCACCCCTATTTAATGAGGCTACTTGCGCGTGTGTGTGCGCACTACGCAAAACTGTTGTCCCGGTAGTAGCTGCATTTACACTGTCCCCTGTTATTCTTTCCCTTTTAACAAATGTCATTTTTGTTGCTCTTAAAACAGTATACACGTGCGACAAGCCCGAAAAGCAGAGCCTCGTGCGTCTTTTCTTTCGGCCGCCGGCCCCGAAGCAAGGCGCGATGCCTAGGTGGGGGTTCGATTCTAGCCAAGGTGCTTCCGATGGAGCCTTATTGCGGAGAAAGTACTGTGGTAACCGAGACTTCGGTTGCACCTCAAAAGGTACCCGGGCGGTCCAAATTAATCCTCGGTCCTTCGCTGGGACGTCCCAGATGCCCATCCTTGGTTTGGCTCGTAAACCCCCAAATTTGACTCTCCAAGCTCTGACGTGGGGCGCTGTGAGCCGTGCGTGGGACTGGCTGGTCGTGCAAACCAGTGTACGTGAGTGTGTTGCTTTCATGTTTTGCTGCATTTTTGTGCAGCTGGGAGATTGCAGGCCGAGAAATTGAGTTTAAGGGGGAATGTTGAATGCAATTATTGCAAAAATGCAAACGCGTTAGACAAGAAGAATGATGATAATCCCTGGAGAAGGAGGAGGCGGACAAAGGACAGACACATATCTCCAAACACAGCTAGGTGACTAGTGTGCGACTGAAAAAATCCACCTGGTCTAGGTCCAGGGATTATTGTTATTCTTGTCAATCTCGCTAGCACCTTTGCATTCATTGCATTATCGTGATCACCTTAAAATGCAGGCCGTCCATCCTTGTCGGTGTTAGACTGGTGGCAGCTGTTAAAACCCGTTTGCAATACTGACGTCCAGCTCCAGGTTAGCTCGGTTGGTAGACCACTCCGCTAGAAAGGGAGAGGCCCCTGGTTCGATACGAGGACCAGGCGGATTTTTTCCAGTCACTCACCAGTCGCATAGTTTTGTTTGGAGATTTGTGTTTGTCCTTTATCCCCCTTGTTCCCCTTCTCCAAGAATTATTGTTAATTAAGAAATTCTTTTTTTTTTGTTATTATCTTTAGACATCAATCTTTTATGAGTAAAATAATCTAAACTATATTCGCACAGAAGTTACTGAAAAAAATGGTTCCGACTGATTCACAAATAATCGGAGAAACTTGGGAAGCACTGCTGTCAGCGGCGCTTTCTAAGTTTCTCCGATTCAACTTGCAACTTGCATTAGACAGCACGAAAGAGCACGATTTTCGCGTTCGGAACTACCGAAGCAATCTCATGTTTCTAAAAGCGGCACAATCGCAAGCGGAAAACGTCGGTGGTGGAACATTTACCGCGGCCTTCGCCCTAACTACGGCGACTGTTTCAACGCATTCAGTGCTCTGTTTGTGTTTGTCCGTGCTACAGAAAAACTCGCTACATTCGAGAACAAATACAGAACACGGGGCTATAGCTTTGCGATTTCAGTGATGTGCAACGTCGGCACGGCAACGATTGACTTGTGAGCGGTGCGATCTGCCCCACTTGTCACGAGGGCAGATCGATTCCCTAAGCGTTCGGCTGGGAAACCCGAGGGATTTTCATCGTCCCACGAGTTGCACCGAGAAGACCGTGTCCCGAGCGGGTTCTTTCTTGTAACGTTTTCGTTCAAGCGTGCCGCATTAGATGGAGACGTGCAAGCACGAAGTGAAACTATGACGGCGGGAACTCGCACAAGTTCGGCCGTCAACTTGAAAGCCGTCGAAGCTTCTGCGCGATTCTCGGCCTGCTAGCACCAATGCACCGCAATACACTAGCAAGAAAGTTCATGCTGCTTCAACGAAAACTGCCACCAAAACTATGTGAAGACCGAAATGTTGACGTGGAAGGAACAGCTGATGTAGCCGATGTCTGACGGCACATGGTACAAGAGGGGCCAGAAAAGTCGCGGCTTACAGTGTGGGACGGTTTTATTGACTGAATATTTCCTAAACACCCTAACTGTGTTCTGGCCATATTCTGTGTAGTTGCAGCCGATATTTGTAGAGTAGGTAAGCATATTTTCAACTTTCGGATACATTTTTCTCGTTTTACATTTTGGATTGTCTTTACGGTTCGTGCGCTCAGTTCTTAGTACTTGGAATCGTTCAGTCATAGTGAATTCTTTCCTTTTAATACGTGGAGTACAGATACTTTTTAGAATTGCATTATCCCAATTATCTAGCCTTTGGCTAGATACTGTCACACTACACTTCGTAAGGAGCAAAATAAGCTATTGCATCATGCTCCTTATATTAAAAAGAAATGCCTAGATTTGCGCACAAGAATAGCTTTTTTCGTAATTGCTTTTGCCTCCAAACACACAGCTAGATGAAAATTAATTTGTTTTGAAAAGAGGACAATACTTAATAATGAGCTGCACTTTCTTTATACTAAAACAAATATTAAAAAAAAAAAAAAAAAAAAAAAAAAAACTTTCCGAGCCGCATTATGCAAGTTGCCGAAACTATATGGTGGGAGCTGCCCAGTCAAAAACCGAGAGTGGAGGACAATACAAAAATGAAAAAATCGTAGAAGGCACAAGAATGCGCTGCATGTAGGAATGCTTTCACATTCCTACACGCAGTGCATTCTTACACGCAGCGCATCACGTCTTCCTTTCACAGACAGCGCTCCGGCGCTGACATCACGCTCCCCCACAGCGCAACGAACCTCGCCGGCTTCATGACGGCTTCCGTAACAAAGCATCTGCGTGGCTGTGATTTTCTTTGCGTTGTATTTCTGAGGCGAGTTCGCTTTGACCTTGAGTGCTCCCGCCGGGCTACCGTGAGGAAGCATCTGCGTGTCTGTGCTTTTCTTTGTGTTTAATTCTGAGGCGCGCATAGTTTTATGACCGCCTTTTAGGGACAACGCCGACGACTTTTCGCGTAATAAAACAAGTAAGGCGTTCGCATTAAAAAAAAAAAAAAAGGAACATTAGCATGATGCTGCCAGACCACACCAGCAAGGGGCACAAGTTGTCTCTGCGGCTTGAGTTGCTGTATAAATGCTCAGCTTGCAGAGCAGAGTATAGCAATGGTCCTCTACTTTGTGGGAAGTGAATGTCGGTCTTGCAGAAGACACGACGGATGCAACTGCATGTGGCGGTGAGTCTCCCCTCTCCGCGTCGCGGCTCGGAAAGTGTCGTGTTCTCTGTGGTGGGGATTGTTGCGTTATTTGCATCGAACTGCGCAGAAGGGCTTACCTTTTTACATGCCCGACTACATTTCGCCAGAATAAGAGGAACCTTTATCAACAATACTGAAAACGAATAGCTCTGTGCCCTCTACGCCGCCGGGATGTCACGGTATGTTTGTACGAATTTTTCGACTATCGCTTCGAATGGTGTACTACTTGATTTGACATCTGTATCGATGCCGATAACTAAGTATGGCAGTATTGTGATCTGCTCGGGTGGTTTAGTTAGCTCCGTTTTATCCGCTTCTAAGAGCGCATTGGTGCCCTGCAGCGAAGCGACAGTCGTGAATTGAACGTTGTGATTCTGCGCATGTTGCTTTGCCGCGGTGCCCTTGTGTGCTTACGGGAAAACATCATCTAGAGCAGAGTAATGCAAACAAATATGTAGTATTAAAAAAAAAAAAGTGAATGTTTGTGATAGTCATACATGCATAAATCAGTTCAGAAGTAGTGTTCAATTACAATTATTACCTTTTCTCCGAGTATAGTTTATCGTGATTATAATTACGAGTGCAGAAAAGATTTGTTAGAAGTATAAATCGCTCGGATAGTAACGCAATTGCTTTACAATTTCCAATGAGAGCTACGTGGTGGTGATGGCCATAGCAGTATGGATCCGGTTGCAATAACGACAACACGTCTAAATTCGATATATATAAAAAAAGGCAGTATACAACTTCCTGTGGTGCCGAATTAGAGCGCAGCTCTTGAGGGGACGGTGTACCCCTCATCTACTTCTCCCGTGCTCCTCCTCCTTCCCGCGCCGTGCATTATGGGAAGCGTCCTATAATGCAACGCGCGCGTCACCTTGGTGCATTATGAGACATTTTCCATAATGCACCGCGCGGTTACGGCGACGCCGACGCCGCTCAAGCCGGAAACTGGTGCCTAAAAGCTGCGCTCTAAAATGAGTACAGCCGACAATTTCTTTTCAATTGTGCGTTCAAGTCACTACACGCAATAGGGGCTACGATTATCTGCCTCATTTTACCTCAAGTTTTGTAGCGTGAGCTACACTGGCCGAGGTTGAGCTGTTCCGCGTGGCTGTCAGAGCCGTGCTGCGCAAGCGCGAGGAGCAGTGACGGCGCACAGCTGGCGCGCCGGAGCCGCCGCCGCCGCTGTGCCCGCCTCGCCGGTCTGCGCATGCGCGAGGAGCAGTGACGTCACGGCGCTCAGCTGCCGCGCCGGAGCCGCCACCGCGCGCGCGTCGCCGGTCTGCGCATTCCAAAGAAGTGACGTCATAGCCGCGGCAGACGCACTGGCGCCGCCGCGTGCCCAGCTGTGCGCCTCCGTTGCGCAGTAGCCAAGTCTGACGCTGCATTGGAGCCGCTTGATAGCGCCTCATTTTGTGCGCATAAGCTCACACTACGTATATTCTGGCATAGCCGAGCTAAGCCACCGCAATTTTTTTGCTGCTTACTCGGTCTCCCTTGGAAGCATCGGGGTACGAAATTTGCGGATAAGCAAAGGGTCTTGGTTCCCAAATTTAAAGTTCTTTTAAAAAATGGTAACTGCATATTCTGGTTTATTTTGTTGACAACCACGGAGAACCATCGTAGCTACTGCATTAGGAACGTATCGTAGAACGTCAGCTTCGGATTGCGGCGCGTGCGGGCGCGAGCTTAGTCCGCTCTCAAAGTGACGGCTCCCCCAAGCAACGCCAAACTCTTGCATGCTCTTGCGCGTGATCTACGAAGAGTAAGCGTAGCTGCACTACTGAACCATGCGACAAGACGGAAATAATAATTAACCCTGTCCTCCGCGCAGCTGCCGATTCATGCTTCTGGCGATCTTTTTTTAATCATCTCCCAGGAATACTTACCTTTCTGTATAATACGATTTTGTAGCATTGGACTACACAATACCTCGTGCCCTGCCCTTTTGCATTAGGTACATTACCAAGCGCGAGGCTAGCACGACAGGCGCACCAGCCTCCCGCGTCGTCTGCTCCT